AGAAATCCCTTAATAAGACTATTCATAAGAAAAAATTAATTAGGAACTAAAAAAAAAAGAAAAAAATTACTCTTTAGATTGTTGTATTGGATAAGGTGGTGAGTCCTTAATTTATGAAGATAAAAACAATAAAAATGTAATAATAAAATTAATTCATTTATAAATCAATTAAACTATAGAAAAGCAAAAGAAAATTTTTCACATCTTAAAAAATGAAAAAAAATTTATATAATTGATTGACCACATAGAAATATATGACAATTTACATATATTTATTCATGAAAAATACTAAAAAAATTTGAATTAAGAGTTAGAAGATTTTGACTAATTAGAAAATAAATTTACAGAGCAAAAATTAATAAAGATGATTTTTGATCTAATCCATGGATTAATAGACTTGCAACATAATAAAATCTTACATCTAGATATAAAACCAAAGAATATTTTAGTTGATTATAGAGGAAACTATATTTATACTGATTTTGGAATTTCTGAAATTTATTAGGAAGGTAGTAGTATGTAAATTAGAGGTTTTACAAATAAATATTCATCATAAGAATAGAGGAATTAAGATGTAAATAAAATAAGTTATAAATCTGATGTGTATTCATTAGGATAAACTCTCTTAAAAGTTATAGAGAGATTTAAAGAGCTTAATAGCTAAAGCTAATTGATAGAATTTGCAAAATTTATCAATGACATTGAAGACATTGTGAATTAAAGAATGGTCTAAGAAGAAATTGACTAAAGATCTGATTGCTATTAAATTCATTCTCGATTCGTTGATGTGTTATTTAATATTAAAAGTTAAATAGATGCTACATTTATTAACGAAATAGGGCTTGAAATTAATCGCTATCTTACATCGCATTTATCTGTAAATAAATATCTGAAATTACAATTCTAAATTTAAATTCTGTTGGATTGGTTAATATTTCTTTCAAATAAATGTTTATATTCTTATAATTAATTATCAATAATAAAATATTTTTAAATTTTAACAAATAAAAATTAATTTAATTATAAATATAAAAGTAAAAGGAGGTATCTGACAAATTTATGGTTGAAAAACAAATAAAATAATGGCCAATTGAGGTTATCTGTTTTTACTTAAAGTAAAATTTTTTAAAATGATAAAAAATATTTTATAATAATTCTTTAATTAGTTGTAAGCCTACAAAAGATTAATTTGCTAACTTAATCAATGAAATAGAATTAAATAGAGAAAAGCCTTCTGAATTAAATATTTATTAGGAGTAAATTTAAATATTTTAATTATAAAATTATATTTTGGACAGATTCATCTAAATAAAATAATTTAATTATATTAGAAAAAATATGATTGAAGAAGATATCTTAGATTATTTTAAGAGTTTCTCTAAATAGTTCACAAAAATCAAAGCATATTTTAAGTATTTGTTAAATAGTAAGTTTAAAATAATTTAAAATTATTCTTAAAATTTACAGTAAAAAAGAATACACGATAGAAAAAAAAAATGGATTACAAAACAATTAACTATAACTTCTTTAATAAGGTGATAAATTTAATCTAAATTTGAGGTAATTATCTTAATTAATGATTTTTATTGAAATCAATAAATATTCAATTTTTTTAGATATTTAAATTTTAAAATAAAGCTAATTTTTTGCTTTAAATTATTTAGTATTTGTTGTCTAATAAAAAATTATATATTATTTATTTTGAAATTAGAAATAAACTACTTTACTATTTTAAATCTTCTGATTAATTTACTTTTTGTATTTATTTGCTAGCTTTCTAGATTATAGGTTTTATTTTTTTTAATAACTATTTTTAATTTATTTTTAAAGCCAAAATGAGAAGATAAAGGACATTATTTTAGGAAAGTTTAAAAATGCAACTTATTTAAATCTAAATTAAGAGTAATTTTGTATTTGTTTTTATTCTTTTTTGGAAATTAATTTATTTTTTATTATTTTATTTTATTTTATTTTATATTAAGTGGGGTTGAGTGGTTTTGAAATTTTTTGGAATTTATTTCTTAATTTTTCTAGCAGAATTTCAATAAGTTTTTATTTAAAATTTGAATGCTAAGTAGCCTTCTTGCTTTTTTTAATTTGTCAGAATTTATCTAATAAATCTATCTGTGATTTTATTATACTGAATTAGTTTACTTACTCATCACAACACAATTAAAATACTAACGAAAGCCATTGTTTTTTTACCATCCTTTCTCCTCCATATTTATTTATTTAATTCGTTATTTATTCTTATATTTAAAGATATAATCATATTGGTGATTATGGTGCAAAAGAATTAGGTACAGGAATAGCCTAGTGCTAGAATATCACAACTTTAACGCTTAATTTAAGGTAAAAAATTAATTTATTGATTGATAAACTAATAATTGAGAATTGATTATTTTAAGCTTTTGACTTAGTTATTAGATAATTAAGCCAGCTTGCCATTTACTAACTAACTTGCTTATTTACTTACTAACCAAAAAAAAAATATAACGAATTTCTTTACTTACTCATCACAACACAACTAAAATACTAACGAAAGCCTATTTTTTTACCATCCTTTCTCCTCCATATTTATTTATTTAATTCGTTATTTATTCTTATATTTAAAGAGGGAATTATATTGGTGATGAGGGTGCAAAATATTTAGGCACAGAAATAGCCTAGTGCAAGAATATCACAACTTTAAGGCTTAATTTAAGGTAAAAAATTAATTTATTGATTGATAAACTAATAATTGAGAATTGATTATTTTAAGCTTTTGACTTAGTTATTAGCTAATTGAGCCAACTTGCCATTTCTAACTAACTTGCCTATTTACTTACTAACCAAATAAAATATAACGAATTTCTTTACTTACTCAACACAACACAACACAACTAAAATACTAACGAAAGCCATAGTTTTTTTACCATCCTTTCTCTTTCATATTTATATATTTAATTCGTTATTTATTCTTATATTGAAAGTTCGAATAATATAGGTGCATAGGGTTCAAAAGATTTAGGCACAGGAATAGCCTAGTGCAAGAATATCACAACTTTGACGCTTAATGCAGAGTAAAAATTAAATTTATTGATTGATAAACTAATAATTGAGAATAGATTATTTTAAGCTTTTGACTTAATTATTAGCTAATTAAGCCAGCTTATCATTTGCTAACTAACTTGTTTATTTACTTACTAACCAAATAAAATATAACGAATTTCTTTACTTACTCATCACAACACAACTAAAATAATAACGAAATCCATCGTTTTTTTACTATCCTTTCTCCTCCATATTTATTTATTTAATTCGTTATTTATTCTTATATTTAAAGTTCGAATAACATTGGTGCATAGGGTGCAAAAGATTTAGGCACAGGAATAGCCTATTCCCAGAATATCACAACTTTAACTATTAATTTAAAGTAAAAATTAAATTTATTGATTAATAAACTAATAATTGAGAATTGATTATTTTAAGCTTTTGACTTAGTTATTAGCTAATTAAGCCAGCTTGTCATTTACTAACTAACTTGCTTATTTACTTACTTACTAACCAAATAAAATATAACGAATTTCTTTACTTACTCATCACAACACAACTAAAATACGAACGAAAGTCATCGTTTTTTTACCATCCTTTCTCCTCCATATTTATTTATTTAATTCGTAATTTATTCTTATATTTAAAGTTGGAATAATATTGGTGGATAGGGTGCAAGAGATTTAGTCACAGGAATAGCCTAGTGCAAGAATATAACAACTTTGACTTTTAACGTAGAGTAAAAATTAAATTTATTGATTGATAAACTAATAATTGAGAATTGATTATTTTAAGCTTTTGACTTAGTTATTAGCTAATTAAGCAACCTTTTCATTTACTAACAAACTTTCTTATTTACTTACTAACTAACCAAATAAAATATAACGAATTTCTATACTTAATAATCACAACACAACTAAAATACTAATGAAAGCCATCGTTTTTTTACCATCCTTTCTCCTCCATTTTTATTTATTTAATTCGTTATTTATTTTTATATTTAAAGTTTGAATAAAATTGGTGCATACGGTGCAAAATATATAAGCACAGGAATAGCCTAGTGCCAGAATATCACAACTTTAAAGCTCAATTTAAGGTAAAAATTAAATTTATTGATTGATAAACTAATTATTGATAATTGATTATTTTAAGCTTTTGACTTAATTATTAGTTAATTAAGCCAGCTTGCCATTTACTTACTAACTTGCTTAATTACTTACTAACCAAAAAAAATATAAAGAATTTCTTTACTTACTCACCACAACACAACTAAAATACTAAAGAAAGCCATCTTTTTATGCCATCCTTTCTCCTCTATATTTATTTATTTAATTCGTTATTTATTCTTATATTTAAAGAAGGAATGATATTGGTGTATAGGGTGCAAAAGATTTAGGTACAGGAATAGCCTATTGCAAGAATATAACAACTTTAACTCTTAATTTATAGTAAAAATTATATTTATTGATTGATAAACTAATAATTGACAATTGATTATTTTAAGCTTTTGACTTAGTTATTAGCTAATTAAGCCAGCTTGTCATTTACTAACTAACTTGTTTATTTACTTACTTACCAAATAAAATATAACTAATTTCTTTACTTACTCATCACAACACAACTAAAATACTAAAGAAAGCCAGCCATATTTTTTTACCATCCTTTCTCCTCCATATTTATTTATTTAATTCGTTATTTATTCTTATATTTAAAGAGGAAATAATATTGGTGCATAGGGTGCAAAAGATTTAGGTACAGGAATAGCCTATTGCAAGAATATAACAACTTTAACTCTTAATTTATAGTAAAAATTAAATTTATTGATTGATAAACTAATAATTGACAATTGATTATTTTAAGCTTTTGACTTAGTTATTAGCTAATTAAGCCAGCTTGTCATTTACTAACTAACTTGTTTATTTACTTACTAACCAAATAAAATATAACTAATTTCTTTACTTACTGATCACAATACAACTAAAATACTAACGAAAGCCATCATTTTTTATCATCCTTTCTCCTCCATATTTATTTATTTATTTAATTCGTTATTTATTGTTATATTTAAAGTTGGAATAATATTGGTGCATAGGGTGCAAAAGATTTAGGTACAGGAATAGCCTAGTGCAAGAATATCACAACTTTGACGCTTAATGTAGAGTAAAAATTAAATTTATTGATTGATAAACTAATAATTGAGGATTGATTATTTTAAGCTTTTGACTTAATTATTAGCTAATTAAGCCAGCTTATCATTTGCTAACTAACTTGCCTATTTACTTACTAACCAAATAAAATATAACGAATTTCTATACTTAATAATCACAACACAACTAAAATACTAACGAAAGCCATCGTTTTTTACCATCCTTTCTCCTCCATATTTATTTATTTAATTCGTTATTTATTCTTATATTTAAAGTTCGAATAAGATTGGTGCATAGGGTGCAAAAGATTTAGGCACAGGAATAGCCTTGTGCCAGAATATCACAACTTTGACGCTTAATGTAGAGTAAAAATTAAATTTATTGATTGATAAACTAATAATTGAGGATTGATTATTTTAAGCTTTTGACTTAGTTATTAGCTAATTAAGCCAGCTAGCCATTTACTAACTAACTTGCTTATTTACTTACTTACTAACCAAATAAAATATAACGAATTTCTTTATTTACTAAACACAACGCAATTACAATACTAACGAAAGCCATCGTTTTTTACCATACTTTCTCCTCCATATTTATTTATTTAATTCGTTATTTATTCTTATATTTAAAGAGGGAATTATATTGGTGATGAGGGTGCAAAAGATTTAGGCACAGGAATAGCCTAGTGCCAGAATATCATAACTTTGACACTTAATGTAGAGTAAAAATTAAATTTATTGATTGATAAACTAATAATTGAGAATTGATTATTTATAGCTTTTGACTTAGTTATTAGCTAATTAAGCCAGCTTGCCATTTACTAACTAACTTGCTTATTTACTTACTTACTAACCAAATAAAATATAACGAATTTCTTTATTTACTAAACACAACGCAATTACAATACTAACGAAAGCCATCGTTTTTTACCATACTTTCTCCTCCATATTTATTTATTTAATTCGTTATTTATTCTTATATTTAAAGAGGGAATTATATTGGTGATGAGGGTGCAAAAGATTTAGGCACAGGAATAGCCTAGTGCCAGAATATCATAACTTTGACACTTAATGTAGAGTAAAAATTAAATTTATTGATTGATAAACTAATAATTGAGAATTGATTATTTATAGCTTTTGACTTAGTTATTAGCTAATTAAGCCAGCTTGCCATTTACTAACTAACTTGCTTATTTACTTACTTACTAACCAAATAAAATATAACGAAGTTCTTTACTTACTCATCACAACACAACTAAAATACTAACGAAAGCCATTGTTTTTTTACCATCCTTTCTCCTCCATATTTATTTATTTAATTCTTTATTTATTCTTATATTTAAAGTTCGAATAAGATTGATGCATAGGGTGCAAAAGATTTAGGCAAAGGAATAGCCTAGTGCAAGAATATCACAACATTGACGCTTAATGTAGAGTAAAAATTAAATTTATTGATTGATAAACTAATAATTGAGAATTGATTATTTTAAGCTTTTGAATTAGTTATTAGCTAATTAAGCCAGCTTGCCATTTACTAACTAACTTTCTTATTTACTTACTTACTAACCAAATAAAATATAACTAATTTCTTTACTTACTTACTCATCACAACACAACTAAAATACTAACGAAAGCCATCGTTTTTTACCATCCTTTCTCCTCCATATTTATTTATTTAATTCGTTATTTATTCTTATATTTAAAGATATAATCATATTGGTGATGAGGGTGCAAAAGATTTAGGCACAGGAATAGCCTTTTGCCAGAATATCACAACTTTAAAGCTCAATTTAGGGTAAAAATTAAATTTATACTAATTTTATTGATTTATAAACTAATAAATGAGATTTGATTATTTTAAGCTTTTGACTTAGTTATTAGTTAATTAAGTCAGATTGCCATTTACTAACTAACTTGCTTATTTACTTACTAACCAAATAAAATATAACGAATTTCTTTACTTACTCTTCACAACACAACTAAAATACTAACGAAAGCCATCGTTTTTTACCATCCTTTCTCCTTCATATTTATTTATTTAATTCGTTATTTATTTTTATATTTAAAGAGGGAATAATATTTGTGATGAGGGTGCAAAAGATTTAGGCACAAGAATATCCTATTCCCAGAATATCACAACTTTAAAGCTCAATTTAGGGTAAAAATTAAATTTATTGATTGATAAACTAATAAATGAGAATTGATTATTTTAAGCTTTTGACTTAATTATTAGCTAATTAAGCCAGCTTGCCATTTACTAACTAACTTGTTTATTTACTTAATTACTTACTAACCAAATAAAATATAACGAATTTCTTTATTTACTAAACACAACGCAATTACAATACTAACGAAAGCCATCGTTTTTTACCATCCTTTCTCCTTCATATTTATTTATTTAATTCTTTATTTATTCTTATATTTAAAGAGGGAATTATATTCATGATGAGGGTGCAAAAGATTTAGTCCCAGGAATAGCCTTGTGCCAGAATATCACAACTTTGACGCTTAACGTAGAGTAAAAATTAAATTTATTGATTGATAAACTAATAAATGAGATTTGATTATTTTAAGCTTTTGACTTAGTTATTAGCTAATTAAGCCAGCATGCCATTTACTAACTAACTTGCTTATTTACTTACTAACCAAATAAAATATAACGAATTTCTTTACTTACTCTTCACAACACAACTAAAATACTAACGAAAGCCATCATTTTTTACCATCCTTTCTCCTTCATATTTATTTATTTAATTCGTTATTTATTCTTATATTTAAAGAGGGAATTATATTGGTGATGAGGGTGCAAAAGATTTAGGCACAGGAATAGCCTAGTGCAAGAATATCACAACTTTAAAGCTCAATTTAGGGTAAAAATTAAATTTATTGATTGATAAACTAATAAATGAGAATTGATTATTTTAAGCTTTTGACTTAATTATTAGCTAATTAAGCCAGCTTGCCATTTACTAACTAACTTGTTTATTTACTTACTAACCAAATAAAATATAACGAATTTCCTTACTTACTAATTACAACACAACTAAAATACTAACGAAAGCCATCGTTTTTTACCATCCTTTCTCCTTCATATCTATTTATTTAATTCTTTATTTATTCTTATATTTAAAGAGGGAATTATATTGGTGATGAGGGTGCAAAAGATTTAGGCACAGGAATAGCCTAGTGCAAGAATATCACAACTTTAAAGCTCAATTTAGGGTAAAAATTAAATTTATTGATTGATAAACTAATAATTGAGAATTGATTATTTTAAGCTCTTGACTTGGTTATAAGCTAATTAAGCTAGCTTGTCATTTACTAACTAACTTGCTTATTTACTTACTTACTAACAAAAAAAAATATAACGAATTTCTTTACTTACTCATCACAACACAACTAAAATACTAAATAAAAACAATCATTTTTTTACTATTATTTCTCCTCCCAATTTATTTATTTAAATCGTTATTCTTATGTTTAAAGTTGGAATAATATTGGTGATATACCAATAATTGAAAATTTATTTTTTAAGCTTTTGACTTAGTTATTAGCTAATTAAACCAGCTTATCATTTACTAGTTAACTTGCTTATTTATATACTTAATTACTTATTTACTAATAAAATAAAACGAATTTCTTTACTTACTCATCATAACACAACTAAAATTCTAACGAAAGCTATTTTTTTTTATAATTCTTTGAATAAAATACACCCATTTCACACTGTACACATTTTTTAATATAAGTAGCAAATACATATTGGCTATTTTGTAGAGTCACCATTATATTTTTTTTAATGTGTACTTTTATTTCTCGTAATATTACTTTAATAAAATAAATGTCTAAAAAAATAAAATTAAAAATAAAAAATATTTGAAGTCTAAATAAAAATAACAAATTTAAATATTTTATTGAAAATATATTTTTAATATTAAGATTAAATAATTATAAATAATAAAAAAATTCTAAACTTTCTTCATTATTTATTATAAATTTAAGTCAAATACTAACAACAAACCCAATTTTAATATTTTATAATTCATAAATAAATTATATTTTAGCAATACAGTTTATTTATATATGATTATATTATTAGATGCTTTTACGAGTTTATCATAACTTCTATCATTTTATTAAAAAATTAATTAAAAAAAATAAAAAAATAATTATATATTCTAAATATCTATGAAAATTATGATTTTTAACTATTCTATTTGAATTGCGAACTGTGAGGACGCTCTCTTTCAAAATCCTTAATTTTAATGTGCTAAAATTTGTATAACATTATGTGGATTTAAAATAAATTCCCTTTTTTATAGTTTTTAGATTTAATTAAAACATAATTAAATTTTTAAAACATAATAATTTTCAATATATTTAAATCTTAAAACTGATAATATAATTATTTCTTTAATAAAAATTTTTGATTGGTTTAAATTTTATTTGTTGAAATTATAAATTTTAATTTTAAAGTTTAGGTGAATAATAGTGTATTTAATTGAAGAATTAACTCTAACAATAATTATAGGCTAAAGTAAAATAATATTAATTAAATTTATAAAAAATTGATTTATTTTAAATAATAAAATAGATAAATATATTTTGAAAATCAACTAAAAGTTAGATAAGACAATCCAATAATATAATAATTTTATAAATTAAAAAATTTAACTCTTCATAATTATGTCTCATAAAAATATTTATTTACTAATTTTGTTTTTTTATATATTGATTGATTAATTAGATCATGGTTATTATTTATACTTTGATTTATACCTAAAAATTTTGTTTAAATCCTAACCAAAAGTAAACTATCTTTGAAAATATTTTATTTTTTAAAAACATGAGCTGATGTGATGAATTTATATAATTTATTATAAATACTGTTATTTGAATCTGGAAATATCACTTTAAATATGTCAAACAAAAAAATGTATTTTATATAAATAAAAGGCTGACTGTATATTTAATTATCTATTCACATAATTACTTTCTCACACTAAATTTAATAAAAAATTACTATAAAATAATTTTTTTAGCCCTTAATTTATTTATGTGGCTGTTAATTAATGAGGATTTAGAATATTTATCATTTATTTCAAAAATAATTTTTATTTCAATATGAATTTTATTAAAATCTATGTAAATGAATTTTCTTTCAAAAAAATGAAAAAAAATCCTTATATAATTGTTTTATTTAGAAAATAAAAAAATATTAATAAAAATTAATGTTCAATGTGATTAATATTTATAAATGTAAGATAGTGTTACAAAAACCAAATTATTCTTTTTATTATTTGAAATTAATAATTTATTTTATGACTTTTAGCTATAGAACTATTGTTTTAGTACATATTCAAGTTGAGAGTAAAAAATTTGCATAAAAAATATTGAGGTTTGAAGATATTCAGTCTATAATTTAATGATAATATATATAGATTAGTACGAGAAATGTGAATTATGATTAACAAAATAATATTTATTTGTTAAAATCTTATAATTTAATTAACTTAAATATTAAAAAGTGAAGTAAGATTAATTTAATAAAATATACATATTAATATTTACTTTTAAATATTTCTATGTAGTTTTTTTATAAAGAAATTGAAAAAATCCATCAAACAGGAATATTTATGAAAAAATTTATTACAAATTTTTTTAAAAAAAGAAATGAAAAAATTTATTGATTTGTTTAAACTGCTATTTGGTTTTGAGAAAGAAAAAAATAAATAAATTGTAAAAGATGTTAGTATATTGATAAATAAGTTAAGACTTTTTCCTTAAGACTCAATTAATTAATATAGACAGATATTTTAAATGAAAGTAAATGAGCTTTTCCATTAATTATTATTCATTAATTAATTGAATTTGTTTTTAAATTTTAGCCTGAAATTTTGTTCAAAAAATGTAATCAAAAAATATAAAGAGCCGTAAGAAACTAATCAAAGTACTCAAATGTTTAGCTAATAAATTTCTACCAACTCTATGATATATAGGCTATGCTAAAAACCATAATACCTATAACTGGGTAAAGCTTTTAGTATTTAGCTCAACTAGGTATTAATAACAAACTTTGAATTTCTTTGATGTATCAGTATTTTTTAGAATTAGATACTCAATTTTTTACTTCTATTAATATATTAAATGAATTTGCCAATTTAAATATTTAAAATAATTTAATTTTTATTTATTTTACACTTACTAATAAGATAAAACAATTTTATTTTATTATCTCATGTGGTTTTTTGTTTATAAAATAAAAATAATTATTATTTTTTATTTTAAAATAAATTATGTTTTATTATAATTATTCAATATATTATTTTATTACATTTTTTTATAAAAAATTAATATTATTTTTATTAATTTGCATTAGAATATTTAATGATATAATTTGAGAGATGCTATTATATTTGAAAACTAATAAAATCTTCATCTTGATTAGGCTTTTTTTTTATCAGCTAAATTAATCGAATTTCTTTGAATTAATCTCTATAAATAGTGATACTCAAAATCTCTTTTGCATATATTTTTTTCACATAAAAAAAAAACAACTGTTTTTAGTAAAAAAAGCATACCTTACAGCCTACTCTTAAAAAGTTAATAGCCAAGCCAACTCCTCACCTCAATGGGATAGAATTAATTAAAATCAAAAAAGTCCATAGAATTTTATTAATAATTAGTAAACGGAATATCAGAATAGATCCCCGAGGATTGTCAGATACAAAAGCATGGTTTGAAAGAAATAATCAAATTGATCCTCAACCAGAAAAAATAATTCTAAAATTTCGAGTACTTAAACAGCGGTGCTTATGCCCTAGTCTTGAAGGCTCAAAACATTAAGAGTAATCGCATGGTTGCCCTTAAATTCTTAACATGTACTAGCAAAGAGGGTTTGAAAGGCATCGAATCTTTGAAAAAAGAATATGAATTGCTTCAGAAATTCAGCTAATCTGATTTTTTGGTAAATGTCTATGATTGCTTCTATCTAATGGATGAAGATGTAGAAGTGGATAAAAATGGAAATAAAAAACCCAAAGAGAAGTCCTTTTTTGTGACGGAAATGGAGCTTTGCGAATGTATTTAAAATATTATTTTTCCTCCATTTTTTTCACCCCCAATTTTTAAAAAAATATGCATGAAAAAGCTAAAAAAATATAATGCTATTTTATTTTTTACATCATTTATGATTATTGAAGTTCCTCCATTTTAAAAAAGTCAAATTCATATTTATTTTTTCTAAGTCTTTTTGGATTTGATTACTTTTGAAGTAGAAATAGATTTGTGTTAAGCTAATTTATTTAATTTGGTAGCTAACTATAATAGAAATTATTTATTTTATAAAAATTTATTATTTTTAATTTTTTAATTACTCCCCAAAAAAAAGTATCTTTAAATAAATTTCTATTGAATTTTAGAAGGTTTCTAAATTAAATGTTCTAGAAGATTAGTTAATCGAAATTTTATAATCTATTAACCCCATATTATAATTCTAAATTAAATTTTATAATGCATTTTTTAATAATTAACAAAATTTTATGAATAAAGTTTTTATAATTTAAATTAAATAAATATCTCATTAATAAATTTTTTAAATAATCATTTTTATTTTTGTCAATAAACTTTATTTTTTTAAAATTATTAGAATTATTAAAATATAATAATTTAATTTTTTTAATTTAAATTATTGATTAAAAAATTATATTTTAATGGTTAATTAGAATTAATTAATCGAAAATAAATTTTTAGTTAAATTAGATTAAAATTGTTTAATTTAAAAATTAATTAAAATTAAATTTTTAGTACATTAGATTATAAAATTATAAAATAAAAATTTCAAAATCTAATAAATAAGAAAATTTATTTATTTTTAAGAAGCTTTTATTTATTTTAAATTAAATTAAATTTAATAAAAAATAAATTATTTAGTAATATAATGAACAAAATTAGTTTAAATTATCGAATTTAATTGATTATTATTTTTAATTTAGAAAGACTTTTAAATTAAAATATGTTTTTAAATTTATAGAGAGCAAATTTTAAAAATATTTTTTTTTAATTTAATAACTATTAAAAGATATTTGTTTTAATTTTGTAAATAGAAAATCTTAAACAGCTCTTCGATTATTTAAGAAACACATAACTTCCATCTCAAGAAATAAAGGAAATAATAGCTATTCAAATGTTAGAAGGATTAAATACCCTCCATACCAAAAATATCATGCACAGAGACATCAAGCCTCATAATTTCCTAGTTTGTCCTTCTCAAACTTATGGATTTACAATCAAAATCTGTAAAAAATTTTATTATTTACAAAATTTATCAACTAAAAAAATTATTGATACAAGGTGATTTGGGATTTGCATCTGCAATAACAAAATCGAAAACCCATTACCCATCAAAGGTAAACATCAAAATATTATTTAAAATTAATCTTAGATTATTTTAATCTATAGAAAGGAACTGAAGCTTACTTCGCTCCAGAGGTAGAAAATGGAGAATCCAGAATTCAGGTTTTTAAACAAAACTAATCTTTCAATTTTTAATTTAATTTTAATGTTTAAAGTCGGACCTCTTTTCTCTAGGACTAGTATTACTTGAGCTAGATAATCTAAATGTTCTAAATCAAAATTGGATTGGCTTTGAAATAAAAAGAGAGATATATTAAGGAGAAGGAATAGCTTCGAAATATTAGATTGATAGAAATTCTAATATTTATAAAATAGTCGAGATTTGCTTAAAACCAAATTATTTGGAAAGGACAACTTCAGGAGACCTACTTTCTGAACTTATTAAACTTCATGGAAAACCACTGAAATTCACACTATCATCTATGATATTAGAAGTAATGAAAATATTTACTAATTTTTTTTGGCTAATATAATTAACTAACCATTTAATTCAAAATATTTAATGCAATGCTAAACTTTGCTTCTTGATAATAAAAGTCAATTTAATAAAATTTTTGATCTTCAGATTGTATTGGAAAATATCGGATCCGAACTGCTCAGCCCTGCTTGTAATAGAGAATAAACATTAATTATTTTTTTTTATTGATAGGAACAAATTCCGTAGTAAGCATAATAAATATTCAATCAAATTAATGAACTTGAAAAAAAGAAAGTAAAAATATAATAATATTTATATTTTACATTCCAAATAATTAATTTTATGATTTTCATAATAATCTTTTCTAAGCAAACTTAATTTGAGAAGGATGCACAAATCTTGATTGATAACACAGATTCAAGAATAATGAAAAGAGATACTAATCAACAATTTACAAAAGTAGAAATTCTATCCAAGTTATTAAAAAGTCTATATGAAGAAAAGAAATATGCAAAAAATTTCCAAATTCTTAATTTTGGAAGCTTTGGTATGGTATTATCTACTAAAAAAGTTAAGTTCAACAACAAGGAAATAGTATTAAAAATACAAAAGATAGTAAACGAGCAAGAAATTTAAAATGAAATTAGAATAATGTAATAATTAAAAACACCTTTAGTTGTTTAGCTGTATGACAATTATGTCATAGAATAAGCTACAGCACCTGAAAGATATGTGGTTTTTGAATTAGAAAAGTGTTCATGTAAATTTTTAAATAACAATTTATAACATTGCAAATATTTTAATTTTTTATTCAATTAAATTTAAGTATTAAATATACCACTTAATGTATTTTAGTACATATTAGGCTAAGATAACCAATAATAAGCTACAAATTTATTGTTGAGGTTATAATATCTATAATAATTTTATCATATTATTTATTGTAAAAAAGGCTCACTTTAGGAATATCTAGAAAGATAAGGAAAAGAAAAAGAGTTTAGTGATGAAGAAAAATTGGATATTGCAATCCAAGTAATTGACTCTGTCAATTATATTCATTGTTTTAATATTATTCATAGAGATATTAAACCTGACAATTTTTTGGTTTGTTTGGATGGCAATCAACTTGAAATCAAACTATGTAATTTATCCTGATATTTTTTAATTTTTAAAAACAATTTAATCATTTTAATATTAGGCGATTTTGGATTATCAGCTTAACTTGAATAAAATTGTGAATAAATTGAAACTTTAGATGTAAGTCATTTTAGTTAATATACAATTAATTATCAAGAAATTTTAATATATTTTTAGATGGTAGGAAATTGGGCGTACATGGCACCTGAAATTTTAGCTAAAAATGATGATTAAAATAAGATATACTCTAAAAAAGTAACTATTGTTATAACTACTTCTTAATATATACAAATAAATTTTTGTTTTAAGTCGGATTCTTATTCAGTTGGCTTACTACTATCTTTGCTTGACAATTACTTAATTTTGAAAGAATAAACAGGAGCTACTTTCATGAATATGACTTCAAAATAATATGAAGAGCCTTTCAAAAAATAAAAAATAAATATTAAGGAAAACACTGAAATATTTAAATTTATTAAACAATTAGTTGTTTGGGAAAGAGTCAAGAGGGATTCTCTTTCTATTATTGTTGAATAGAATTCAAACAAATTCAAATCAAACTAAAATGATATGAAATAAATTATATCATAACATTATTTAGGTCCTTTAAAAAATGTTGAGGCTATAAACATTGGATCTATTGCTCCATTACTTACTTAAAATTAGATTCAAATTTAGGATATCAAGTAAATAAAAATAAATCGTATGGAGAATTTGCATAAAATTAGAGAATTTCAAAATATCGAAATAAATTTAAGGTAATTATATTAAAATTAAATATCCACAAATTATTATTTAAGAATTCAAATACAATATTTAATTATTAAAAGTTAAAAACTTTTAAATTAAAGATAAAATTATTATCTATTAATACAATCTACAATAAAAAAAATAGACTTTATTATTTAATTAATAATAAAATCTATTGAGGTGATAAGTAAAATTTTCAAAAATATTTCAAATGCAAAAAATTGCCTATAGTTAAAAAATAATTAAAATAATTTCATAAATATTAAAATATAACCCACCAATTAAAAACTTAATAAAATGAAAATTGGTAAGTAAAGCTTGATTTTAGATTTACCTTATAAAAATTCTCTCATTGATAATACTGTTTTTAATTTATTAACTTGCTTATTTACTTACTCATCACAACACAACTAAAATAATAACAAAAGACAAAGTTTTTTTTACTATCTTTTCTCCTCCATTTTTATTTATTTAATTCGTTATTCTTTCTTATATTAAAGTGAGAATAACATTGGTGATGAGGGTTCAAAAGAATTATGCACAGGAATAGCATAGTGTAAGAATATCACAACTTTGACGCTTAATTTAAAGTAAAAATTAAATTAATTGATTGATTGATAAACTAATAATTGAGAATTGATTATTTTAAGCTTTTGGCTTAGTTATTAGCTAATTAAGCCAGCTTGTCATTTATTAACTAGCTTGCTTATTTACTTACTAACCAAATAAAATATAACTAATTTTTTACTTATACATCACAACACAACTAAAATATTAATAAAAGCCATCGTTTTTTTACCACGCTTTCTCCTCCATATTTATTTATTTAATTCGTTATTTATTCCTATATTTAAAGTAAGAATAATATTGGTGCATTGGGTTCAAAAGAATTAGGCAAAAGAATAGCAAAGTGCAAAAATATCACAACTTTGATGCTTAATTTAAAGTAAAAATTAAATTTATTGATTGATAAATTAATAATTGAGAATTGATTATTTTAAGCTTTTGACTTAGTTATTAGCTTGTCATTTATTAACTAACTTGCTTATTTACTTACTAACCAAATAAAATATAACGAATTTATTTATTTACTCATGACAACATAACTAAAATACTAACGAAAGCCATCGTTTTTTTACTATACATTCTCCACCATTTTTATTTATTTAATTCGTTATTCTTTCTTATATTTAAAGTGATAATAATATTGGTGATGAGGGTACAAAAGATTTAGGCACAGAAATAGCCTAGTGCAATAATATCACAACTTTGACGCTTAATTTAGTGTAAAAATTTAATTTATTGATTGATTGATAAACTAATAATTGAGAATTGATTATTTTAAGCTTTTGACTTAGTTATTAGCTAATTAAGCCAACTTGTCATTTATTAACTAACTTGCTTATTTACTTACTAACCAAATAAAATATAACTAATTTCTCTACTTACTTATCACAACACAACTAAAATACTAACCAAAGTCATTGTTTTTTTACCATCCTTTCTCCTCCATATTTATTTATTTAATTCGTTATTTATTCTTATATTTAAAGTAGGAGTAAAATTGGTGCATTGGGTTCAAAACAATTAGGTAAAGGAATAGCAAAGTGCAAAAATATCACAACTTTGACGCTTAATTTAAAGTAAAAATTAAATTTATTGATTGATAAATTAATAATTGAGAATTGATTATTTTAAGCTTTTGACTTAGTTATTAGCTTCTCATTTATTAACTAACTTGCTTATTTACTTACTAACCAAATAAAATATAACTAATTTCTTTACTTATACATCACAACACAACTAAAATATTAATAAAAGCCATCATTTTTTTACCATGCTTTCTCCTCCATATTTATTTATTTAATTCGTTATTTATTCCTATATTTAAAGTGAGAATAATATTGGTGCATAGGGTGCAAATGATTTAGGCACAGGAATAGCCTAGTGCAAGAATATCACAACTTTGACGCTTAATTTAAAGTAAAAATTAAATTTATTGATTGATAAATTAATAATTGAGAATTGATTATTTTAAGCATTTGACTTAGTTATTAGCTAATTAAGCCAGCTTGTCATTTATTAACTAACTTGCTTATTTACTTACTAACCAAATAAAATATAACGAATTTATTTACTTACTCATCACAACATAACTAAAATACTAATGAAAGCCATCGTTTTTTTACTATAAATTCTCCTCCATTTTTATTTATTTAATTCGTTATTCTTTCTTATATTTAAAGTGAGAATAACATTGGTGATGAGGGTTCAAAAAATTTAGGTAAAAGTATAACCTTGTGCAAGAATATCACAACTTTGACGCTTAATTTAAGGTAAAAATTAAATTTATTGATTGATAAACTAATAATTGAGAATTGAAATTGATTATTTAAAGCTTTTGACTTAGTTATTAGCTAATTAAGCCAGCTTCTCATTTATTAACTAACTTGCTTATTTACTTACTAACCAAATAAAATATACTAATTTCTTTACTTACTTATCACAAAACAACTAAAATACTAACCAAAGTCATTGTTTTTTTACCATCCTTTCTCCTCCATATTTATTTATTTAATTCGTTATTTATTCTTATATTTAAAGTCAGAATAATATTGGTGCATTGGGTTCAAAAAAATTAGGCACATAAATAACAGAGTGCAATAATATCACAACTTTGATGCTTAGTTTAAGGTAAAAATTTAATTTATTGATTGATAAACTAATAATTGAGAATTTATTATTTTAAGCTTTTGACTTAGTTATTAGCTAATTAAGCCAGCTTGTCATTTAAAACTAACTTTCTTATTTACTAACTTACTAACCAAATAAATTATAACAAATTTCTTTACTTACTCATCACAACATAACTAAAATACTAATGAAAGCCATCGTTTTTTTACTATCCATTCTCCTCCATTTTTATTTATTTAATTCATTATTCTTTCTTATATTTAAAGTTACAATAATATTGGTGATGAGGGTACAAAAGATTTAGGCACAAGAATAGCCTAGTGCAATAATATCACAACTTTGACGCTTAATTTAAGGTAAAAATTAAATTTATTGTTTGATAAACTAATAATTGAGAATTGATTATTTAAAGCTTTTGACTTATTATTAGCTAATTAAGCCAGCTTGTCATTTATTAACTAGCTTGCTTATTTACTTACTAACCAAATAAAATATAACGAATTTATTTACTTATTCATCACAATACAACTAAAATAATAACCAAAGTCATTGTTTTTTTACCATCCTTTCTCCTCCATATTTATTTAATTCATTATTTATTCTTATATTTAAAGTGATAATAAAATTGGTGCATTATGTGCAAAAGATTTAGGGACAAGTATAGCCTTGTGCAAAAATATCACAACTTTGACTCTTAATTTAAGGTAAAAATTAAATTTATTGATTGGTAAACAAATAATTGAGAATTTATTAATTTAAAGTTTTTTTGACTTATTTATCAGTCAATTAAGCTAGCTTATCATTTACTAACTAAATAACTTGCTTATTTACTTACTTATTTATTTACTAAATAAATAAAAAAAACAAATTTCTTTATTTACTCATCACAACACAACTAAAATACTAACTAAAGCCATCATTTTTTTACTATCTTTTTCTCCTCCATATTTATTTATTTAATTCATTATTTATTTTTTATTATATTTAAAGTTACAATAATATTGGTGATGAGGGTATAAAAGATTTAGGCACAAATATAGTCTAATGGAAGAATATCACAAATTTGACGCTTAATTTAAAGTAAAAATTAAATTTATTGATTGATAAACTAATAATTGAGAATTGATTATTTAAGCTTTTGACTAAGTTATAAGCTAATTAAACCAGCTTATCATTTACTATTTAACTAACTAGCTTATTTAGTTACTTACTTATTGAACAAATAAAATATAACGAATTTTTTTACTTACTCATCACAAAGCAACTAAAATACTAACGAAAGCCATCTTTTATTTACAATTCTTTTTAAATGTTTATTTATTTAATTATTTTATTATCCTTATATTTAAAGGAGCAATAAAATTGGTGTTAAGGGTGTAAAAGATTTAGGAACAAGCATAGCTTTGTGGAAGTATATCACAGCTTTGACTCTTGATTTACAGTAAAAATTTAATTTATTGATTGATAAACTAATAATTGAGAATTGATTATTTAAGCTTTTGACTTATTTATTAGCTAATTAAACAATCTTGCCATTTACTAACTAATATGCTTATTTACTTACTTACGAACCAAATAAAATATAAATAATTTCTTTACTTACTAATCACAAATCAACTAAAATATAAACGAAAGCCATCATTTTTTACTTTCCTTTCTCCTCCATATTTATTTATTGAATTAGTTCATTTTCCTTATATTTAAAGGTCTAATAATATAGATGCATAGGGTGTAAAAGATTTAGGCACAGGAATAGCCTAGTGCGAGAAAATCACAACTTTGTAATTTATTTTAGAGTAAAAATTTAATTTATTGATTGATTCACTAATAATTGAGAATTGATTTTTTAAGCTTTTGACTTAGTTATTAGCTAATTAAACCAGCTTATAATTTACTAACTAACTTGCTTATTTACTTACTAACCAAATAAAATATAACGAAATTCTTTACTTACTCATCACAACACAACTAAAATAATAACGAAAGCCATCGTTTTTTTACCATCCTTTCTCCTCCATATTTATTTATTTAATTCATTATTTATAATTATATGTAAAGTTATAATAATATTGGTGATGAGGGTGCAAAAGATTTAGGCACATATGTAGTCTTATGGAAGAATATCACAAATTTGACGCTTAATTTAAAGTAAAAATTAAATTTATTGATTGATAAACTAATAATTGAGAATTGATTATTTAAGCTTTTGACTTAGTTATTAGCTAATTAAACCAGCTTATCATTTACTAACTAACTATGTTTCTTATTTACTTACTTAATTACTTACTAACCAAATAAAATATAATGAATTTCTTTACTTACTCATCACAACACAACTAAAATACTAACGAAAGCCATCGTTTTTTATCATTCTTTCTCCTCCTTATTTATTTAATTATTTCATTTTCCTTATATTTAAAGGAGCAATAAAATTGGTGAGCTGGGTGTAAAAGATTTAGTAACAGGAATAGCTGAGTAGAAGAAAATCACAACTTTGACGCTTGATTTAAGGTAATAGATTAATTTATCGATTGATAAACTGATAATTGTGAATTGATTTTTTAAGCTTTTGACTTAGTTATTAGCTAATTAAACTAGCTTATCATTTACTAACTAACTTGCTTATTTAATTACTTACTTAATTACTTTCTTACTTACTAACCAAATAAATTATAACTAATTTCTTTACTTACTCATGACAACATAACTAAAATATTAACGAACTCTATATTTATTTATTTATTTATTTAATTATTTCATTTTATTTAAAGGAGCAATAAATTTGGAGATAATGGTGTAGAAGATTTAGGAAAAGGAATAGCTAAGTCGGAGAATATCACAACTTTGACGCTTGATTTAAGGTAACAGATTAATTTATCGATTGATAAACTGATAATTTTGAATTGATTTTTTAAGCTTTTGACTTAGTTATTAGCTAATTAAACCAGCTTATCATCTACTAACTAACTATGTTTCATATTTTACTTACTTACTAATCAAATAAAATATAACGAATTTCTTTACTTACTCATTACAACACAACTAAAATACTAAAGAAAGCCATCGATTTTTTACCATCCTTTCTCCTCCATATTTATTTATTTAATTCGTTATTTATTCTTATATTTAAAGTTTCAATAATATTGGTGATAAGGGTGCAGAATATTTAGGCCCATAAATAGCCAACTGGATAAATATCTCAACTTTGACGCTGAATTTACAGTAAAAATTTAATTTATTGATTTATTGATAAACTAATAATTGAGAATTGATTTTTTAAGCTTTTGACTTAGTTAGTTATTAGTTAATTAAACAATCTTGTCATTTACTAACTAACATACTTATTTAGTTACTTAATAACCAAATAAAATATAACAAATTTCTTTACTTACTCATCACAACACAACTAAAATACTAACTAATACCATCGTTTTTTTACCATCCTTTCTTTCTCCTACATATTTATTTATTTAATTCGTTATTTATTCTTATATTTAAAGAGGGAATAATATTGATAAGGGTGCATTTTTTTTAGGCACAGGAATATCCTTTAGCAAGAATATCACAACTTTGACTCTAAATTTAGTGTAAAAATAAATTTATTGATTGATAAACTAATAATTGAGAAATGATTATTTTAAGCTTTCGAATTAGTTATTTGCTAACTAAATCAGCTTGTCATTTACTAACTAACTAACTTGCTTATTTATTTACTTACTTACTTAATTTCTAACCTAATGAAATATAGCGAATTTCTTTACTTACTCATTACAAAACAATTAAAATACTAACAAAAGTCATCGTTTTTTTATCATCCTTTCTCGTTTATATTTATTTATTTAATTAGTTCATTATCCTTATATTTAAAGGGACAATAAAATGAATGATTATGGTGTAAAATATTTAGCATAAGGAATAGGCTAATGCAAAAATATCACTACTTTGATGCTTGATTTACGGTAAAAAATTAATTTATTGTCTGATATACTAATAATTGAGAATTTATTTTTAAAGCTTTTGACTTAGTTATTAGCTAATTAAACCAGTTTATCATTTACTAGCTAGCTTGCTTATTTACATACTTAATTACTTACCTACTAACAAAATAAAATATAACAAACTTACTCATCACAACACAAATAAAATACTAACGAAAGCCATTGTTTTTTTACAATCCTTTCTCCTCCATATTTATTTATTTAATTCGTTATTTATTCTTATATTTAAAGTTCGAATAATATTCAAGATGAAGGTGCAAATGATTTAGGCAGAGGAATAGCCTAGTGCCAGAATATCACAACTTTGATGCTTGATTTACGGTAAAAATTTTAATTTATTGTTTAGTAAACTAATAATTGAGAATTGATTTTTTAAGCTTTTGACTTAGCTTTTAGCTAATTAAACCAGTTTGTCATTTAATAACTAACTAACTTGTATATTTATTTAATTACTTACTTACAAACAAAATAAAATAAAACGAATTTTTTACTTACTCATCACAACACAACTAAAATCCTAACGAAAGCTATTTTTTTTTATAATTCTTTGAATAAAATACACTGACTGCACACTGTACACATTTGTTCAAATAAGTAGCAAATACATATTGACTATCTTGTACAGTCACCAATATATTTTTTAAAAATAAAATAAAATAAACATCTAAAAAAATAAAATTAAACTTAAAAAATATTTGAAGTCTAAATAAAAATAACAAATTTAAAAATTTTATTGGACATATATTTTTAATATTAAGATTAAATAATTATAAATAATACAAAAATTCTAAACTTTCTTCATTATTTATTATAAATTTAAGTCAAATACTAACAACAAACCCAATTTTAATATTTTATTAATCATAATTTAATTTCTAATAAAAAAATAAATTATATTTTAGCTATGCAGCTTATTAATATATGATTATATTATTAGATGATTTTATGAGTTTATCATAACTTCTATCATTTTATTAAAAAATTAATTAAAAAAAATAATTTTACATTTTTATGATTTTTAACTATTCTGTTTGAATTGCGAACTGTGCGGACTCTCTCTTTCAAAATGCTTAATTTTAATGTACGAAAATTTGTAAATAACATTCTGTGGACTTAAAATATAAATCCCCTTTTTATAGTTATTAGATTTAATTAAAACATAATTAAATTTTCAAAACATACTAATTTTCAATATATTTAAATAATTAAAAATTCTTAGTTGTAATCTTAGAACTGATAATATAATTATTTCTTTATTAAAAAATTTTAGATAGATTTAAAATTTTATTTGTTGAAATTATAACTTTTAATTTTAAAGTTTAGATGAATAATAGTGTATTTAATTGGAGAATTCACTCTCAAAATAATTATAGAAGGCTGAAGTAAAATAATATTAATTAAAATTTATAAAAAATTGATTTATTTTAAATAATAAAATAGATAACTATATTTTGAAAATCAACTAAAAGTTAGTTAAGACAATCCTATAATTTAATAATTTTATAAATTAAAAAGTTTAACTCTTCATAAATATGTCTCATAAAAATATTTATTTACTAATTTTGTTTTTTTATAAATTGATTGATGATCATGTTTTGATTTATACCTAAAAATTTTGTTTAAATCCTAATCAAAAGTAAACAATCTTTGAAAATATTTTATTTTTAAAAACATAAGCTGATGTGATGAATTTATATAATTTATTACAAATACTGTTATTTGAATCTGAAAATATCACTTTAAATATGCCAAACAAAAAAATGTATTATTTTATAAATAAAACGCTGACTGTATATCTAATTATCAATTCAAATAATTCATTCTCACACTAAATTTTAAAAAATTTTAAAAAAAAAATCTAAATTTATAGGCAACTTCTTATAAATACTTAATATTAAAATAAATTATTGCATTAATTTTAAATTTATTATTTATTTTTTTATAATTTATTTATTAATTATATAGATATTCCAATTAAATTTCAAGTAAAGTACAAGATTAGATTTTTCATTGAAATATTTTTAAACAAAAGAGATAAATTAAAATTTCACTAAACTAATATTAAAATAGAATATTGAATATCATTAATATTATTTTATATATTTTTTGTGAGGATTACTAAAATATGACAATTAAAAAGCTAATTAATTAAGTTTAAAGTAAAATTATTAAATATAAACTTTCAAATTCTTCAATAAAATAATGATGAGTTAAAGTGAAAACTTACTTAATAAAGATATTTGATTAAAAACTTGGATTTCTTTTTGAAAAATTAAATCTTTGATTTCAAATTTTTTATTTTTTTGTTTATTCTGGTCAAAATATATCCTTTCATTTTTTATTTTTTTAAATTTTCTTTTGATTTTTTAAATTATATTTATTATTTTAGTTAATATATGTTTTCTACTCAAGAAGTAATTATTCAAATACAGCTAATATAAGATAATTATATTTTAAAAATATCCTTCAATAAATCCTCTTTGAGATATTAGAGCAAAAAAATATTCATTAAATTATAAGGAAAGATTATGTTAGAATTAAAATGAGAATTGAAAAAGTGATGGGAAAAATAATTAAAAAAATAGACAGTAATGATTTATTTTAATTAAAATTCATTCTATTTGTTTGATTTTTAAAATTTGTAATTTTTTTAGAGTTGTTAAATGATAAAAATAAATGCTTAATTGAGCTATTTTTTTATTAAAAATGAATATTTATTACTACAAATATTTTAATATATTGAATATAAAAACTAATAACTAAAAATCTATTCTGAAAAACAATCTAAGGTAAATAGTTGCTTTTATATACAAATAATTAGCTTTATAATTTGCAAAATATTAACAAAAATGAGTTTTATTTAAAAATAAGTATTAATTTATTAATAAAATTCAAAGTTAATATGCAAATTTTTTTTATAATAAAGTAAATTACTTCTAAAATTTGCTGGTTAATAACAGAGAAAGGGTTTTTAAGCACTAAACTGATTTTTGTTAATAAAAGGGGAATATTGATCTATAATAAAGACCAATCTTGTTTTTTTATGGTAAAGATGAAGAAAAATTAAAATTGTAAAAGGAATTTTAAAAATAGATGAGAGGGCGGATGTTTGAATGAAAAGATTTTGAATTGATTTATGATAGAATGCCTAAATGAAAAAAAACTAACTAAAAAACAAGCAAAAAACAAATAAATAAATAGAGAAACAAACAAAAAAATAAACAAACAAACAAGCAAAAAAATAAAAGAAAATAATAAATAAACAAATAAGCGCTATCAAAAAATAAATCAAAAATTATATTGATATTATATCAAAAACAAAAAATAGAGAAAGGTAATTTGAGATAAAAAGTAAAAAGATTAATGAAGATTAGTAAATAGAGAAAAGCAAGTAAAGGAGTGAAGGAAATCTTAGCTTCCTTCTAGCCTTAAAAAGCTAAAAAGATTACAAAGGCTCCAAAAGTGAGCTAAGGGAATGCCTCCAGACCTTCAGCTTCAAAGGCAAGTAATAAAAAATAACAACTTTCCATTAATTCTAAATAGGTCTAAAAAAATAAAAAAATCAATAACGATAAAAAAAGAAGTTCTTCTAAGGAAGAAGAAGCAAAATAATCACAAAATCTTGCACAACATCGCGAGTAGTCTAAAAAGAATAAGAAGAATGTTGATTTTTTAAATAAATTGAAGGATGTTTCTTCCAAAATTAAAAAAGCTGCTTCTCTCAAACAAAGATCATAAAATACAAAATAAACAACTTCTCCTAAACAAAGTAAAGCTGCAAAGTAACCCGTTTCTTCTCAAGACAGCTCTATGAGAAAGTCTAAGAGAGACCCTAAGCCTACATTCAAATTGCTTGAGAACTCTGTTGTCAGTCTCTCTTCAGCCAGCAAGAAAAATTCTTCTGTTTCTTAAGCTTCTGCTTCTTAATTAAAATAAAACTCTTCCAAAAAGCATGAGAAATAATAAGATTAAAGCAAAAGATCTGTTTCAAAAACAGCAGCAAACAAGGATTCTAAATCTAAAAAAACTAGCCAATCAAGAGAACCTAAAGCACCTGCAAATCAAAGAAAACAAAGTTCTAGCAAAAGTGAGCATAACTCAAAGAAAGAAAGAAATCACAGCAACTCTAAGGAAAGAAAAAGTGATGTTTTTGCTCTTTAATCCCACACTAGATCGAGAAGACAAATCAAACTGACTGAAAAACTTTTGGATTTGTAATAGTCTACTAAACATAAATCTGACAAGAATGTAGGCTCAAGGGGAAGTTCAAGTACTCAGTCCAAGTCAAAGTCTGCCAATAAACAAGCTAAGAACACCTCAGTGAGCAGAAGTGCCTTAAAAAAGTAACCTGCTTAGACTTCAAGCTCTTCTGTTGAATAAAAGAAGAAGGTTATTAAATAAGATATTAAAACCTAATCAAAAGATAGATAACGCTCAACTGATAAATCTGCTCGTAGATTAAAATCTGACGAAAAAAAATCATCACACCCATCAGAAACAAAGAAACTTCTTGCTAAATCACCAATACAAATCAAAAATAATAAAAAAAGCACTGATAAAAGTTAATCAGCTTCCCACTTAAAACATGAAAGCAAAGGTCACTCAGATGCTTAGAAGAGATCCTCAAGCAGATCCACTTCATCAAATATCAGAAAGAAATCATCATCAAAGCCTATAAGAGAGTTGACTCCACCTCAAAAAAAGCAAAGTGTTGTCGCTCAATCAACTACTGAAAAACTATAGCGCTAAAGATAAAGCTCTGCTGTTTCATTGAAAAAAGAATCTAATAAATAGAAAGAAGAAAAGAAGACAAAGACTCATCATAGTAGAAATGAATCTAAATCTTCTAAGAGATCTCATTCACCTTTAAACAAATTAGTTAATTAAAAGCACAGCAAGGATGTTTCAACAGACTCTCATTCAAAGAAAACAAAGGATGTATCAATTGTTTCTTCCCACTCAAAGAAAAATAAAGATGCCTCAGTAGACTCCAAGATAAACAGTAAATCATAAAAAAGTAATACTGATAAAAAATCAATAACTCCTCAAAAGAAATAAAGATAAAATCGTCATCAAGAAAAAGAAAATTCAGCTGAAAGATCTAGGTCTCCCTTAGTAAATAAAAAGAAAGAATCTCAAAGAAACAAATCTTCTAAAATAGAAAAAGTGATTCACTCTTCCCCATCTAAAAGCGTTTAAGCATCACATAAAGCTGAAAAATCCCATTCAAAAGAGAAGAGAAGACAATCTAAATCAACAAAAAGATCCTCTTCTGCATCCTCTTCCTCCCACTAAGTCAGCTCAGTATCTTTCTCTCCCAAAACTAAAAATGTTAGCAATAAACTTTTGAGAATACTTCAAAGCATCGAACAAAGAAGTGCAAGCTCTTCCCAAGGCCCTAAATCTATTTGGTAAAATAAACAATCTTCCTCTGCAGAAAGAAAGGAAAGCAAATCTTCTACAACCTAATCTACCTCTTTATCACACTCCTCAATAAGCAGCTAATCAGATAAACCTAAAAAGAATTTAGAAAGTTACAATAGAATAATTAGTCAACTAGGAATTAAAAAGAGAATATCTAAAAAAAATGATACTTTAAACAGCAACAATAAATCTAAGAAAAAACACTTAAAGAAAAGTAAAAAAATAAAAACTAACTCTAAAAACTCAAGCAGCAAGAAATCAATGAAACATTGATTAAAGTTTATTCAATGATTTATCTGAAATTTATTTGGCTTTATTTTGTTTTAATTATTAAGTAAATAAATTAATTTATTAATGGAAATGCTTGACTTTCCATTCTTATTTCTTAGTAATGAGTGTTATCTATTTATTTCGTTAATTAATTTATCAATATAAACTTAACTAATTCATTATAAAATCATCAGTTTAATTTCAAATCTTACTACCTTTTTATTTGTTTACTCCTCTCATCAATCCATCCATTCTTTTAAATCTATATTTTTATACATATATACTGTGTTTTTATACTTTTTTGAATTGTGATTTATCAAAAAAATCTATCTATATACTATGTTAAATTAAAAATTTTTTTTTTATTGACAATAGTCTGTTTTTTTATTTATATTGAAAAATTACATTTAAAAAAATATTTTAAAAATAAAATTGGAAATTAATTTAGAATTAGCTAACTTAATTTTTAGATTATTTACATAGTTATTTATGTATTATGCATTTACAAAATGGTTAAATTAAAGATGAATTTAATTAAATAGTTATTAATTATAATTCACTATTTTATTTAATATATTTTAATATAAAAATTTATGAATGAGTATTCATTTTTATGAATGAATTTGTGAAAAAATATCAATTAAATTAATGTAATTTGAAATTTTCATCTAATTTGTTTGTTTTTTTTTGTCAGTATTTACAAAAATTATCAATAAATTGATCAAATATTTTGACTTGAAGATTAAATATTGATGACTATTTTATTGTTGTTGTTGTTAGAACTCGAGTCACTTGTGCAAAGACTAAAATCACTTTTTCTTAGCTTGTTGTTATTATTTAAAAGCATCAACTACTTTTAAGTTTGAATTGGTGAATTTAGTTCTGAGTAAGCTGTGTTTATATCGGTTTGGCGAGAGAAAATAGGAGAAGTTTAATGACTGCTTGGATATATTTAGAACTAGGCTTTAATTGGAAGCAGTTTTTGTTTGGGGCTTTTAATTAAAGTTGATTGGCTGTCTCTGAATATGTCTTTAGTGGATTTAGTTGTTTTTGGATTATGGTGAATAGCCTCGTATATCCTTGCATTTTGTTTAGATATTTAGAATTATTTATCTAATTTTAATTCAGCTTTTTTAGCATTTGAAGCTTGGTATTCTATTTGAAACTTATAAAGATTGCTCTTGTTTGGAGATTTAGAAGAAGAGGGATGATTTTTTGCAATTGATTTGTTTGCCTGCTTCTAAGGGGTTTTTTGGAATCGTATTTGTTCATTTAAATATTCACTTGATTTCTTTAAAGAGTCTACTTTTTATGGATCTAATAATTTTATATTGTTTTAGATAATGCAACTTATACTTCTATAGCTTAGATTGTTATTTTTACAATCAGTTGATTTATGTATGCTGTTTGTATGAGGAGGATCTGCAGTTAGAGGAGGAATAAAGTTGCTGTTATCAGAAATACCATTTAAAGGTAGATTCATTAAGTCTATCTCGTTCTTTGAGTTTTTTATCATTTATATACTGGGTATTTAGTTAAAGGATTTGGAAGGAATTAAATTAGAATTGTTTTGTTGATATAAAATTTATTAGTCATGATTAAGATAAATTGAATTTTCTATTTTATTATTGTCTAGGGGATTAATTTAAGGACTATTTAAATATATATCAGGAGTATTCTGTTTTGTGTAAGATTGTATCTGATTAGGAATGTATTCATTAGAGAATTAAGTATTATATTTATTATTTGTATTGTTATTATATGTCTAGCTGTTCGTTTCGTAGTTTGAAATGAGATTTGCATCATCTTCACCTTAAATCTTTATTTTGTATGGAAGTTATTCATTTGCTATTTATAAAGAGTTGTAATAAATCTGCTAACTTTGGCTTTTTCCACTTTTTTAATATTGTTTTCTCATTTGTTGAATTTTATTTTCTTCTTGTTGGTCAGTTTTTATTTCAGTTTAGTCAATTAAGTCGTTGTTGCTTCCTCTAAAATCAATTTAGGATTAAGAAAGAATGTTGTATTTTGTGCGTCTGTTTTCCTGCTAAGAGTGATTAGTAGGTAAGGTAATTTTGGTTTATGAATTTTATTTAGTTAGATAGATTCGAGACATGCTTTTGTGTTTTTTAATTTCTTTTTCATCATCTTCTCCGTCTGGGTTGTCGTATTGTTTTACGAAATTAGGAGGTCTCATGAGAGTTTGTTATAACTTCAGTTTTTGAAACTTTTCACCTGAAATTTAAGGATTTATCAAAGGTGAAGAATCGTAAGCAGAATTGTTCATTTTATTGAGAGAAGGGAGATGAGTTTTGCTTAGATTCTTCTCATTTTAGTTGAGAAACACTTGAGATTTATTAATTTTATGCAAAGTTGGAGAATATTCTTGTCCATCAAATTTTTGGAAGCTAGAGAATTTTTAGTATTGTTATGATGGTAATAAAGATGAGCGAATTTCTAATTGAGATAAATCAATTTGAGATTTGGAGAAATTCTAAGAAGAAATCATTAAATTTTTAGTTTCTTTTTTCTTCTGTTTATTGACATGTTATTAAAGCATTTCTAAGAAATGATCTTTTAAAGCGCTTTTATCTTTAGCATTTTAGATTTTAGACGGTGATTAAACTCTTGAAGGAGAAAGAGCTTGTTCTTCATCTTCCTTAGAGTTATTGACTTGAATTTCATTTTAACTTTTAATTAAACCCTCTTCTAAAAAATTAATGTCTGGCTGTGAATTTTCTTTGTATTTTTTCTTTTTCTTAGCTGGATCTTAGCCAGTTTGAATCATTTCTTTTAAATCCGAAAGAGATTGTAATTTAAGTTACTACCTTCCCTATTAAGTTCTATAAATCTTTTAGAACTCCGCCTATTTCTTGAAGTCTTTAGGATCATCATAAATAAAATTTTTATAGTTCATAATCTATTTTGTAATTGATTCAATTTTTTCTTTCATTCTCTCATTTTTAATAGCTAATCTCTCTTACAAATAGTTCAGAGCTCCTTCTTCATGCATGATTCTCAGTTCAAAATCTCTCTTCTTAATTAAAATGCATTAACCCTAAGCACTGTTACAAATAGCAGTGCATTTTCTATAATCAACTCCCTCCATAATCTCCTCATCACCAAAAAGCTCTGGATTTGTATAAACCGATATCTATATAAATTAAATAAAATAAATTCACAGCTTTTAACATAAATTTAAATTCTCAATTCTCAATCAAAATAAAAATTTTTATCATTTTTATAGAGTAATTTTTTCATATTAATTTTAAAAATCGTTCTAACAAAAATATAAATTATTGCTAATTTTTGCTATTTTTAAATGAAATCTTTTTATTTTTTTTATTTTACTAAACTTTAAAATTTTGCAATTGTTTAAATCATTTTGATTGCTTTTACTAACCATTTTTCAAATTTATTTCATATTATGCTCATTCATATTTAAGTTACTCACTTATGGGTGTTTTCAGATTAGAAATTTTTGGATTGAATAAGAATCTTTGTTTTTTAATTGATTTACCTAGAATTGCTTTGAAGCCTTTTTGTTGCTACCCATAAGATGTCTGACTTCCTATGAGGATGTCTTGTAAAGGTGATCGCATGAATCGTCTTTATAGAATGACTTTTCTAACTATTTATTAAATTACGTTAGATGAAATTATAATAAATAATTAAGAGAAAAAATTAGTTCGCTATTTTGGCAACTCAGTTTTTGAGAAAATATATCAAAAATTTTAGTGTAATGCGGGAAGATAAGGAATGTAAAATTTAAACAAACAAATAAACAAGTAATTAAATAAAAAATTAGTTGCTCCAGTATAAATAAGATATAACTTAATAATCAAAAAGGTTTAAATATCAATTTAAATTAATTTTTAACATTTATTTGCTTGATTAAAAGTTTAAATTTGTTTTTTGTTCTCCTCCAATTTCATCAAAAAAATTGAAGCTTTGCCAAAATTATTTATAACAATCAAAAAATTTCTGAAGAACATAAAAGATTTCCATGACTTTTTTTGTTATTTTAATCAAATATTCGCTGTATTAAGAAAATTTGAATTCGTTATTATGAATTAATTTATATTAAAACAAAGGATATTTTTTTGTTTATTGTATTGTAAGGAAGACTTACTTACTTATAATTATAAATATATTTGTAAATTAATTGGGGATGGTTCGATTAGTCAATTAATTAATTGATTTATGTATGTATGATTGATAATTTAAATAAATAAATGAATGTATCAATGTAAGGAATTGCAAAAAAATAAATAAATTCTTCCTGATAAATCATTTTTGCGCTGATTCAGTTTTCTTGATTGCTATTTAAAACATAAATTGCTAATGTAAAAAAAGTATTAATTACCACAAACTCTCCAGAAACAATTATGTACACAGCGAGGGGTTCTGATCCTTCTTTGTAGATTCTGTCCCCCTTTACGAAGTTTACTCGGACGGAATTTAAATAGAGGAGTTTAACTAAATTGAAGTTCCAACCTTTGAAGAAGGGAAGACTAGCAAAAAAGCCCATTTCTTTAATAAGTTTTTCTTCCTCTTTTTCCTTTAATATCTCATTAAATTCCTTTTTATCAAGAGTTGCAAAATGGCAATTGGAATGACAAATAATACTAGCTAATCTTGGCTTGTTGTTCATCAATGCAAGTTCACCAAATCCAGTTCCTGCATTCAACTCTTTGACACACACTAAATCGTTATCTATTTAATTTGTATTTTCTTATTAATTATCTTCACTTTCCTATCTCTTTTTTGGAAGTCTTATATAAACTCCAACAGTCCCTTCTAAAATTAGATAAAACTTCGATCCTGTTGTATCTTTTTTACATTATTTAAAATAAAATATTTCAATTACAGCTAAACAAGACTTTATTATTTTTAATGCAAGATTTATTCAAACTCTCATTAATTTTATTTATTTAATTCTTTTCTTGCACAAATCGATTTCTAGTTTGCTGAAAAGAATCGATCTAACTCATTATAATTTTAATCTAAAATGCTATTTTTCAGTCAATAATCAACTTGTTATTTATTTACCTATATGGAAAACTACTTGGTCCTTCTTCATGTACTGATGCTTCATTGAAACGCAACACTTGTTGTGAACTATATTTAAAATGACAATCTTAATTATGATGTTATCGCTTATTTGTTTGTTCATTACTATCTGTATCTCCACTGTCATTATATTATTTGAAAAATTAAATGGATTTGGTCTCGTTTTGCAGTAAAAATATGTCCCTGGGAGTTCTCTTTTGAGGAGGCTTTTGCAGAACTTCTAAGATATTCTAAAAATAAAAAAATGTTGAAGCGATACATTCAACTTTCTAATCACAAAGTTACATTTATGTGCTGCATCTACTTTCTATTTTTTAATAAAGTCTATTAATCTCTATGTGTTTTTCTACTTTTTTGAAAAATATTAATAAATTGGCAGCCTTACTCTTTCTAAATTATTTTATGAAAAAAAAGCTGATTTTTTTTTTTTACACTAAATTGATTGATTTTATATTAATTTCTATCAACCAGCCATTAATATTTATTTATTTATTAGCACAACTCTCAATATAAAAAGCGAATTTTGATAAAAACCCACTCATAGACTTAAAATCTAATCCTATTTTAACTCTTAACTCCATATTTTTTTCATCTGTATAAAATAATGCTAAATAAGAATATTTATTTATTGCTTTACATTTTATATTTCCTCATTTTTCACTGATTGATTCATTCTCTTTCTTCCTTTTTCTTTCATTAATATACTATTTATCTATTCAAAACATTAAGATACTTCATGGATACTTTTAATTTGATCCTTACATAAATTATATAACAAAAATATTAATTAATTAATTTCTTTATTTAGATACCAAAAAAAAGTAAAAAGAAAGAAATAAATAAATTATTATTTAAGAATGACTTATTAAGAATTACTTGTTGTTACTAAAATCATCTTAATCAAAGCGAGATTTGAAATAGTACAATTCAATTTTTAAGTATCCTATTTTTATTATAATATACAGTAAAAAATTTACTTTAAACAAACTCTGATTATTGTAAACGCCAAAAAAACTAACCAAAACAATTAATTTAATATCAAAAAAACTTATAATAGCAATAAAAATTTTCATTGAGATTATTCATTTTATTGCTATTTTAACCAACAAGTTTTTAAATAGATTATTATTTTCATTTTAAAATTATATTGTAGAATATTTACTCTATTTAGTGAATTAAAAGATCATTAAATATATTTGTTGATGATTTCTTATAGATACCTATTTAAAGCCGTGTAAGGGCATTTATAATTTAGAATTCAGAAGTAATAAAATTTATATTTGCATCTTCTTATTTTAAAAGCTATTTTTGGGATTTAAGCTTGCTAGTTTTATTTTCATCTTTGTATTATTTGTTTGAGTGATGCGCTATTTATTTAGAGTATTTTATATTAATTATAAAATACTACATTGAATCTTTGAAAGTATGCCTAAATTGCATTCATTAATATAGTTGATTTAAAACTACTAAATAAGTCAATTATATTTAATTACTAAAATTTAAATTCAATTAATTCATTTTTTAGCTTAGCTAAGCCAGTAGAAACAAGAAGCTAAAGTAATAAGATTTTATTGAATAAAATATATAATAAAAATCATATGTGCAGCATAAATCAATTTTTTAGTTGGATCAGGAATATTCAATTTTCATATAAATTTTGCCCTTTATCCAACATAAAAGGTTTTTATAAAAATGAATTTAAAATTTAATTATTTAGTTTATTATCTTTTTATTTGATTTATTTTTCTTTCTAATTTTTATTCTACTTGTGTTTTTTTTTTCTATCTTTCTAAATTTAACTCATTTTTTTATTTTCAAATTTTTCTTTTGTTATCATTAATTAATTCATTTCTTGTTATTTCATATTTTTCTTCATTTTATCCTTCTAACTAACTAATTAATTTATTATTTACTTTTTCTTAAATATTTAAAAAGAGAAAATAAAATTGGTGATGAAGGTTTATTAGGCTTAGCTTCTGCTTTAGCAAATTGCACTAACATCTCTAATCTGACACTTATTCTTCGGTAAAAATAGTTTATTTGTTTTGGTTTGTGATATTTTTATTTATTAAAATAAATTAAAACAAAAAAAACACTCTTAATTTGTTTGTCTACTTTTATTTGATTTATTTTTATTTTATGCTACATTTTGTTTTATTATTTTTAAATATAATTTATAAATTAAAAATTTTATTTATTTTATTTTTTTAGTATTTTACTTTCATTTAATATAATATAAAAGTAAAAACGAAATCAATAAATCATAATAATTGAAAGTAAAAAGAAGATGTCTTAAATCAAAAAGATTAGTTCTCTTTACAATAAATTATTGAATAAATATTTAATATTTGAATAATAGAAAATAATATGTTTTATAATATATTAATTTGTATTTTTCGATAATTTAACTTAAAATATTTATAGATTTATTATTATTTTTATATTTAAAATTAATTTTCCACCATACATATATAAAGTAAAGTGTAGAATCTGTCTCAGCAAAAAAATAAAAAAATATTTATCCTAACCTCTCCAATTGACGAAACAAACCTGTTTCAAAACTTTTTTTTTATTTATTTTAATTTTTTTATATTATTCTACTATGTCTATATTTCTAACTCAAGAAATAATTTTCTGAAAATAGCTATATAACTAAAGATAAATTTTTTTTTTTATTAATTTTAAGTGATAAAAAGTGGATATGATTATTAAAAATATTTACAAAATTATTATTTATTTTATTATAAAAGAATACAATTAAGAATTTAAATATAACAAAAAGATAAGATAATCAAATAGATAAATTTTAAATGATTTCTTATAAATTTAATAAGTTAAACAGTTTCACAATTATTTTTATGGTTTTAGATTTATTCAACTAATGTGAAACAATCAACATTTTTAAAATGGAGACAGTAGTTCCAACTGCAACAAAATCAACTGCAACCATGATGAAAAATGATGTTATTTTATTATTTGAAGAGGGAGCACTCTGTCCACTGACTATAGACAAGATTACATAATAGTAAAATAAACAAAGGATTATCATAGAAAATGTAGAGACATACTTTCCAATTTTTTTGATTTTGTGTGTTAATTTGATAATTCCTAGACTGACTTGCAAAACAATTGAATTCAATATAGAAACCATAATCATTTAAGCTTCATTATACTGTTGGCTAAATATAGTCGATATACTTAAACAGTGAATCATTCTGATATAAAAAATAGTGAATCTTATTGACCTTGATAATACTTTATCATATAAAAAGAATATGCTGAAGAAATCATGGAAAACTAAAACTCTTATCATTATTGGATAGCTCATATACTTTTCAATAGTTAGTTAATTCTCTTTTTCTTTTTTCTCTTCTTCAGAGTTTTTATTAGAATTTTTTTAGTTAATTTCATCTGTAATTATTTATTCGTCTTGTGATTTTTTCTAAGTTATTTCATTATTTTATAAGATTTATTCATTTGATATGTTTGAAGTTAATTTAAAAGCTGTTTCTTTGTTTGCATTTTTATTTTATTCTGTGTTAATTGATAAAAAGCTTTTTTTGTCTATTTGATTGCTAGTTAGATTTGGTTCTTTGTTAGTTTAGATATTTATATTGTTTAAATTCTGTGATAAATTATCTAATTTTGATTATTATTTAATCCTTAAAGTATCATCTTACAATAAATTTTTAGATACTGAAGATATCTTAAGACCATGAAAATTTTTATAACTTTCAGCCTATTTTTGTTGATCTTTTTATAACTCAAAATCTGACAAAGAAACTGATCGCTTTGATTAAAGTTATCTACTAAATTTCTTTGATATAGCTTCATTAACTTGATCCAACTGTTGATGATTTTGAAGTTATTGTATCATCAATGGCTACTGTTGTGGAGTTTGTTATTGGTTTATTGAAATATAGGACTGCCTTTAGAATTCATCTTAGTGGTTTTAGTCGTTTATGGGGGAAACTCTTGACGAAGCTTTGTAAAATTTAATTCCTCCTTAATATTTTTTATCTAGAAAATTTCCATAAAAATAAAGTCCAAATTAAACAAGAGTCAAAGTGCTCAAAAACCAAAAAATTGCAAATTTATAAAAATCTGAAAAATTGCTTATGTTTTCAAATCCTTAAGAGCTGAATGCTGTTTTTAGGTTTTTGTTATCTAAAAGTGAACTTAAATCATCTATGATTGTTGTAGGATTCTATTTCTCGCAGTAACAATAGTATCCATTGATAATTTTGTTTTTTAAAGTTTCACATCCTGAAGTTGACCATGAAGTTTTTTATTGTTAAATGCAAGACATGTTACTGTTGTTTTATGAGGTTTTAGCATTAGGGAATTTAAGCACAATAGATGCATTTAAAGCTTAATTAGCATTTGTATTTTTATTTGTAATGTTAGGCTGAATTACTTGATTGTAAGATATTTTTAGTGTAGGGTCTGCTTGTTGAAGCTATTAAGTGTAATTTTTAAATTCAGGGGTTTCTTTGTAAGGATTTTAAGAAAAAACTAAATTAGCTGCATTATAAATATTTGTTTAATTTGAAGGAGGATTACTGTATATTTGCATGTATTATTAAAGATTTTTATCAGTAATTAATTAGCAATCTAAGTTAATCAGATTTCCAGAGAGTTATATTCCACCTTAGTTTGGAAGGGTTTAGTCGTTGAGTTGATTACAAATTGAGTTTGAAATGTTAATCTAAGTTGGCAACAAATTATAAGATATGTTTTATGTAGTTGAATTGATTATTTTAAAAGAATCTACTAAATTTTATAGTTAAATATTGTTGTCTTTAGCTAATTAGTTAGTTAAGGGTTATTTTTATAGTTGTTTATTCACTTAATCTAAAACACTTGAAACTTATGTGTCAGATTAAGCTGGTAAAGAAGATTGCAGTTAAGATATCACTTTGTTTGAGTAAGTGTACAAAAACGAAGACTTAGGCAGCAAGTTAGTCTGAGCTATTAGTTACTCTATGATCAATATTTTCCTTTAGTTAACAGATGATAAATTGAATAGAGGATTGCTTTTTGATATTTATTCACCTATAACTGATAAATTCAAAACTATTTATGAAGTTGGTTACTTTATATTCTTGGAATTAAGAGAATTATCAATAATGTTTAATAAAGTTTATTCATCACAATTAAGTGGAGAAACTTGAACTTATACTGTGCTGTTAAAAACACCTAACTTAGAATCAATTGCTTATGCCATTATTGTAATTTTTCCTTCAGGAAGGAAAGTATATTTCTCATTAATAATAGTTTAATCTAAAATTTACCTTCTTTTAATTATCTTTGGGTTTTATACTTCTGAATTTAAATCGTCTTAGCTAATGTAGTAGAAAAACTAGTAAGTAATAGGTAAATTATCAGAGCTGCAACCAACCATTTTTATGTAAAAATTAGTAATAAGAGCTTCGCCAGTTGAAGGAGTAACACTCAATAAACAATTATTAGGAGGTAGATTCACATTCAAGTTAATTATAGACATGCTTGGCATCAAATAAACTGGATTATAAACAGTGAATCTTAACTAAACTATTTTGTTAGAAGATTGAACATTAGAAAAATAATCCCAAATTCTAAGTTTGACTTCGTAGAAATCAAATTTAATAACTCCTTGCACATCATCATCATATATTATAGCTCCAGCATATGTGAGAATATCAGATGAGACATTAGCACCATAAATTAATTTAACTGTGATGTCCTCATTTAAATTTACTGTTTCAAGCTATGATGGGTTTGAAAATATAACAGTCAAAGGAGGTAAGTCAAATTCTGAAAAACTTATTAACACACTTGATTAGCTCTTTCGTGAATCTTTAGTACCTATTAAAGTGAAATTTAGAGTTTGATAAGCCTAAAATATTTTCCCTGGAACAGTAATTGATAATCCAGTTTACTGAATAGTATAAACTTATTATTTTTAGTTATAACATTGGTAATCTCCCTTATTTACCACAATAGATTGACAAGACCATAATAAATTAATATCCTAAGCAGCTGTCTAATCTTAAAGCTCAAAATCTTAAGCTATTCCCTAAAGGAGAAGAGGTTACTTATAATTAACAAGCTAAGTAGATCCCCCTTGTACCTTGATAAATAAATTTGTGAGCTAAGGTTAGATTTATAAGTTATTCTAAGCACTCAAAGTCTGATCACTACTTAAAATTGCTATAAACTATCAAAAAATATTAAAATAAATAAATAAATGTTTAAATCTATTATTACATTTAAATCTAAAACACTGCTGATAGGAATCTAATATGGTTATATATCAACCTAAATTTATGCGTCAGAGAAAGATTAGTAACTTTAATTTAATGTAGGCATTGTTTAAGACTACAATGAAATGTTTAAGGGTTCTATAAACATATTAGGCCCATTCTGATCACACGTTTACACATAAAACGAATAAAAAACAGATAGACTGTTATATCTATTATTTATTTATTTAAATAATTTTCATTCATTTATTTATTTAAATAATTCATTCATTATTTATTAATTAATTAATTTGTTATTTTTAAAAGGTAAAAAATTAATTTTTTAGTAAAGCAAAAAATATTTTTTTAAAAAAAGTTAAATATTTTTGAAAAGCAGCTAGAAAGAATTTGCAGTAATTATTTAATATTTTAAAAAAGAGGTAGTTAAATATAATTGAATTATAATATGAAATAAATAATACCTGAAAATTGGAGGATATTAACTTTGAATTGTAGATATAACTACCTGTTTAAGTTTATTATACTGTGTTACAAATTTTTAAGTGTCTTACCAACTAACTTTAAGAGAATATGAGAATTACATAGTTATTAAAGAACTTGGTGGTATTAGATATTTTTCTATGATTAGTGTTTAACTTTTTTAAGTATTTGCTGTTTGAATGATTTAATCTACCTTAGATTAAATTGAGGCATCCAGCAGTGGCTCCACTTCAATGCTCCATTATAAAGAAAGGAATCCTCTTTGTGCATCATTTTATGGTTAAACACTGAATTATATGTCATTACATGTATTTTAAATTTAATCATATTAAAAATCTAAATAAGGATTCTAATTTCTGAACTAAGAAACTTTCAGTAAATAGAATGTATCTATAAATGTACTGGAACTTACCTAGTAAGATAAAATTCCATTAACTAGAGAAATCTCATCATTTTCTTTTATTATTGAGTCATTACCTATTAGCAATATTAATTACAATTTTAGGTAAATAACAACATTTTTAAATATTTAAATAAATAAATACTTAATGTGACTACAATGAAAGATAAAACTATTTTGCAGGTGGCAGTTTTACCAATATCGCTAAGTGTTGGGTTTTTAAAAATTTAATTGCATTATAAATTAGTTATAGGCTATAAATTCACACCAAAATCAATTTTCAAAGTAGGAGTTTTATTATCTAGAATAGCTTGTAAAACAGCTACATTATTGTAACTGCATTCAAAATAAAGATCTCTAATATCAGCAGTGTTTCTACATACGCACTTCCCATTACTTATTTGTCTGGTTCCATAACAGTCTAAGCAAGTATTTTAATTGTTGTATGGACAAGATTTACAGGTTTAATAGCAAGTTTAACATTCTGGAACTATGTATTGTTTGCACTGTACGCATTCGAAATTGGATAATTACTTTTAATAATTATTTGGACACCATTGATAGCAATAGCTACCTAAACTAAACCAGTTTGTTAGACAACTTGTGCAATTACTCTCTAAAGCCCTTGAACATGATTGGCAAGTGGGATCACATTAGTTGCAATTACCGTTAGAGTCTAAAAAGTATCCTAAACTTGGACAAGTGCACTAAAATGTTGATGAATTAAAAGTAAATGGACTAATGCAAGTTTTACAGTTTTAAGGACCAGTGCATTCTAAGCAGTTAGTCATACAATTTTAGCACTAAAAGCTTGAGTCTCTGTATTGGTTGGAATTACATTTAGGCAGACATTTTAAAGCTAAATCAACGAATTCATATCCGTCTTTGCAAACTGTGCAATCTTAACCAGTAGTGCAAGACAAACAATCTTGAACACAGTTTTTACATGTCTAGGATTAGCTATATTAATCAGGTAGAGTGGCATATTGATTTGGAGCACATTTTATTTTACAATATTTCAGATTAGTTGTTGGATTGTTATCTATGTAATAACTGGTCGATAAGCAAGTTTTACAATTTTGATTGTTATCACATGAAGAACAATTTAATGGGCACTTTTTAGATCAAAAAAATAAGATTTATTGAGTTAATTAATTTCAACAAAATGCAAGTATAAATTCAGTTTTTAGTTGATAAATGAATGAATGGTTGTTTACTTAATAATTGGCATAGACAGTTACGTAACTCACTGATTAAACTGATACTAGCTCATCAGTACTGCAAACCATAGTGAATTCAATGTTATTATAATCAAAATTAGTCACTCCGCTAAACGAGTATTTATAATTGAAAGTGTAATAATTGCATCCAGAAACAGGACTAAATGTATCGATTTGTAGCTATTGAGTTAAAGTGTTAACACCATCTGATAACTCAATTGAGTTGTAGTTTAACTTTTAAGGTGCAGAAGCATAGTAAAAGATGTAAGAAATGCTTATTTCTTTTATTTATTGTCTAAAAAAAGAACTTTAAATCAAATTATCCTTAATGAAATACTTACTAAGCTGATAATGAAAGTCTTATTCTACTAGTTCCTCTTCCTTGTTTATGTCCTATAGTGTTAAATTACTAATCGCAGTCTGTTACAACTCTTATAGGCTGGTTAAATCCATAGTCGCTAACTTATTAGCTTGTATATTCTCCCATCGTTTGAAGAAGACATCCATAATCTAATTAAGAACAATAAGTAAACAATTCATACATATATGATGAAAAAACATACTTTAATAGCCCGTCTACTATATAAATGACTAATCAGTACAAATTTGCTCAGCTTTAACGAGTAAATATGTAACTAATAAAAAAAATTAAAATCAATTTATGTTTGAAAAGCTCAAAAAAAATTAACTTACTTGTAAAAAATTGATAAAGCCTTCTAATTATTTATTAACTCATGATTCTTGTGGATTTTAACGTTGTAATTCTTATTAAATTAATAATTAAGAATCTAATAATTTATTTAGGTCAAAAATTCAATAAATCTATCGATCTGTTTTTATTCATACGATTTCTAGTAACCAGAATTAAAATTCAAAACCAAAAAATTCACATACATACATACATACAGCCCAAAATAAATTAAAATTAAAATTTGATTTTTCAAGCTATTGTTTTTGTAAATCTTTAATCTAAAAAATCCGATTTCTGTCTGAACAATAAAACAAAAGCGTTTTAACTAAACGTTCTATTACTTTAACGAAAATTTTTTTTAATTATTTGCATAACTCAATTTATTTTTTCTAAAAAATTAATTTTTTCATATGCAACAAATTATAGAAGCAATCTGATTTTTTTTCTAGTTGTTTTCATTAAATTTTGTCTAACATTTCTAATGTTTGTTTTCAATTTTCTTGCATTTTTTTTTAATTTGCAAAAAGCTCTTTTTGGGATTCCTAAATTATGATAAATTTTACAATTAAATAATTTGATTAGCAAAATGCTTGTATCTATCTAATTGGATAGCAAACAAATATATAGAAAGTAAAATTGAGAATAAATCTAAAGAGCGAGGATGTTACTTATAAAAATTAAAGCAATTTCTATATAATTATTCTAAATTAATTTGATCAAAAATAATATTTTTACTCATTTTTATTTTAAAATGGAATAATTTGAAGTAAAAAAAGATACAAATTGAATCGCCAACAAATAATTTCATTAGCAAAATGCTTGTATCTAACTAATTTGATAACAAAGAAATATATTGAAAATATAATTGAGAATAAATCTAAAGAGCGAGGATGTTATTTATAAAAATTCTTCATAATAAAGCAATTTCTATATAATTATTCTAAATTACTTTGATCAATAAAAAATATTTTGATTTATTTTTATTTTAAAATGGAATAATTTGAAGTAAAGAAAGATACAAATTGAATCACCAAATTTCAATTAAAAACAATCGATTATTAATTTTAAAGACAGTGTAAAAGAATCTATTAATAACTTTTTGTTTTGCATTACTAACTGAATTTATCTCACCTATTTTGATTTATTTATTTTATTTACAGTAATTAATCAAATTAATTGATTTCAGGCTGTCTTAATATTAAATAATTAATTCACTCATGTATTTATTTTCTTCCTCCTTTTTAAACTAATTACAAACTTATTTACCAATTATTTTTTTATATATTTATTTATTTATTTATTTATTTATTTATTTATTTATATTTAGTGATGCGATCAACTAAAATAACGAATCCAAAGGCAATTAATATCAACAAAAATAATATATTTTGCATAAATTAATTAGGATAAAGAACTTATCTTATTATAACTAGCATGTAAATTGTTTTAACTTTGATAAATCCTTCTAAATATAATCAATGAAAAATATCAATTAATAAAGTATTAAATAAGTTTACTCACAAATAAACGAATAGATAAATAAAATATGAACATAATTTAGGAAGAAATTAAAATAAATATAGCAATTTACAATTTCAAAACATTAAAGTTGTTTGTTATACTTACTTACTTACTTGACTTGAAATTTAAATGATTCTTTATTTTATTTAATACATTTGTATCTATTAATTTCTTCATAAACAAACAAAATATTAGATTAATATAGTAAGTAAATAATATATTATTTTTTAAACTTATACATTAAACCTTACTTTTATTTTATTTATTATTCAATTAAAATTAAATTACTTATTTATTTATTTATTTTGAAAATTGTTTTATTTATTATATTTTTATTTATAGTTTTCAACTGAAATTGAAGCCATTTAAAAATAATAAAAAAATATATTTAATTTTTAAGAAATATTAAAATCTTAAATTTTAATGATATTTTAAAGAAATTTATTTATTTAATTTCAAAATATTTTCATTTAATTTATAAATCAAACTAAAGAAATCAAATTTTAACTTACAATATTTTCAACTATTAGACTTAATTGCACAATATTTGTCGCGAAAACAATAGGTGAGAGGTGAGTTACATACAGCTATTATTTATTTATAAAATCAATCAGATATAACGACAGTAAAATTTATTGTTTATTATTTATTACTTATTTGATCAATTTTGAAAGAGATTTTCAATTCTAAAAATTAGATTTATATTTCTTGAATTTTACATAGCTTATTAAATTGGATGATTGTAAGTAAAATGTTTATTTATTTATTTATTTATTTATTATATTTTTATAGTTTTCAACTGAAATAGAAGCCATTTAAAAATAATATAAATATAAAAAATATATTTAATTTTCTAGAAATATTAAAATCTTAAATTATCAATATTAAATTTTAATGATATTTTAAAGAAATTTATTTATTTAATTTCAAAATATTTTCATTAAATTTATAAATCAAACTAAAGAAATCAAATTTTAACTTACAATATTATCAACTATTAGATTTAATTGCCCAATATTTGTCGCGAAAACAATAGGTGAGTTACATTCAGCTATTATTATTTATTTATAAAATCAATCAGATATAATAAGGACAGTAAAATTTATTGTTTATTATTTATTACTCATTTATTTGATCAATTTTGAAAGAGATTTTCAATTAATTTTAAAAAATTAGATTTATATTTCTTGAATTTTACTTAAATTGGATGATTGTAAGTTAAATATTTGTTTTAATAAGCATTTTTACAGATAATTACATATTTAGTTAGTTTAATAGTATAATTATTTCTAATTACCTATATCTAAAAAATTAAAGTTAATAAACAAATCATAGATGTGTTATTTTAATTAAGGTCCCCGTATTTTTTTATTGGTTTTACTAAATCTACAATAAATTAAACCACTCTATTTCAAAAAATAATATAAACTGATTTATTTTTCTATTATAATGTAATTCATTGATTATTAGATATAAAATTTATTTCATTAAATTTAATAAAAAAATATGCATATATACTAATGGTAATTAAGCTATACAAAAATTAGAATTGGAAAATTAAGCTACCTAAATACTGATTAAAACAAAAAGAGATAAATAAATATATGTCAAGATGGATAAGTTTATAGATATTTAGAAAAATCAGATAAATATGTTAAAATTTTAATAGAAAAATTAAAGCCTTTTATTAGTAAATATGGTAAATAGGTATAGATATAGATAAGATTATAGTTTCATAGATAAATAGATAAATAAATAAATAATTTGTGTGAATGAATGAATCGTTTATTTGAGATAGTATATTTTTTTATAGGATTAACAAAAATTATTTGAATTTTAACCTTAAAAGAGAAACAAAATAAATTCAATAAAATAGAATTTATATATAAGTGATTTATTTCATGGCCACTTTGATTTGATCAAAAAAATAAATGTGGAATAAATATTATTATAAATTTTAACTTATTTTCATTAATTTTTAATTTGAATTTTTTTCAAGCAAAGGATATTATGTATTTATTTATGCTCTCATTTATAAAATTAAGCTTTAGAAGTTATTAATTTTTACATATTTAAATAATAAATAGTAGGTTTTAAAAAATAAATAAAAATTTATCATCTGTTTCTTTAATAAATTGATTGATTGCTTGTATTTTTAAATTTAATTTTTAAGAAATTTTATTACTGTTTATCACGTTTTAGAATAAATTTACAATATAAATGCCAATTACTAAAGGGAAAAAATTATTTTAATTATCTTTTTAGGAGAATTTATTTATATTTTATTTTAAATGTAGAAATAATTTTAAGTTTTACCTTGAAAGATTGATTCTACTTAAAAAGCTAAATGTCGAATAGTGTACCAACAAAGCACTTATTTATTTTTGATTTATTTAAAAACTTCAAAAATTATTTGAATTTTAACCTTAAAAGAGAAACAAAATAAATTCAATAAAATATAATTTATATTTAAGTGATTTATTTCATGGCCACTTTGATTTGATCAAAAAAATAAATGTGGAATAAATATTATTATAAATTTTAACTTATTTTCATTAATTTTTAATTTGAATTTTTTTAAGCAAAGGATATTATGTATTTATGCTCTCATTTATAAAATTAAGCTTTAGAAGTTATTAATTTTTACATATTTAAATAATAAATAGTAGGTTTTAAAAAATAAATAAAAATGTATCATCTGTTTCTTTAATAAATTGATTGATTTAATTTAATTTTTAAGAAATTTTATTAACTGTTTATCACATTTTAGTGTAAATTTACAATATAAATATCAATTACTAAAGGGAAAAAAATTATTTTAATTATCTTTTTAGATAATTTATTTATATTTTATTTTAAATGTAGAAATAATTTTAACTTTTACCTTGAAAGATTGATTCTACTTAAAAAGCTAAATGTCGAATAGCGTATCAACCAAGCACTTATTTATTTTTGATTGATTTAAAAACTTCAAAATTTATAGATATCAGCTTTTATTAATACATATAATAAAGAAGAATAAAAGAATTTGTATTTATTTATTTATTGATTTCCGCCCTTCAATTTAACTCAGTTCTTTCATAATTTATTTGATCTATTTAATCAAAAATCTATGAATGAAAATATATATGAGTGAGGAGAAAATTAATAAATATTTAATTAGTAAATAATAAATTATGAAAGAATTAAAAATGCAAATCTGATTAAAGATATATTTTAAATACATTTCAATGTATATTTTTTAATAACTAAATTTCTATATTAATTATTTTTGGTTAATTTGAATTCGATTATATTTAAATTCACGATTAATTTAATACAAAGTAAGCAATATTAGTTAGTTATTAACTATCAAGCATGTTTAGTAGAATATATTAAATAGAGACAGACAGACATATTTTCTAAGCAAACAATTCAAAATTATTTTGTCAATGCCCAAAATTTCTTATTTTAACTAGAAATAAATATGAAAATGAATGAGAATTGATTTGCAAATATGAGTTACTTATGAAATTTATTGTTAATATTCTTTATTCAAATATGAATTGGTTTATGGTTAGATTAATAGTAAAAATATGACTAAAAAATTAGCAAAACATCCAAATAATGAAGAAGGAAACAACATAATTCATTTTAATTTTTTATACAAATTAATTATTATTTCTATAGAGATAATCAAGCTTACTTTTCGTCTAGAGAAAAATATTTTAAATTGTATTTTAGAAAAGATGTGTCAAATTTGATAGCAATTAGCAAATGCGGAATTACTAAAATAAATTATGAATTTCAAAACTAATAAAAAATAAAAATAAAGCAAAGTAGCCCTTTTTTAGATAAATTTTCAGATTAATTAAGCTTTAATTAGAAAAAGAAGTACTTTCTAAAAAATAATTCTGTTATGCGTATTTTTTTTTCCATTTATATATTTATAGAGATATATGTAAGAAGTGCAAAAAGATAAAAATGATATTTAGAATATAAAAATATAATTAATAAATAAATGGTTTTTATAGATGAAAATCAGTACATTTAATAAATTGGATCAAATATTTTAAATTTTCTAAAAAAGAAGATTGTAATGAATTGCTTTGTTAAAAAGATAGATAAATAAATAAATAGATAGATAGGAAGATACTATAAGATCATTTTTGTTAGTTTTTTAATTATTTTACAGTTAATGTTATTGGTTAATTTCTTTATCAGATATTATAATTGAACTTTTTTTTATCAAAAATATAAATTAAATTATTTAAAAAAAATTGTATTCACAAATAAGTAAACTAGTAATTAATAGCAAAAAAACCAAACAAACAAGCAAAATCTATTAATCAATTAAAATACTTCAAAATTAATGTAATTAGAATCTAATTTGCTTGAGGATTAATTAATCAATTTGTATAAAATAAATGTTTGTTCTTTTTGCATTGTTTTGAAAAGATAGATTATGTTATGATTTCTTTACAAATATTATTTTAAATAAATAATTAATTATTTTATAAATCAAAATATTCTATTTTTTGTATAATAAAATCACATAAAATATTTTTTATTAGTCCTATTTTGTTTTATACTTAGTTGCGATCATTAAAATCTCTTTTTATTTTTTCGAGATTCATTTCTATATTTATTTTATCTATTAAAGTAATTTATAATACATAAAGCATATTGAGAGTGCGAACTCACTAAACAAACTAACTAGTTACTTTTTCAATTCCATGCTTTACTGAAATAGCCTGATTTTTTTATTATTATATTTATAAAACTTGGCTTTGAATAGTATATTTCTAATACATAATTTCCTTAATACTCTCTTTTAAAATGCTTACAAGTGGTACTATATGAATAAATATTTTATTCTAAACTATCTTAAATTTAAGAATGTGTTAAAATATATTTTATTTTATTTTTGATTGCTAAGTAGATAAAAAGAATGCAAGACAATTTAAGTTATCAAGTCTTGAAATTTAAAAGAAAATATCAAGTTGATGATTCAGGATAATAATGTTTAAAAGAATAAAAATATTTTTATTGAAAAAAATAATGAAAGATTAATATTTATTAAATAATTCTTTAAGAAAATTAAAATCTATTATAAATCTTAATTCAATTTAAGGATAATTGATCGATGAGCGTCTATTTGAAATGAATGATCAAGATTTCAAATCTGTTTAATAAATGAATGAAAAGTGGATAGATAAAAAAATCATTAATTAATTAATAAATAAATAAGTAATTTCTTCTAGATAGATAGATAGATAGATATCTATCAGTTGATGAATAAATATATTTTTAACCTCTGAAATAGAAAAATTGTGAATTATTTCTGGCTTTTAAACATAAAGCAAGAGATTTGGGAATAGATATGATTTTTTTGATGTTTTATGAGAAAGGCTTTTATTTGGTTATGATAGACATTTAATTAATTCTGATATTTTGAATATCACTGTTTCTGAGCAGAAAAAAATAAATTGAGTATTTTTAAATAAAATGAATTAAAGATTGAGAATTTAATAACTCTATTGCTTATCCTCGAAAGAGAGCTTCATCAGCACCAATCAATATTTACTTGACTTGTTTGTAGTTTTAGCTTTATTTTTTAAAATATAAAACAAAAAATGAATTTAAAAGCTAAAAAGGATACAATTTTTGAAGAATAATTATTTGATTAAAGGTAATTTATCAGAAAGATGCCAGAATATATAGAAAAATTGATAGATAAGAACTAGCATTTAATAGAATATCTGTTAATAATTAGCTAGAAGAATCTATAGATATTGCGTTAAAAATAAAATAAGAAATACTCAAATTTTATAAAAAATAAAAACAAAAATAAAATTTTAAACCTAAAAATATTATAATTAATGAAACTGCAACTATAGTTAGAAGAAGTAAGAAAAGTTAAATTATTGTAGAGTTTTGCCTTACTTAATTTTATATTTATATTTTAATAAATTTAAAGTTTCTTGCTGTAAATCAAATCTAATGCACAGAAATCTCTCTAAAGTTAAAGTATGAAATTTAATCAATGCCCTTCAAAATGATAATAATATTATACAATTTATAGTTAATCATCGACCAATAAAACTAATTTGAATGAATTGGCAAGAAAATGGAAAGATTATCAAAATATCTAAGTCTTAAACCTTTCTTTAGCGTATTATTTATTTTCATAAGTATTCTACAAATCACAATTCTTTTATTTCAATTCAAATACAGCTCTACTCAAATTAATGAAGAAGACACTTTTGTTTTAGCTTCTGGAATCGCAATCTTATAAAATCTAATCTCTTTAGAAATTTCTATATAGTAAACATGTTTTAATATTTATTTTATTTTATTCATTAATTTGAAGAAGGTAATCGCTCAAAAAAATATAAAAACTATAATGATTTTTTCATTATTAGTAGTAAAAAAGCTATTTATTTTAATTATTTTATTGAACTGTTCCCTCCTTTTTAGTAAATAAAGAATGCAGTATATTTGTAAATTAGAAATAAAGCAAATACATTTAAATAAAAGAAGATATAATAACTTACTTAATGATTTTATTTATGATATTTTCCTTCTTTCAAAATGACCTAAAAATTTAAAAATAATTTTTTTAAAAATTATTCTAATTTTAATTTAAAATAAATAGGTTTAATAACATAGGTCCTTAAGGCGCTTTTTTATTATCTACTGCTTTAAATAAGTTCGAAAATCTTTAGGAACTAAGCATTTTCTTGCAGTAATTTTAATTAAAAAAATTATGATTAATAATTATTTGGAAAACTAAAAGCTAAAATGAAATTGGGGATTTAGGTGTTATTGGCTTATCCGCAGGACTAAGAAACTGTTCAAAGCTAAATAAATTAACACTTGGATTGAGGTAAAAATTTAGTTTTTAATTAAATCTTTTTAAATATAATTTTAATTAATTCTAATAAAAGCTAAAATTCTATTGGAAATAAGGGAGTTTCTCATTTATTCTCATCTTTATCATAGTGCTGTCATCTTCAAAATTTAGGTGTCTATTTAAAGTAATTTAATAATTATTTTATGAAAATAAGGTTTATTATAAATTATGTTAATTAATTGCAAAGCTCAAATAACATTGAAGATGAAGGATTATGCAATTTATAATATCTTTCCTCATGCTAATAACTCAAATAGCTTATTATATTCCTTGAGTAATATTTTATTTCATTTAATCAAAAAAATAATGCTTTATATATAAAATAGCAATAACTAAATTGGTTCATAAAAAGATGATGCTTCTAATCTCTCTTTAGCAATCATTAAGATAAAAAGCCTTTAGCAGCTGAATCTATCTATCGCGTATAAATTATAAAAGTCAACTTAAAAATTTTAATTTCTTGTTTAGTAAAAATAAAGTAGGTCCTCAAATTATATAATAATTATCCGCTGCTGTGAGAATGAATCAGAGCATTAATACTTTAGAATTAAATTTGAAGTAATTCATTCAATTCAAAAATATTTTAAAATAAATTTAAATATTATTGAAATTAAACAGTGATAACTTGATTGGAGATGAAGGAGTGGAAAATATGGCAATAGAAATGGCTAAATGGGAAAATATCCAAAATCTAGAATTGCATTTAAGGTAATTTAAAAAATTAATCTAGCTTAAAATATCATTTTAAATAATAAAAATATATAGCTTTAATGGTTTAATAAATAAATCAGTTTTATGTTTATCACAATCACTTGGAAAATAAGAAAAGCTTGAAAACTTGCTGGTGTCTTTACAGTATTTATACTAGAATTTAAATAAGAGATAATTTAATTTGAATTATATTTAATAATAAAAAAGAGATAATTATATTGAAGATGACTCACTTTTAGAAATGGGAAAACAATTAAATAAACTTTAAAATTTAAAATGTTTGAATCTTTAGTTAAAGTAAAATTAATTAATTAATCAATCATTTTGGTTACTTTTTTTAATAATTATTTTTTAATAAATTAAAAGTAATGGTAGATTATGCGATTTGATAAAGCAAATAAGCTTAAATGACAATATTTAGGTGCTAAATTTATCATCTTGGTAATTCATTCTTATAGTTTATAATGTGTTAATCATTTTTTATTATAGCTCAGATTTAATTGAAGATATAGCTTTGAATGATATTGGAAAGGAACTAAAGAAATTCAAGCATTTATAATATTTGACAATACAGTTTATGTAATAAAAATATTAGAAATAATAAGAAAGTAACATGTATAAAAATAATAAATAGATCAGATGAAATAACAGATCAAGGTGTTCAAAACTTAGTGAGAGAAATTAGCTAATGCAATAATTTACATGATCTTTCTATTCTAATAATGTAAAAAATATTTATTGTTTTTAACTTAGAATTAATTAAGTATCTTTAAATGTTAACAGATCTGATTCGATAGAAGGACAATAACTAAGACAATTATCAAATTAATTTAGCAATTTAAAGAATCTTAGATGCTTAGATTTTTAGCTAGTGTAAGATTTTTTGATTACTTAGTATAGTACTAGTTTTTTACATTTTGTATAAATTAATTAATTAATAAATAAATAGATCAAATAATTTTGATTATCTGAGCTGTGACCAATTAATCAAAGACTTAAAAAAAATAGATGGCTTAATACTTTTGAAGTACTCCTTTTGAGTTACATTGCTAATTAATTAATTAATTAATATACCCTCTGATCGATCAACTCTATAAAAATAACTCTCCTAAAGATATTTATTACTAAAATCTACAAAAAAATATATATTTTTTCTAATAAAATGATATCTTAAAATATTTATACTTTACTAATCAAAACCACCCTCTAAATAAAATATCACCTATAAAATATTAAAGAACTTAATTAATAATTATTAAAATCTAATTAATGAATGAATAATAATTACCGTTTTCCTTATCAAAAAATAATTAGTTTAGTGAATTTACAGTTAAATAATAATATTAAAATTAATAAAATGTATTTTATTTTATATATAAATAAATAGTTAAAAAATTGTAAACTAATTTTTTATTTTAGATACTAATTTAATAACTGATCATTATTTTATAAATAAAACTTAATTACTCATGTGCTTATAAAGCTTGCGCATATATAAAATATGCGAAATTTAAATTTAAAGTATTTTTTGTGAAAAAAATTAATTAACCAAATCAAGACATTTTTTGTAAAATATATTTAATCCTAAATTTTATAAGCAAGAAAATAAATAAATAAATAGCATACATATATTATTTTATCTTTAAAATTATATTTTTTGAACTATGATCCTATCAAAAAAAATTGGATAGCTCCCTTTTTTTTCTTTTTGATTAATAGAACAATTCCAGAATATTTTATAATTAATTAAATACTTTTATTTATTTATTTATTTATAATAATTTAATTATTAAATGGCTGGGCTTGTAAAAAAAGAGTTGAATTTAAGTATAATATTGTGTTTTTAAATAATAAGTATCATTTTTTCTGATATGATTTAATAACAAACTGCGCGCGTAAGTATGTGCTAAATAATTAATTAAATAATTTCATAAATATTATTTTAATAAAAATTAATATTTGTATTTAATTGAATAAATTAGAGTAAAAATATTATGATTTGTTTTTAATTTATCTAAAGATGATATGAACTTTATATGATTGTTTGTTACTCTAAACGGTATTGAAATTTATTATTATTTAAAATATTTATTATTATAAATAGAAAAAGGGTTTATGTTTGAATAAAATAAATAAAGATATTTGGTTAAGGTTGAATTAATTAATTTTTTTTTGAAGATTTAAACAAAATAAAATATGAAGTAATTGATTTGTAATTCGTTTGTTATTGATCAATTAAGCTTTTTATAATTTTTTCAAACGATAAATTTTGTTTTTTATTTTCAATTAGAGAATCTAAAAGAAATTTCTCTTGTATAGTTTTAAAAACTTAAAATTTATTACTTCTTTCTAATATTTGAATGTATTAAAATTGCGTAAGTGGAGAATATTTTATTTTTAGCAGGATCCAACTGTATATCTTAGATTACCTCTACGGTTTTAATTTTAGATCTAAATATTTGAAGATTTGATGAAGTGTAACAAGATGATGGCTTCAAGCTTGAAAATATTTTAGAAGAAAAACAAACTTACTTACTTACTTAGTTATTTATAGATTATTTCCAGATGATTTTAGGAAGGAAGAGGAAAATAAGCAAAACTAAAATATATCAGTTTGTTTGTTAAAATGAAATAGAGATTGATGAATTCTGTGCGATTACATCTTGCATTAAACTAAAAAAAGGTGTAATTGATATATTGAAAGAAATACAAATTATCTAATTAATAATTTCGATAAACAAACAATTAAAACAATATAAGCAATTAGTAAAATAAAGAAGTAAGTAGAATATCTTCTTAGAAAAAACTAAAATAAATATGCAAGGATAGGTTGATAGAGGTTAAATAAACACCTCCGATTTAAAAATATCCAGCACATCACAACAAGATCAAAATGAAGGAATGATGAAAGGCAGCAAGTGTCCAGTTTTGAACCAGATTAGTATTTTTTGGAATCACATTCTTCTTTAAGAAGGAATTACTTTGAAGAATTACTTAGGATTGTTGCTGCATTACTTTCTTTTAGCATTTATATTTGTTACAGCAGAATCCCTTCAGCCAATGTTGATTTAATAAGAAGTAATTTATTGATTTAATTGGTCATTTTATTAACATTTTTCTTTGATAGTTTAACATTGAAAAGAAAGATCAAGGATCATAAAATGCTAATTTATTGTTAGCTGATATCATTACTAAGATAATATTTGCTCCTATTATGGGAGTAGTTTGTGATAAATTTGGAAGGAGAATTACTTTATTTTATGGCATTTGTATTGTTACACTAGCTTTATGCTTGATGCCTCTCAGCAATAACATTTATCCAACTTATCTTTTGATTAGAATTTTATATGCTCACGGAGCTATTACAATCTCTATTATTCCTTTGCTAGCTGATTATGTTACAAATACAACAAAAGTAAACTAAATATCCATTATAAACTATTAGATAATCTAAATCATTTGACTAATTCTTCATTTTTATCAAATTATAGGGAAAAGGAGCTGCAGTTAATGTCATTTTAGCTAGTCTTGGAGCAGTTGCTTCTGTAGAAATAATAAATAATGGGTTGTAAAATTCAATGAATGTAAAAGGTATCTATTGGCTCATTTCTTCATGCTACTTCCTAATTGGAGCTTTAATGTGTTATTTAATAAAGAGCGGAGTTTACTATATAGGTAAATAAATAAATAAACATTCATCTTTAAATAAAATTCTATTTCATCTAATATAAATTGATAGTCAAATTATAATATTTAATAATTGTTTATAAATAATGTTTAGATAAAGAAAAAGCAGTTGTTGAAAAAAGAGGTTTTATTTAAATGATTAAAATAGGTGTTCGCTCTGCTAAAAATCCATGGATATTAATTGGATACGTTACTAATTTCCTAGCTAGAGGTGATAGCATTCTTCTCACATTGTTTTTAGTCCTTTGGTCTAATCACGTAATTAATTATAACAAAAAAATAAATATATATCATAGTTTATCATATTAACAAATTAATGTATTTATTTAGTATATCGAAGACTATGATGAGGCTAATATTAAAGCTGCCACTATGTCTGGTATATCCTACACTGTCATTTTAGTTTTCAGTATCTTTTATGGAATATTTTTAGAAAAGACTTCTAAATACTTAACTCATTTAATAATGTTTGTTCTCACAATGTTAGGTAAAGCTATATATATTTATAAATTAAAATAAGAAAAATCTTCATTAGCTTACTTACCTCTACTTCAAATAAATCAAACAAAGAAAATTTAAAAAAAGATATCTTTTAAGCATTTAATCACAAATCACAATAAATTTCTCCATAGTTAAAAATCTTTTGTCTGTTGACTGCCTGTCTGTCTGGCTTAATTAAAAAAATTATATTTTTTCATAAACCATCTTCTCAATTTCCTTTTTCAATATTAATCCCCCTTTTTGATCTAATAATTTCTCCTCTTAACAGAAAAAAAATCCCCTCTAAATAGAAAAAAGTTATTGCCATTCTAATAAATCCTCGCAATAGGAAAAAAAATTTTATTTAATTTAAAAAGAATTTTGAATTATTTAAATTATGAAAACTTTGAAATGAATAAATTTTGAATTCAATTAAAATGATTTTACTAAAAAAATTATAATTTTCTTTAAAATAATATTTGATTGAAAAAATAAATAAATAAATTTTAGGATGCTTTATGATGATTGGAGCGACAAGCGGTCCTAACAACTGGTATTCATATTTGACAATTTGCATTTTAGGATCTGGTATGAGTGGACTCTATACTTCTTCTTAATACTTAATTAATAAATACTCTGAAGCTAACCACAGAGGATATATCACTGGTTTAGCCAGTTTGGTTAGTGTACTAGGTATTTTTATTTGTGCTGTTATCGGTGGGTATCTTTTCGATCACTGGACAATAGTAAATACATACATATTAAAATTATTTTAGGCTTAAATTAAAAATAAATTAATTACTTTTTAAAAGATCGCACCATTCATTCTGTTCGGAATAATGAGCTCTATTGGCATTGTCATTTTAATTATTGTATGGATCTTTGAAAACAAGAAATAATCTGATGGATATATTGAGTAAGAAAATACAGAATTAAATTATATATAATGAAGTAATATTTATATATTTATAATATATTTATATATAATAAGAATTAAAGATTGAATGAACCTTTGTTGATCCATCCATCGATTGGTTGATTTATTGATTTATTTATTAATTGATTAGTAGTCAGTTTTTTAATAAATTCATTAATAGACTAACTAACTAGTTGATTAATCAACTCATTTGTTGACTAATCAAAATTTGATTGTGAAGTACTTTATTCAAAAGAAGGTATTTTAAATAAACAAACAAACATAATACACATAAAAACACACACACACACATACACACAAACATATATTACATCCAAACAATTATAATACTTATATTTAATTATTTTAATTCTTTAAACAATTTTTACTAACTATTTTTGTTTTCATATTTGCATATAATTTATTCACGATTTAATTCAATAAATTTTACATTCTCATGCTCTAAAAAATAAATATTATATAAATATAAATAAATAAATGTATTGCTTATCTAGAAAACATAACCTACTTTTTAGAATTGTTTTTATCAAATTTTAACAAATTTTTGTTTTTTTAATTTATTTTATTTTTTTTAATATTATATTAAATAATATTTCTTATTTTACTAAGTCTATATTTCTAACTCGAGAAATAATTTTCTGAAAATAGCTATATTTATTGTTTTATATTTTTAGTAACCAAAGCAGGTATTAATTAAGTGAAATAATTTAAATCAAATTAAATAACTAATATAATTTTTTTTTTAATATAAAATATATTTAATTTTAGTTTGAGCATTTTCAACTAAATATAATTGCAAGTTTTTTTTTTATTTAATTAAAGATTGATTAATAATAAAATAATTATCTGTCTGTCTTGTGCATAAATGAGTATATTTATGAATGAATGAATAAATGGATAGATAAAATGGGTAAACAAAATTAAGGATAATAGAATACGGAAAAATGTTGTAATTAGTTAGTTAATTAATTATATTTATTAATTATTTTTACATTAAGATAAATATTCACTTATTGTTTGAAATTCTATTTATAAATATATTTATTTATTTATTGATTGGTTTATTTATTTATTTATTTATTTATATTATTATTTATTTATTTATTTATTTGTTGTTTTATATTTTGTCATGCTACCAAAGCAAAGCATTAAATAATTAATTATTTGAAATGGTTTAATCATCAATTAATTTAGTTAATTATTTTTTATTATTATTAATGCTTATTTTTTTTGAAAAACATTTTTTTTATTTAGTTAAATAATTTGCTAAATATTTATTAATATTTTGCTTCATTAAAATTATTCTAATTCAATCTAGTTTTACTTCAAATTATGGAATCCTTTAAAGACTTTAGTATTTAATTATTTGATCTAATAGTAACTGAGCTCTTTCTTTGCTTTCATATTTCAAATAAATGTCGAATTTCTATCTAACACATACTTTCTTAACTGGTACATGCATTTTTATTTTCATTTTTTTGCTAGATTCATCATATTTTATTTTTTTTATTTTATGCAACATTATCTTCTTATAAGCAATTGAACTGTGTTTCTATTTTAATCCAAAAAATTTTAATTAAAAACATTTTATCAATAAAATAAATAATAAATTTTTCTTGAAAATATTGCAAATAAAAAATTCAATTATGAAAATGATGAAAAGAAATAAATGATTGAAAATAATAAAAATGAAAGTAAAAGAGAATATTTAATTTACTTTAACATAGACAATTCTGATATCTGAAAGTATAATTTGTGATTCAATATTTTTCTTTTTTAGCTTTTTTATGATGAGTTCATCAAAGAAGAGAATTGTTTCGTGTTCAAATATTTTTAATTTATATCTTTTTATTATATCAATTCCTATAGCTGCTTTGAATTCATAAGGGATAAGCTATTTGTTGTCTCCAAATTATCTGATTGGTCTACTTCTAGTATCCATTATGTGTTCTTCATATTATGCCGTGTTTTGCAGTCCCTATTTTATGTTAAAACGAAATTTTAGATGGATAAATGAATAGATCTCATGTTTGTTTTAAGTTTACCTGAATAATTGTTGTGATTAAGTCGTACATTGCAACTGTAGGACGAATAACAAGCGATACTGCAGCCTAATAGAGACCTAAAAAGAATCCTAAAATACCACCATGTTTTGCTTCAGAGACAGGTCTTCTAAATATTCCTGTTAGAGTTTGCCATAAGTCAATAAAAAAGTTCTTCAAACCAATAATGACTCCTTCTTTGACATTTTTGATAGTTCTATTCAATCTAATCTATCTGCTATGAATATATTGCTTATGCAGAGTAAAACTAGCTAACAATTTCATGATAGTACCAATAATCTATAATAAAAAAAATAAAATAAAATTTTAAATAATAATTAAATGCTTTGAGTAGTACTTTGTTGATTGTCTTGTAAACACCTGAAATACTGCTTGAGATCAAATTCACAGCTCCAATAGCGAATTTTTCACCAAATTTATAACCACTCTTGCCTTTGACAAGCGCATAGAAAGGCTAGTAAAGCATATCAACGACACTTGTTCCTATAAAAAAAGATGTATCATTAATTAATTTTGCTTGAATAATTTATTAAATTACCTAAATTTTCAATGAGAGAAACAGGACTTCCAAGGAAATCAAATGATCCCAAAAGTTTGTAAAGTTGTCTCATAAATTGCTAACTAAAATGTTTAGTTATTCTCGTAAAAATGTCCTTAATAGACCCAAATATATGAGTCATAAGAAGCTAGCTCAACTTAATTTTAGCTTAATCAATACTAGCTAAAGTCAAACCGAAATCTCCTATTATATTTTTAGTTGAAGCAGTCAAAGAATGTCCAGGAGAGCTTCTAAAAGTAAAACAAATATCAATAGGTTCTACTCTCAAATTCTTAATATAATTTAAAATCTAATTATTGCCATTCTAATTTTCAAGAGCCATAGACAATCTATCTTCAATATCTTCAAATTTGAATATCCTCAATTCAGTAAAACTATCTGAGTTATTTTTTATCGAAATAATATTTCTGACCTAATTATTTTATTAAAAAAACAAACAAAAAATTAAATTAATTTATAAAAATCAAAAATTAAATAAAAATTATAAAAAATGCAAAAGAAATAAAATAATTTATAAAAAATAGCAATAGAAAAAGCAAATTTATAATAAAAAATATTTCATTAGAAATTCCCAAAATAAATCTTAAAAAAAGTAAATTTATTCTAAAAAATAAGCATTTTAATTTTTAAAAAATTTAGAAGACAATAAAGTGAATTTATCAAATACCAAAAATTAAATAAATGATAAATAATGGAAAAGAAGTAATCTAATAATTAATTAATAAAAAATATTTGATAAGAAATTCCTACAAAAGTTAATTAAATTTGCAATAAAAATAGGCAAATTTATTTATAAAAATAAACACTTTTTTTATTTTTTAAAACAAATTTTTTGTTTATTTAAGGAAAAATGCATTGAGAGTTTTTAATTTTTGAAAAAAAGATGAAAATTATTGAAAAATAATAAAATTATTAATGAAGTTTTACTTAATTGAAGTAAGAGATAGCAGTGTCGAGAATGTGATCGTCAATTCTGATTTCTATTGTGTCTACGTAAAAACTTGTTTGGTGGATATATGAAACTAATTTGTTCTTCTTATTTTTGTTTTAATTATTCTTTTAGACATGATTCTTCCATAACACTGAGATGATAAAGAATGGATCTCCTGTTTTTCTTTTGGTTGGAGCAAGGATAACTGGAAATTGTGTATTTTCTATTTAGTTGTTAATGATGATTGAGTCTATTTGCAGAGACAGTAAGGCTCTCTGATTAGCAAATATTCTTTGATTGACTTCTGGTTCGTTGTTTATCAAGCTCTCTATTAAATTAGATAAAATTTAATTATTTTTACTTGTGCTTTTAAATTAATTTTACGCTGATTTTGATTTTAGGTCACACTGATCATTTAATTATCTTTCATCATAGGATTTGTAGTATTATTATTTTGAAGATTGTTTGCCAGGGTGTTTTATATTTATGTGTTTGCTATCAGAGAGTTTTGGTTAGGAGTAGGAGCATTATTATTTAAGAAGTTTGGATTGTTGTCGATGTCATCCAATATATTTTTCCTTATTTTATCTTCCTACTCATTACTCAGTGAATAGATCAAATTTAAATTTTTAAAAGAGATTTGCAGAATTTCTTTGGGAATGTTGTCAATAAAAGAGATACCAACTGTGTTTGTTATTTTAAATATAAATGTCGTTTGAGCTTTATCTTGCTCCTAATTATCTTCTTCATCATTTTCTAACAACATCTTATCATTATTCATATCTCCTTGTTTGTTTTCGTTATTTTAATTCATTTCATCCTCGTATTTTACTTAATAAAAGCACAAAACCTTTTTAAAAACAAAATCATAAATAAAATACCCTCCCGAGTTAATTTAAATTTATTTACCTTTGTCCTTTCCATAGGCTCAATTTTAAATTACACCAAATCTGGCGTAGTAAGAAGAATTGCTCTCCACAAGTACTCAGTCCACTCTTTTGCTTCTTTTTCTGAAATAGCTTCAAAGTAAAAGTGTTGATTACCTTTAATCATTAAAAACTGTTAATCCCTAACATCTTCTATATTAGCTCCCTTTAAATAAGTAAAATAACATCAATCAACATTTAACAAAATAAAAAATCAATTAATGATAAAATGAGTTTATTCTAAATTACCTTCAAGTTAATAACTTCTCCAGATACTTCTTTTTTCTCATCATAAACTTTCATTTTCTATTAAAATACATCCAAAATAATAAATTTAGTTGTATACTGGTCCACTGCCTTAAATTTTAGACGAATCTTTCCTTTTTTGTACAAGAACTTTTTATTTATAGCTTTCTATTTTATTTAAATAATATTTATTTTATTATTTACTTTAAAAAATGACTGTGTGTGCAAATATTTATTTTATTAACAAAAAATAATAAATAATTAATTCTTTTTTTTCAAACTAAAATCATTTATTTTTGTTTTGTTTTAATATGAAAAAATAGATTAATTATTTGAGTCAATTCACTAATTTGGTTATTTATTTAAATAATTATAAGAAGACATCGACAGAATCATAAATTAGTTTGCTTTTCTAAATAGCTAAAATAATATTTTATTCACTTATTTTATGATCGTCTATTTAGAAACTCCTTAAAATCCATAATTTATTTGTTTAAGTATTAATTTACTCTGATAATTTTTTCCATATTTAACCATACATACTTTTATCATTTTCTGTTTATTTTAGTTTTTAATTAAAAAAATAATTTTCATTCTTTCATTCATTATTTATTTATTTATTTGCATGCTTGATTGCTTTTTTCATTATTTTTTTTTAATTGTTTGTTTATTTACTTGCTTGAGTCTTTGTCTATTTAAAATTCATTTCTATTTTTGTATGCTTGCTTGTTAAAAGATTAATTAAAAGATATTTGTAATTTTACTTATTGACCCAGATAAATTCTTTATCAAAAATTTCGTTTGTTGAATTAAAAATTCGTTAAAAATTAGATTTTTTAATTTGTGATATTTTATTTGCAAGAATAAAAATATTTAGCAATAATATAAGTTATTTTTTTTATTACCTTTTTATTAAGCTCGTCTGCAGACTCTCTGATTTTAATAGGAGGATAGTCTTTGATTTTATCAATATTGTAATAGACGGTTTCGTTCTCAATTTCAACTCCTAAAATATGGTCATTCTCCACAACCCATTCATCCCAAGTAAATCTTTTTATGATGAGAATACATAAGGAAATGAATAAATTTTAATAACAATTACTTCTTTTTTTCTCCAGGATATAGAACTTGAGTCGATATTTGTCTCATTTCTTGCTTTTTTCTTCTTAGACACCAAAGATTTTTTGTTTCCTGAATATGCTGCCCATAGTAGATTTCGTGCTTTGTTTAGTTTTCTATGAAGAATGGAGGATTCATTTTATCTTCATTCATAATTGTGACAATAAAAATATTATCTTCGAGCTAAGTGCTTATTTTGAGGTATTGAATTTCTTCGTCTCCTCCTTGTTGAACATCTTGATCAAATTTTATTTTCACCGCAATATCTCCAACCTTTGATTTTAAACATTTCATAAAAAATTATTTCTTTAAATCATCATAGTAAATTAATTTTGTTACTTTATCAATTCTAAACTTGTTTGTAGTTGTATTTTTAAACTCTTGAACTGTGTCTTCATTTAATCTCTAACCCAACAATTGAATTATGCATTCTTAAGGAAGTTTGTAATCTGACCAATAGAAAGTCTTGACACTCACTTTACTATTTTCATATTTCCCTTCTAATTAGCAGCATTCTTTCAACACGTCCTTATAGTTAGATTTGTTTTATTTCAAGATAATATCATAGCTAGATTCATTTCTTATCATATATCTAGGAGTTATGCAAATAATTTTAGATCTGCTCCAAAACCCAGGAGCACTTTCTATCGTTATACCAAATTCAAATTAATTTCTGTAATCAGATTTCTATTTTTAAAACATTTAATCCATATTCAATTCCACTTAAATAACTAAAAATAATTTTTACTTTATCCTAAATGATAAAAATGCCATCAGCTGCTTGTAAAGAAATAGGCTAGGACCAATTAGCGCTATCTCTATCTTTTCTACCCTTAGGACACAACCCAATTTGTATCTATTTATTAAAAATTTAGTTAAATAATAATTTATCAAATAAACAATTTAAAATAAATAATTTTCATTGATTTATTGAGTTGATTTAAAAATGAATTAAAAATAAATTTAATAAATGAATTACTTTGTTCATTGTCTTTGAGGTCGAAAACATTCTCAATTGCTTTAAGTTTTGAATTTCTTCTTCATTTCTATTAGATAATTTTTATGAGATTTTTAATTTTTAAATAAGTTTTTACTCTGAAATAGTATGTCTCTTGCTTTCCTTTTCGCTTCTTTGAATAGGATTTCCGTTCTCATCCAAGATGTTTTCAATTTTGTTTTGGCTTTTTATTGGCTTCATGTAAGAGTCAATTTTAGCATCATTATTGTTGATTCTTTTTATTGATTTAAATATTTGATTATTTCTTGAATAAAATATTTTATATTTACTCAAAAATAGATGGACGCTTTTTCTAGCTACTGCCAGCTCCTTAAATGCTATTGTGATTCCTGTCTTTCCTATTAAAGAAATTATCCTCGTCTTCATCTTAATGGGAATCAATATTAGTAGTGAGTCCGAATTCTCTAATTTTAATTTCTTTATAACCACTGTTGTTTAATATTAAGTAAGGGCAAAAGAGAACGATTTCTCTGCTCTTTTCGCTCAGCTTGACAACATCTAAGTATAAAATAATGCTTTTCTTCATGAAATTTTCCAGTCTTAGATCAATCTTGTATTTTTATTCATGCTTAGTGAATATTTTAAGCTCTTTTGTCTATCTGTACAAATTCAGTGAAATGACAATCTACAAATCTTCTGAAGAAGGGCACTAATTTTTAGTAAATAAATATATTAATTACCATTTTAAACTAAAAATTTATTTATTTATTTATTTATTTTCTATTACACTTGTACATTCTAATCTGTCTTTCGGAACTATTTGTTTTGGTTCTATTTTAGTTTTACTTTAGTTTAGCTTTGATTGAATTGGTTTCAATGGCACATTCATTCCATAAATAATATTCACATTGCTCACTGTTGCATTGATAAACTTAAAAATAGGATTTATAATAAGTGTTGTTTCATAAGCAAATTCCTTTTCACTTAAAGAATAGCTAGCTGAATGTTTAGTCTTTACACAAGTCACTAAAAAGTATATTAAATCAGAATGAGCAATTTATCTTTATTATTCATTTTCTAATATTTTGCTTATTTAACTCAATTTTTTAGTTGGAGATTTTAGTGATTTATCATTATCTGCTTTTTCAATATGTGGATTCACTTCATAGTCCTCCTTGTAAATTAGCCTGTTTCCTAATAATTCACAAAAAAATAGATAAATTATCAGTTTCTTAATAATTTTAATAATTTATTTATTTATTCCTTCCTTCATTCATTTATAAATTTAACTTACTCATTTATTTTTTGATTATTTATTAATTATTTTATTTATTGATTCATTCATTTATTTATTTATTGATTCATTTATTAAATTTATTATTTTCTTATTCACATTTATAAATTTATTATTTATTTACTCATTCATTTTTAGATTAATTATTAATTATTTTATTTATTTATTGATTCATTCATTCACTTATTTATTTATTGATTCATTTATAAATTTATTGTTTACTTATTCACTCATTTCTATATTTATTAAGATTATTTTATTTATTTATTGATTCATTCATTTATTAATTCTTACTTACTTACTTTCTTTCTTTCAATTTTTTATAATAATTCATTCGTTTATAAATTTAATTATTGATTGATTTATAAATGTGTAAATTGATTATTTATTACCTTTCTCAACATTGACACCTTAGATTTAGTCTTTGAGGATGTCACTTATTATATCGTCTTCATCGACTGTATAGTCATTGTATGAGGTTTTGTCCTTGATAAGGCTGCTAAGTAATACAAATTCATAATGTCCATTTATTTGATTGTATGGAATAGGCTGGTTATCCTTATCTAATAAGTATGGGAAAAGACGAACATAGGCACAGACTTCTAGTTTATCCAAAGGAATTTCAAAGAAGGAGTTTTACTCAATTAGGCTGAATTAGTTCTACTACTTCTACTATCCTGTTTCAACTTCGGTCTAAAACTCTATCACAATAGTTCTACAAAGATTATTGAAAAACTTTACAGAAGAAGAAATCGTGATTTCTTTTGAACCAGTCTAAGGATTAAGCTATAATTTTATTTTTTTATTCAATAAATTATAAATTTATTTGTTTCTAGAATTTAATCTTTTTTGAATTGAAAATATGAAAGAATGAATAAATAAATAAATACTTTGTTATCAACGAGAAGATAGGTTTTGCCACTTTCATTAACTTTTTTGTTGAGAAGAGTGCTGATGAGCTCTTGGCCTAGCTTGTTGATGTTTTTTTAGAGGGAGGTGAGATTGCTCATGAAGGCTTTCATTAAGGTGAAGTCTTTTTCTTGATTTTTAGCATCTTTCTGAGTTTTTTTCTTTTATAGCTACTGATTTTTGGCTTTGAGGAGAAGGGTGTTTTCTTGAGCTTTCTTTTTTTCGAAGAGCTCGTTTTTGTCTAATTTAAGGGGGATGAGTATTTTGCCTACATGGTCTAGTTATATTCTTTTTATTTATCTGAAAAGATACTGCCTGTTTTTTTGGCTAGATAAAAGATTATTCATTTTTAGGGTTTGCATGAGATTGCTTTTGTTAAATAAAGAGCTAGGTCCTAGCTTTTTGTTTTCGGATGATTTCTTTTGTTGATTATTAAGATTAATCGAGCTTGTTAGATTTTGTTTTGGACTATTTAGAATAGAGACTTGCTTTTACTGATTTGGTTATTGGATGTTTAGAAGATTGCCTAAGTCTCCCTTTTTCTAGTTTTTTTAATTAGCAGCTTCTAAATATGCGTCTGTAGATTTTCTTATTCTTTATGGTTCAATTTAATTTTCATTATTTACGCCTAAAAGGTTTGGTTTGAACTCTTATGAATTTTTTCTCATTTAAGATTTAGAAAGATTCACTTTCGTTTGTTAATCAGATTTAATTGAATTGAACTTCTCTAAAATCATAATAGGAGGAAGATTTTTATTGTCATTATTCTTATCTTCAACTGATTGATTGTTTTAATCATCAGCATTCAAATTATAATTGTAAAAATTCAAATGCTGACTGCTATTTGATTTATTTTTCTAACGAATACTGTGAGCAGAATTCAAAGGCTTTCCTTGCTGGTCTAAAGCTTGTAAATTAAGTAAATTATTGTTGGAATCTTAAGTTCCTTAATTATTGTTTTGATCTTTTGAATGATCGGACACTTGCTTTATAACCAATTTTAAATTCCTTTGAGGCGGCTACTGACTGCCTTAAGTATTAATTCTCCCGTTTTCCTCCATATTGTTGTTGAATTCTTATTACTCGTCTCCCTCATGAATGGGATTTGTAGTATATTTTTAAAAATTGTCTGAATTCATCACCAAAGGAGACAGTCTTTCCTTTTCTTCATCTGATATTTCCTGAATTTATCCATTTATATTCTGCTCTCCGTTTTTCTGATCTTTTCTAAATATTGACATAGGAGCAGTGCCATCATAATTTCCTCCTTAGTTAGCTAATAAAATGTATATTAATACAGAATTCTAAGTTATTAATTAATAAATTACCATTTTCCTGATTTGCTAGGTTATTTTAATTGTAATTTATCATCTATGAAGCCACATTGAAGAATGAGTTGTTATTACTATTGCTGGCGTTATGCATATTGTTCAAGATATTCAAATTAATTAATGCCTTATTATCATTAAGCTTTTGCACTTATTTCTATTTCTGCATCCTTAACGCGTAAACTTCTTTCCAACCTTACCACTTTGTTTTTTGCTAGTTTTACAGTTCTTAAGGCTAGCTATTTTCTTTGTTAGAATCCTTTACTTCAATTGGTAGTCCCGTCTTATTAATAATCATATAAGGTTCTTCATCAGTCATTGTTCCCTTGTAAATTCTGTAAGCCTCCATAATAGTCTCTAAGCAGGAAAGTGTAACATTAAGGTTAAAGCTGTTATGGTGTTCTTTCAGCAAAGGAAGCATATTTTAATCTAATTAATAAAACAAAATTAGTAAAAACTTCTTTATCAATCAATTCTTTCTACCTTTTTTTGACTCAAAATTCTGAATAGTCAGATTATGGCTATTCCCAATACGTTCTTGTCTAACCATGAATATCCATGGCTCTAGCAGTGGCTCATAAGTGATCCTTCTTTTGTTAAAATAATCTATGCTAATCGCTCCCTAATTTAAATTATTAAAATTTTCAAAAATTCAAAAAACCCTCTTAAAAAATTAATTTAAAATATTTAAATTTTAATAAAAATAAAATTAGCATTCAAATAATTGGTGATTATATAGTATAAATTAGTTAATTTGCTAATTATTTAGTTAGATAACCAATATTTTGTTAGTTAATCAGTTAATAAATAAACTTAAATTAGCTTTTTATTTGATAGATAGATAGTTTTATACTTTCTTTTTTATTTAGTTAATTTGATGTTAAGTCTATTAATTAGTTAATTTATTAATTATTTATTTATTTAGCTATAAATTAATTTTTGAATTTATTATTAATTTAGCTATTTAGTAAATTATTTAATTATTAATTCATTCATTTAGTTAATTAATATTAACACATTTATTTAGCTGGGTAATTAGATTGTTATTTGATAACTTAGCTATTTAGATATTTAGGTACAAACTTTGTAGAAGTAATTTGTAATATAACATTTTAAATGCTAAAAAATCTAAAAATTTTTATATCAAATTAAATGCAATTTATTTTAAAAAAATTCTGAAATATTATAATGAAGTATTAAGATGATTAAATAAATAAATGTTTTAAATGATTAAAAAATAAGAAATTACTTTTAAACCAAATAGAGAGTTGTTGAGCTTTTATATTTTTTTTGCATAGAGATTGTCGAATTTTAATGCTAGAATTTTGACACCGAAGTTATTTTTAAGGATTTCGAAATGGAATTTTTCTACTTTCAAAGTGAGGATTTATACGTTGTAGTCAAAGAATGGACTCATTGGTACTGTACTTTGAACTGGGATGTATGGAATGCTTAATGGTGTAGATGTGGGTTGCATCATACTTTTTATGACTTTTTAGAGCTTGACAAGTGTAGTGACTGAGGCTTAGTGCTCGTTTTTGTTCTTTTTGTTGTTTGTTACAGAGATATTAGTTCTTCTGTAAGAGTGTTCATTTAAATCGAACTATTTTTGTTGTGCTAGCTTGTCTTTAGTATTAGATTGTCCATTTGTTTAAATTATAACATTCCTTTATTGTTAGTCTTTGTTTCTGACAAAATCTAGCTCATAAGTTGTTTCGAAAACTAGTTTTATATTTTCTACTATAGTTTGTGTTTAATTCTGTAAATAGCTTTAGTATTGAGATTAATAATTTTAGTTTTAAAATGTTATTGATGTTGCTGGTTAAAAAACGTTATTCTGGGATTAATTATTTGCATTTTGTTAAGTAGGCTGTGTGCTTTAATTGTTTAAGTTTGTTATATTTGTTTGATTTTGCATAAATAAATTCTAGTTATTGAAATTAAAATTATTGTTGTTCATTTGCTGTTATTGCTGATTGTTCGGTGTATTATTTTGCATGTACGAATCAGCACTTACCTGGTGAAAAAGGTTAGGATTAAAATACTGAGATTTGCTAGGTTATTTAGATTTATTTTGCTATATTCCAGAAATAAAGCTATCTTTGCTAATGTTCTGATTTATCTGAGAATAATTATTTAAAGCAGATGTTACCTCAGAGCTCTTCTTTTTTTACAAATTGAAAGGAAAGCCTTACATCTAATCATAATTTATTTTTAAATTTGTTAAAAAACATCTTTCAAAATGCAAAAAAATTTAAAAAAAAAGATAAATAAATTATTTTTATATTTTAAAAAAAGGAATTTCTTTAAATTTTAAATAAATTGAATCAAATTTTTAAATCTAAATAAAAAAAAATATTTTGTTGATTTTAGAAAGGAATAATTTACTAATTTCTCTATTTTTCTTTTTTTTTTATTATAGATTAATATTTTAATAAAATGATATCAAATAATATTTTGTTTGAACAATTTGTTCTAAAATAACAAATTTTTATTTGCAATTTGTTATAAAATAACAACTTTTAATTTGCAATTTTAGCTATCATAACAAAATAAGTTATTTCTTTCTACTTAAAAAAAAGTTATTGAAAGAAATTTTAAATAAAATGAGTCAAAAATTTATTTTAATTTAATTGGATTTTATTTTTTCAGAATGAAAAGCTGAAACTTAACTTTTAATTGTAAAAAAAAGTAAATTCTTTGATTTTGCTTAAAAAATAAATAAAAATAAAAATATTTATTTTAATTTAAGAGAGTGGATTTAATTTTTTCAGAATGAAAAACTTAAATTTATAATTTTAGTAATTGCAAAAAAAATTTCTTTCTGATAAAAAATAAATTGATTCAAAATATTTTTAAAAAATGAATAAAATATTAATTAATTAATTATATTTATTAGAACAAAATTTGTTCAAATTAATTTTTTATTTGACCAAGTTTCAATTTTTTTTTATTTAAATAAGATATTTTTCTTTGATTTTAGATCTCAAGCGTTTCTTAAATTTAAATTTCTTTCAAATAAATAACTTGGCCTTAAAATAATTTATTTAGTAATTAATTTTTTCATTGTAATTTTAGATAGAAGAAAAGAATTTACTGGCTTTTGTGAAGGAGAATTAAGATTGTTCGGGGAAGCTGACGAAAATGCACTTTAATTTTAAATGAGAATGACTTTTTTGATGTCTGTGTCAACAGTAATTTTAACACTTCCTGGACCGAAATAGCTGTCACCTTTCCATTTATGAGTGTATTTACTATCCAAGAAGAAAGCAAGAGTACTATTATTGCTTGAAATATTTTCTTTTGTTTCTCTTTCATGCTTTTTTCCTCCTTAGCTTTAGTTTTGCGTAGCACTGCTTTAAAAATTATAATTATTAGTAACAAAAATGCTGCCTTATCTCATAATTTTAGGTGGAGGAGGCTACTTTTCAGTCTAAACTTCTCCTTCTTCGCTCTTGGTAAAGCACATTAAATTAGATGCCTTTATTAAAAAAATTCATTTCATTTTCTAAATATCTCGAATAAACAATAAAACTTTACTTTTATTTCAACAGTCATCTATGCAAAATTATTAAAGTAAGGCGATTGCTTTACATTAGGCTAAAAGTCAGAACCATTATATGGGTTTCTAAAGAATCTTACAATATCAGAGATCAAATCTATACCCAAATAAACTGTCTTATTCTCGATCATCATCTTTATCAGCTTTTCACCATCAGGCCTTGAACGGAATATGAATTTGAAATCGCATTTGTTCTTTTCATGAAGTTTGTACATAAGATCAAATTCTTTAATTCAATTAATTAAAATAAATTTTAACACATTCAACAAAATTAATTTGAAAAAAAATCTTTAAATTTATCAAAATTAAATTAAATTTATTTCATTAAAACTTTAAAGAATTATTAATTTATTTATTTATTTTTTACCATTTTGTAGATCTTCATAATCAGATTTCGGGTTTGCAATCGTTTTTTTTAATGACTCAACGAGTTTATATATTTTTTTTTTCCTTTTAGGATAGTTGTCTGTTGGCCATTCTCTTTCTATACTGTTAGACTCAATTATATCTTAGTTTAAATCCACTTTATCCAGTGAAACAGATGAAGACTTATTTTTAATTTGTTTGTTGATTAAATTTAAAATAAAAATATTTAAAAAATTACTTTTTTCTTTAGTTAAAAGCTATTTGGATTACAATCTTATTTATAATGCATAATTTCATGTTCATTATTATGTTCAAACTAAACAACTTTTTCGATCTCATTGGGAACAAGCTATTGATGAGAATAAATATTGTTTTCATCTCTGTTATTCATTTTCAAATTTTAGGCAGCTCCATTTTACTAGGCGTTGTTTTCAACTAAATATAAATCTTGTTTCTGTAAATCAACACACCCTTATTCTTGTTATAAAACGTTAGCATTTTCTTTTTTTTCTTAAACTTATTTTCTTCTCATACAAGAGCAACTCAAAATGTTTTTTATTGATGAACAAAACCTCTAAAAGCAATTTTAATTGTTTTGAGGTGTTTAAATTTGTTGTTCCTATTATTTTTGCTCTTCTTTATTTATGACTTCATCCTTCTTTTCTTCTACAATCTTTATTATTTCAGCTTTTATTTCTTTATTTTCATTATTATCCACCTAAATAAATAAATAAAAAATAATTAGAATCGCTTTTTTTAATTTCACTCTTGTTTATTTGTTTAGAAAAATAGCAAAAATTTAAAAATAGTTTATAAATTAAGTTTGGTTTTTAATAAAATATTAACTGTTTGTAAACATAATAAATATTTTTTGTAAAATCTATGCTAAATTTATTCACTATTATTTGTTAATCTAAGTATTTGTTAACTTTATGAAAATATAAATTCATGTAAATAATAAACATCATGCAAAAATCATTGAAATTCTTAAAATCAATATCATTTTTTAATTGCTAGAAATGTCCAAAAAACAATAACTATTTGTTAATCTAAGTATTTGTTAACTTTATGAAATATAAATGCATGTAAATAATAAAAATCATGCAAAAATCATTGAAATTCTTAAAAATCAATATCTTTTTTTAATTGCTAAATGTACAAATAATAATTAAGTTTAGTTTTTTCAAATAATTTTGGCAAAATGATTTTCTTTCTTGTTATTTAATAGTTAAATTGTTCTATATTGATACTTAGTCCTTCATTAAATGTTTATTTTTATACTAAGTAAAATTCAACTTTATTTAATAGATAAAAGACCTTTTTATATTGCATATACAGTGTTTTCTTACTGTTATTATAGATTTTTAAAGATTGTTTTTGCTATATTTTATTTGCTGATAAATTGTTAAGTTTCGTTAATTACTAAGTTATAATCATAGAATATTATTTATATTAATAAGAGTTTGTTATAATTGAGTGTTTAATTTATTGAACTAATAATAATTGGTTTATTAAAATGATTGATGAAAATTTTGATAAATTAAATAATATTAAAAATGAATTTACATTTTTTTGATTAGAATTATTTTTTTCTTTTAATGGAGATTTTTTAAGAGATTTTTTGTGTTTTATTTTATGTTTGTCTTCGTGCTTATGATGATGATTTTGCTTGTCTTTCTTTTTTATTTCTTATTTTTTATCTTATTTGCTGTCTTTGCTCTGCTCGTTTTCTAAATTGGATTGTTCTGTACCAGAATTTTCTTCTTCCTTTTACCCTTCATTTTCATCTATTTAATCAAAGTTCTCATAAATTTCCATCTCATCTGACTGACTATTATTATCAATATCTTGGTTGTTTTCATCAATGTTTTGAAAAATGATATTTTAATTATCATCCACATTCTAATCGAAGGTAGATAGTTCTTCAAAAATATTGAATTCTTGCAAATTCAAATCGTATAAAACCTTTCTTCCATTTATTTTCGAATTCTTTCTGTTGTCATCCAAATTAATGTGTCCAACAAATAGCTTCATAGTTTTACCTCCATATTCTTGCATGTAGAATTTATAAATTAGATCTATTCATATAAATGTATTTTTAAAAGTGTTTAACTCACCTAAAAAAGTTAAATCTAAAATAAACAAATATCAAACATTTGTAAAGCTAATTATTTCTAAATCATTCCAAAAAAATTTCAAAATAAACTTAGAACAAAAAATAAAATAAATTGTAAAAAATATTTTTTAAAAATGATCATGTTATCATGAAGATAATTTTAAAATTTAGAATTTATATTTGTATGAAAACATCAAAAAAAAAATGAAAATGCTTATTCAAAGCTGTGAGAAAATTTTATTTATAATATTTTTTTCTCAATAAAATGGAAATTTATGATAATAAAATCATTAAAAAAATTTAGTTTAAAGAAATATTTTTAAAAAAATAGCTTATATTTAATTAATCAATTACCTTTTATTTCTAGCTCACCAATTGATGCTTCGTTATTGTTGATAGCATTGTCCTTGCATCTACAATAAATGCTGTTTATATCTCTCTAAAGATTTTTATTGCAGTAGTTACTGTGGTAGTATTTTATGTATTCGCCTCTGTCGCCTTAAAAAATCTTTGCTTACGCTTTGTTAAGTCTGATATCGATAAAGCACCAAGTCTATTTATTTATTTTTAAAATATTAATTAAAAAGGGAATTTGCATTTTTAATATAATTTTTTAGAATTTCGATTTACTTCTTCGTTCTTTAAGTCTGTAGTACCTGAAGGAATGACAGTTTATGGCTACTCACCTAAATTTTCTTGGAAAAACTTACAGATAGTTTTATAATCATGATCCCAAATGTATAAATTTAGAGCATTAATTCTAATGTCAACTATAATTTAATTTATTTTTTTAATAATTAATATAGAAAATAAATTTTAAAATATGATAAATTTCTATGTTAAATCAAAAAACTTGATAAAAACATTATCATAATTTTAATTTAATTTCTTTTTTAAATATTTAATTTACTCATGTTATTTAACTTTAATATTTATTTTTCTAATTTGATATTATCAATTAATTGGTTATAATTTATTTTCTTAATTAATTCTTGCAATTTAATTTATTTTTATGAATGTCTTTATTGGTTTATTTTTTTTATTAAAAATTAAATAACAATCAATATTTATTAATTCATTGATTTGATTGATAAATTTATCTTAATTCTTCATATTCTATTAAAAAGTATTGCTTTAAAAATTATCCAAAATTATGATCAAAATTCTATGTTTAAACTAGAAATAAAATATCTTTTTTATTGTTTTTGTTGCTTTAGAAAAAGTTTTAATAATAAAATATATTGATTCAAATAGACTCAGCCATTATGTTTTAATTTTTCAAGGTGAAGATTAAAAGATTTAGTATGTATTTGAGTATAAATAATTAGATTTCAAAATATTAATCAAACTTTTATTTTTGAGAATGATACTTAGTTAGGTTTTTTTGGTTTAATTTACTCATTTATCTTATTTAATTAATTTATAGAATTTAATATGGAATAAAAAAAATGAATTAAGTTCGACATTTGAAATTTAAGAATTACTTTTAAGGGGATTTCTGTCTTAATTCATGCCTGGATTTTCTTCATTAAATCGTTCATCTGTCAAGATTTTAAGGACAATGCTCCAATCTTTGCCAGGATCAACTGCAACCAGGTCACTGTTTTCTTTTCCTTCTTTTGTTCTGATTTGAATGCCTTTAATTTTAATAAGAATCAGCGATTCATAATTAATAATTGACTAATCTGATTGCTATGATTCTGAAAAAGTCATAGAATGGCTTGCCTCTGGAGTTTGATTTTCTAAATAATTTTTTGTTGTTTAGTTAAAATCGCTTGCTATTGTATGACTACGCGATCTATTTGTATTCGATTAACATGCTTAATCGTCTTCGTTATTTTAGCTCATCTAACCTTCAAATTCTTTTTCAAATATTACTTCATTAACTTAATCAACAAGCTTCATAGCTTTCTACCAATCCTGCATTTATTGTTACTCGTTACTAGTTACTTCTTAAAATTCTAAATCGTTTCCTCCTTTAGTGATCTCATTTTGCAGAAGCTCAGTAAGTATAAGCTCTCCTTCATCCATACCCCAAGCACCTAAAATAAATTCAATAAAATATCTATTTATTAATCAATCATAAAATACATATTTATTTATTAATCATTCATTGGAATATGAATTTATTTATTAATCATTCTTTAATAATATATTTTTTGATCGTTCATAAAATATCTATTTATTAATCAATCATTGAATATGAATTTATTTATTAATCATTCTTTAATAATATATTTTTTGATCATTCATAAAATATCTATTTAGTAATCAATCATTGAATATGAATTTATTTATTAATCATTCTTTAAATATATCTTTTTTGATCATTCATAAAATATCTATTTAATATTAATTAATCATTCATTGAATATGTATTTATTTATTAATCATTCTTCAATAATAAAATATCTATTTATTTATTAATCATTCATTGAATATGTATTTATTTATTAATCATTCTTCAATAATATATTTTTTGATCATTCATAAAATATCTATTTATTTATTAATCATTCATTGAATATGTATTTATTTATTAATCATTCTTTAAATATAAATTTTTTGATCATTCATAAAAGATCTATTTATTAATCATTCATTGAATATGTATGTATTCATTAATCATTCATAAAATAAGTTTTTATTAATCATTGATTGAATATATATGTAATGTAAATGTTACCTGTTGTCCACATTCCAAGCTTTTGAAAATGCAGGTAGATAGCATCGTTTGAAAGGGAATTCCTAAAGCCTATTGCTTGTGAATCTAAAATCAAGAGTTCTAAACGAAAAGTAGATCCTTTATTCTCATCATTAGCTTAATCTTCAGTATTTAGCTTGCTGTTGTTAAAGATGCTACTCTGTTGCTAATTTTAGTGGTGATGCTAAAAACTTTAACTTTCTTTTTCATTTTTAACTGTTTGATTATGTTCTTCCAAAATAGGCAACTTGAAGTATTTTAAAATTCTCTTTTTAAACTTTTTATTAATCATTTCTTCATCTTTTGCAGAGAGCTGCTTTTGTAAAGCCTAAAGAATGTGAGCCCTGATATATAACTGAATTTCATAAGTACTTCTCTTTAAGAATATCACCTTTACTCCATACAATTTAATCCCAAGATATGTCTTGAATTTTTAAATGCTTGCCAATTATTCATTTTTATAAATGATGAATTCTCCCTTCAAAGTATTTGGATCTTCATGTTTGAGACTCTCAATTACAGTGGAATGTGCCCCAATCTTATCATGTGTCTCGAAAAAGCTTACATTCTAAGAAAAAAACTCAACCTTAGTCAAAAGTTAAAATGACCTCATCTGAAATCCAAATTTCTCCAAATTCATCAAAAAGATGTTTTCCTTTTATTAACAAATAAAGTTCTTAAAATATTTTTCTATTAAAATTATTATTCATATTAATTAAATTTAATTTATATTATTTTTTTTCTAACTGCATTAAAATAAATTATCTAAAATAATATTAACTAAATTTAATTTCATTCAAATCACAATATATATCTTTCTATCTAGTTAATGAAATATGTTTGCTTATTAGCACTTAGCATATAATAATCAATATATTCAAAGATCTTCTTTTCAAATCAAAGTAAAATTTAAATATTCCAAAATATTCTCATGTTCGTTCTCAGTTCTCTTTCAAATTACAATTATTATGAGATTTCTCTTTATATTTTATTTTCTCTCTTTTTGTTTTTGTTTTTGTTTTTGTTTTTGCTTTTTTCCCTTTTCTTTTTTATTTATTTATTTGTTTATTTGTTTAATTGTTTACTTGCTTGTTTATTTGTTTGTTTGTTTGCTTTTAATTTGCTTATTTATTTTCTTGCTTTTATGTTTGTTTATTTATTTAATTCCTTGATTTTTTTTGATTAACTTTATGTTTCATTTTTAATTTAAATTTTATTTATTTGTTTGTTTGTTTGCTTGCTTGTTTACCTTTTTATGGACAAAGATGATAGTGATTCCATCAGTTTTGGCACATATGTTTGTAGAGGGGATTTCATTAGATGCATCTGGATGGCTCTACTTGATGGTTTCTTGTTCGAGAAAGACTTCATGTTCCTCTTTTTAAAAGGGAGAAATGAATAAAGATTATGAATAAGATTTAGTTATAATATACCTTAGTAAAAATCAGGCCAGAATCCCATCCACTTCATGTATTGCTAGAAGTTTTCTATATTTATCTTAGTGAACACGCTTACGCTGTCTAGGATTAATTTGATTTATTGAATCATGGCGGGATCCATGGTGAAAATTGTCTGCTTCAACTGAATATCTATTTCTGAGAACTGTTTTTAATTTTCTTCTGAAAGCTGCTTTCTTAGTGCATTCCTAAATACTTTAAAGCTTAATCGCAAATCTGGTTCATTGTATTCTTCTCTTTCTTAATTAAGTTTGCTGTTGGTGTTTGTGTGAAAGACAGTCGTTCCTAGCTTGCTGTTTTTATTTGGTGTTTAACTAAAATTAATTGTGCTGAAAAGATGGTCCTTTGTGTTATTTGGATTGCTTTAATTATTTGAATTTGAAGGATAATTCATGAAATTTAAAATCAGTCCACAACTATTTTTGCCATTCTAAAAGCAGTAACTGCATCTCTCTGTGTAAATTAATTAAAACAATTTAAATTGATCAAAAAAATTAAAACATTTATTTATTTACTTGAAGAAAGGGTTTAATAGTCTTACAGCTTAGTGTAAATTCCATCATTTAAATAATTTTTTATGTTTTCTTGATTTTTATTTTTAGTTTCTTTTTACTCAATCACAAAATCTTTCACTTTTTCTTGCATTACTTCTTGCTAATATTAATGTTAATTATTAACATGAACTTCATTTTCTTAAATAACTGAAAGTCCTTCTCCAATTGCTTTCAAATCTTCTATTTCTTCATTTAAGTCATGATTAAATCCTGTAAAAAAGATGAATTTTTGTTTTCATAAAAATGTTTTTAGGAGTTTAATAAAATACCTTTAGCTGTGTCTATTTCATCAAAGAGATCTTAATACTTAGCTTGTTTAATATTTAAATTGTCATTAACATTACCCATAACAGTAGCACCGCTTAATTGCTAGTTATGAGCATGAAAATTGTAGCAATTTAAATTTTGTTTTTATTGTGCATTCTCATTAAAATCTTCTTCATTTAATTAATCTAAAACTTTTGTTTGAATGTTATTCTTCTCTATATACTAATTAGCATACAGTTTAGCATAATCGCTTTGACTTAACAATTTGCTGCTTAAATTAGCGAGTGGATCTTTAAGCTAGATATCATAGCAGTTCTAAATATTAATTAATAACACATTTTTAATAAAAATTTAAAATAAAAAAAATAAATTTTTTACTTTTTATTCCAAGACAATGGTTTCGATTGTCAAATTTAGATTTTGCTCTTAAACTTTTTCAATGAAAATAAATTTGATGTTCTTGAGATAGAAAGCAAACAAGTCATTAGAGTGAAATGACTGAGTTGCTGCCTAAGGAATATTATTATTTTAGAAAGCTTCTTGGCTGTTTATAGCAAGGTTGAACATGAGTCCTTCCAGATTTACTTTCACTCTTAGAACAATAAAATTCTCTAACAAATCAATAATCCTGTCTTGTTGTATATCCTTTAATTCAATTTAAATTATGTTAAATTTATATAAATCAAGCAAGCAAGTATTTATTTATTTATTATTTTACATAGTTATTCGCATAATCTTAGTATTCCGTCTACAAAAACCCGTTGCTGTTGTTGTACCCGTACTATTTTTTAATTAAAAAAATCAATTTATTTTCAATCAAAAAAGAAAATATCAAATTTCATTTTTATAATTTGAATTAAAATTATTTAGCAATCAAGTTTGTTTTTCTATAGATAAATAAAATATTTTGATTTTTAACCAATAAAATTAAATTATAGAAAATAAATAAAAATGTCTTTAAATATTTAAAGGAAGGAAAATAAGCAAAAACATTTTTTGGTGAAAAAAAATTAAATGAATTCGTCATTCATTTTAAATTAAGCAAATTTATTTTTTGAATGAATTTTTACCTGACTATTGAAATACCTTTCTTATTCAGATTCTCGTTTATCCTAGTTTTGGTAAAAAGTAATAAATAGTTAGAATGACTTTTTGATTAAATTGAATTACAAATATATTTGATTTTCTCAGCTTTTTTTCATGGTTGTATAAATTAGTCTTTTGGTCATAGCCAATAAGTGTTTGATTTTTTATTGCTTAGAAAAGATTGACGCCTTGAATGAGCCACTTTGTCGCAAGATAATTTAAAATATGGATTTGTTTCAGGTCGAAGTTAAAAATGAGAAAGGGAAGATCCAAAGAAATCTGTTTTGTTTAATTTATTTAAAAATAATGATTGGAATAGAAGGGGTTTTTGAAATCTTACTTTGAAACTATGAGGGTAAATAACATTTTTATAGTCTTTAATAGTTGCTGTAGCAGTCTATTATGTAAAATTATCAAACTGCATCTCACTATCTTCTTAATCAATCCTAACAACAATTTGCAAAGTTTCTAAAATACTTACGTAAGGTTTATGATTTTTAAGCTTTTCATTATTTTAAGAGTATTACTAATTATTGTTCAAGTTTATATTTATATTTTTTTAAGGCATTTAGAAATTATTATTTGTAAAATTATTGCTTTAATCTTTAGTAGATTCTTTCATGCTGTTACTTTTTGTGCTTTGATTTAGCTTGGCATAATTAACCAAAAATACATTTTCATATTCCTCCCAGTCATAACTTTTCACAAACATAAGTCTCAAGCTATCAACACTAGTGAAAAACGTTATCATTTCCTTAGAATTCTTTTTATTTATTTAAAAAACATTTTTAATTTAAATTGAAATTCTACATAAAATTAATCAATAATTTTCAATTAAAATCATTGTTTTCAAATTATAATCAATTACACATTTTTCAACTAAATTCGCTAATCATTTTTTTGTTTTTTATAAAAATTATTTCATAAATTTTGCTCTTAAATTTTTATTAGAAATTCTTATTTCAATTTTTAATTCAAATTTTTGTCTTCCAAATTAAATTATTTGATAATTTTTGTAATTATTTGTGGAATTTTTTGATAAGATTTGGGGAAATTTAATTGAATTTAATTTAATAATATTTATCTAGACCCTAAAAATGAATTTGGAATAATATAATAAATTCTTAAATTTAGTAAAAATGAAATTTAAAATGAAAATTGATTTACTTCACTTTTGTTATGATTTTCAGTGTGATAGGAATAGGCATCGTTTTACTGTAAAACGAGGAGAGAGTCATGCTCTCTTTTGTAAGATTTGAGATTTTTCAACTAAATGAGGAAAATGTCAGAACGAATTTGATAATTAATAGGAAAGTAAATGTTTATCCTGCCCATATTGACTGATATGTTTGATTTTGAACTGTCTTTGGGTTATGTTTACAGGATCTTTTCGAAAAGAATTTTTTAGAGTTTTTGATTAAGATTTTTTTGAGCTTCAAATATTTTATCAGCATTGAAAATGATTAATTAATGAAGAGCTCTGCAGCGTTCAAAAAAAGGTTTTGTAAAAATAAAATCAATAGAGTCAACTTAAAAATCGATATGATTGTGAACAACATTTTCATATTCTTCACTCTTGTCAGCTTTGATAAACTTTTTGACAACCAAACTGTTAATGAAAAGCTTAACACCATTTGGAATGTAAATAAATCTGCTATAATGAATATTTTTTGTATGTAAGTCGATTCCTTCAAGCTCTCTAAATTAGAATTTTATAACTTTTTAATTTTATTATTAGTCAATCTAAACCCTCAAAGTATCTATTGATATTCTCAATAAATACTCGTTCTGTTTTTCCTAATTTTTTCCTTATTTTTTTAAAGGACTCTATTTATTATTCTTAAAATACTCCGATTTCATGTCTTGTTGATTGAACGAAATAAATTCCTCCTCATTCTAAGATAAATTTTCAATAAAATTATTCAAGTCTATTTAGTTCACAGAATTTTAGAAATTCTGTTAAATCAACTGACTCCTCTGCTAGTGGTTTTTAGTATGTGAAAGCTCGCTAAGAAAGTTTTTCGTCAAATGATTCAAAACTATCCAAAAAAAAAGTAAATTAAAAAATAACTAACAAGCAAAATAAAGTAAAAATATATTTAATTAATATTTTAAAATCTCATCAACAAAAAATAAATTCAATTAAATTTTAAAAATAATTTTAAATCAAAAAAATAATCGTTAAACAAATAAATAAATAATTAAAAATTTATTTCGATTGATAAATTAACTTTAAATTAAATTTATTTTCTTAGAAATTTAATTTATGATTAAAATAATGTTTTTTATAAATTTAAAGCAAGATTTTAGTAGAAAAATGAATTAAAAATTTATTTCGATTGATGAATCAATTTTAAATAAATTTATTTTCTTAGAAATTTAATTGATTTTAATATAATTTATGATTAAAATAATGTTTTTTATAAATTCAAAGCAAGATTTTTATAGAAAAATGAGAATTAAACAAAATATTTAAAAATTTTAAGAAGAAATTTTACCTTATTTTTAAAGCTTAGGGTACTTTTTTAGCTCCTTTTTAAATAGGAGAACTTGATTGTATAGATTTTTAATATCAGAAATCATATTATTTTCATTAACATTAATCTCGATACTATCAATTTTTAGATTTAAAATTATGTGCTTTTTAGACCCTTTAACTTCTCCAGAATATATACTCTTCTTACTCGAGATATCATTAGAAATTCTTTTAATGCTCTATTTATTAATTAAAGTTTAAAATATTAATTAATTAAATATTATTTTGTTTTAATTTTTTATCAAATAAATCAAACCAATTTAATATTTCAAGCTTTTAAAACAACAATTTCCATTTTAAAAAAATAGAAAAAAAATGGAAAATACAAATCAAAAAAAAATCAATCAATTTGATTTTAACAATTAATTTATTATTAAATCGAAAAATTGAATCGATTTAATTAATATAAAATCGAATTAATTTTGTATTGATTAAATTAGTAACTTGCTGCTGCTTCTTATTTTTTATTTTATGGTATTGATTGATTGAATAATTAAATTTGTTTGCTTAAACTGCTGCTGCCACTACATTTTAATTGTCTTACATTAAGTTGGATTGATTGGTCGAATTTCCTAAACCACTCCAAGCATGCGTTTTGAACAGATTTATCATCACTTTAAAGTCCTTCTGTCATCTATGAGATTTTTTCTAAGGCAAACTACCTGATTAAAATGATCTAAGCCAAAGAGTTATCATACTCATATCTTTTTATGAAATCCTGTTCATTTTTTTTAAAGATAATTTATTTTATTTTGCTCTCATCAAAATTATTTTAAATAAAACTAACCTTTTTTTTTTTGGGCAAAGGTTTGCTCATAATTTATGTAGCTGTATATAATCTTTTGTAAACTTCATCATTTATTATTCTATCAATGTGTCTAAACTTTATTTTTTGGTTAATTCTATTCTCTTCACGAATTCTTTTGACTTTTAAAAATCAATTATCAATTAACATATCACAATACTAAACTAGCTTACTTAAATATTGCCACCACTAAACAACTCCCTTTTTGAACATCTCTAATAAATTAATAAATAAATTTATTTATTTATTTTATTATAAATATTCGTAATTCAAGCTAAGTAAAAATAAATAATTTTGTTAAGCTTCTTTTATTCCTAAACAATTAATTACTAAAATATATTTTAAAATTATCTCAAAATATTTCAGGTTTCAAGATGAACTTTATTTTATTAAAACTTTAAGCTTTTATTTATTTATTCTTTGTAAAATATTCCCTTAAGTATTTCTATTTTAAGTTTTCTTCCATTTAAAATATCAGTTTTATGATTTAATTTAGTTATTTTCAATATAATTTAAGTTATTTTTATAATCTAAGAAATAACTATCTTATTTCACTTAATTAGGACTAAAATATAATGGAAATAATTCTCAAAGACATTTAATTTAATTGCTTTATTTTTAAATTCTATTTATTTACCATGTCTTATACTATCAATAAATTCGAAAAAATGCATAATTAATTATCTATTTATTCTAATTAAATATGGATTTCTTTTAAAGGTTTAAATAAATCACAAGCTTATTTATAATAATTTATTTACATTTTTCCTGTCTTTGCTTTCTTGTTTACTTTTATTGTTCTGGATCTTCTTTTATAAATATTTCTTTCATAGGACTGATTAAAGGTCTGTCTCTTCTGTACCATTTAAAGTCATTAATTAGTTTGATTAGCATTCTAATTTATTGCTGCTATAGTACAAGAATTATTTTAGAGGTGCTTACACCCAGATCTAATTCCAATCCATCTTGGAACTTCATTTTGAGGATGCACTGAATATTGAAGTCCTTCACTATTTGGATATCTTCAGAAAAAAAATCCTTCTCTTTAAATATGCTTTTGTCTTATAAATGCAAGACACTTTCGTCTAAAAACTCTTTGCTCTCTTTTTTCTTTAACTAATAAAAAAAAATAAATGAATAAAATATTTTTAATTATTTTATAAAGTCTTTCTTATTTTGTTTGGAAATCTTAACAGCTTATTTGTGCTTTATTAATTAAACGCCAAATAAAATTTATTTGAACTATTTTTATTTATTTTGGGAAATTTAAAAAAATTTATTTGAGTAATCAATTTTTGCACTTAAAAGCGGTCTTTTTAATATAAGTTTAATCAACAAAAAAAACAACTAGATAAAAACTACATCAACAACAACAACAATAACAACTTAAAAAAAAAAAAATTTGTTGTTAATAAAAGAATTGAAAATGCGTTTTTTGTTGTTTTTTTGTGAAACTGTAAAAAGTATTTTCAGTGAAGAATTTGCAAAAAAAAAAGAGGTAAACGGAAGGACGGATTGGATTGGATTGTATTGTGATTTTGTATAAAAGTTTTGTTAAATTTTATTAAGTAAATATAAAAAATTAACAATTTTGTTTGTTTACATTTAAATATTCAAATTGCGATTGCTCGTAGAAATCGAAATAGACTTAAAGACCTGTAATTGATATCTACTTGAATACATATCCTAATTCTAAAGTGTTTTAAACCAATTTTTTTTCATTCATTTATTGGAGGACAACTTCGCTGACATGAAGACCAAGTTTTGCAATTTCGAAATCATTAATTTGCCTTGTATAGCTGAATTTTGCGTTTTTTAATCTGACTTGCAAGTTATTCAACATGTCCTTTAATTTACTCATAAAAAATCCCTATTTCTCTCCTTTCTCCTTGTTTTTTTATTGATTTTTCCTATCCTGAAGCTCCTTGTCAAATTTTTGGAGCGCTATTTCCTTCAATTTTTGTAATTTTTATAAATTCTCTGTCGCTTCTTTTTCATTTTGCTAATAACACTGCTTCAAACTTAAGCAAAATCCTTCTATGCTAACAACAATAGGCTAATTAATTAATAACAAAAAATAGCTTTAAACTACAAAATCATCATTGCTTTCTTTTCTTAAATAGCAATTTTGCTTTTAAATAATAATTTACTTCTGTCCTCAAATTCTTCCATGGTATTTTTATTGTCACTTTTTCAATTTTATTGTTTAAAATTTCTAAATCAATATCTAGCATGACTAGAACATCTGGCTTTAATTCCAAATTATTCAGTTCGATTTCCCCTTTTTAATAAGTAATAAATACATAAATACACTTAAATACACTTCTTCATTTGCTTTTCTAAATTTCGTCTAACTAAATCTATAAAATGCTAGAAAAATACCTTGCCATAAACCCAAGCTGACCTACTTTTCATCAAACCCTTAAAAATATGGCTACAAGATCTTTTTAAATTAATAAAAAACTAACTATGTCGATCACCTAAATCAAACAAATTACATTTGATAATAAGAAAGAAGAAGCCCAATTTAATGGAGCAAATTTAAACATATGTCAATAGATGAAACTATTTAACTAACTATACAGCTGCTGCTGCGGCTAATGCAGTTTATTTATTTTCTTTCTTTCTACCTTTTATCTCTTTCTACTACTTCTTATTTAGAAAGAATGAATGAATTTTTATACAATTCAATACCTTTGCTTTCTATAAATTTTGCTTAATTTCTTGCTATATTAATTGATTGATTGATTAATCCTTGTCAATTAATTAATAATTCTCTTAATTATTTACAAGATTTCTCATTCAATCAAAAGCAATTCATCTAACTTGATACCTACATACATACAAACAAACAAACAAATAAACAAACATACATACATTCATTCATTCATTCAATAATATCTTTGAAAACCTTTATTTAGTTACAAATATCGAAATATTATTAAAAATATTATTAACCTAACTAACCATTTAACTTTTTTATTAAATTTACTAAGCAAATATATCAAAATAAATAAATAAATTATTACGCCTTATGCATTATTACGTTCTCAACCTCCAATTTTAATATAATATAAAATAACATCTCAGTCAATTACTTTCTTCCTTAATAAACAATAAATAACAATTCATTAATTTTTGTAAACTCCTCTATTTATTTATTAAATTAATTATTATCTATCTTTTCATTTTCATTTCATTCACAATCTCAAATTTAAACATTTAAAAATATTTCTTCGTCTGTTAATTAATTAATAAATTACTTAATTTGATCGCATGCATGTTTAACTTTTAAGTCTCCAAAATTAATCTATATTTTAAGATTAGATATTCAAAATACATACAAATAAATAGATAAATGCTTTTCAAATTTCATATTAAAAATGTTTGTAAATTCATTATTAAAATAATAATTTAATTTATGAGTAAATAAGATTACTACTATTGAATTGATTATTTTTCTTGTTACAATTTAATCTTTTTAATCAAAAAAATTTAACTTTTTAAAATATATTTTAATATTTGGTCAAATATTTATTTTTATTGAAAATAATGGTTCTGAACTCCAATAACTTTTCAATATTTGAAACTCTACTTTTAAACTTAGTTAGTATCTGATATTTATGGTTGATGATAAATAATTAATATTAATCGATTGCTTATAGAAAGATTTATCTTTTGTTAAAGCTCATTATGTTTACATTTTTTTTCAGATATTTATTTATTTAATTTGAAAATAGAGTTTTAAATATTCAAAAAATTATTGTGAATACTGCCATAGAATGAATACACGTTAAATTGCAATTAAAAATTTTTCTTATTAAGTGAAAATTTAAGAAAATAACTAAAATAGATAGCCTATTTTCAACACTGATTATTAAGTATGAATATTTATCTGTTAATTTTAGTGATTATCTAATATTTACTTATTATTTACTTCTCGAAAATACATTTAATTTTTTATATTAAATTCTAAGAAAATAACTATTTATTTTTAATAATTTACATTTTTTTATTCTTAGAATAAATTAATATTCATTTAAATTGATTTATTTATTAGATTGTATTCAATCCATATTACATATAAAAATTGCAACCATTTTTTAAAATATTTATATATTCATAGAATTGCTTAGAAATAATTAACTAAAACATAATTTATTGCTTGAAAGAATTTTTTTATTCAATAATTAAAAACAATTTATCAATAAAAAATTAAATTAAAATAATTCCTTTTATTTTTTTAAACATTTATTTATGAGTTAAAATTTTTTTTTATGAAGTAAATTTGAATTAAATTTATTTTAATAAAATAAATATTTATAAGCAAGCTTACTAATTGAAAATTATTAATTACAAATATTTTTTTGTTATGTTTTTAGAATATTTATTGATTATTTTCAAATTTATTTTCTAAAAAAGTGTGTTTTTGCCAATAAGTTTTATGTAAGGAAATAATTTTTTAATAAATAAAATAAAAATTTTAATTGGATTTTAGACAATTTTAACAGAATTAGCTCTAAATTTTAAGTTATTAATTGATTTATCATTCATATTTGTATGTAAAATTATGTCAAAATAAATTTTTTTATTAAACATTTAAATTATTTATAGAAATTAATTATTTTGTTAATCATTAAGATTTTGACTTGATAGTGGAAAGCATTTTATCAACAAGTTTGGATAATTTGGAAGTGCAGAGATAGCCATCTTAGTCAAAGTATTCATTTATTTTTATTTTTTATTAAGCTAGCTGTTTAGAAAAAGGATTTAAAATTTGTGAATTGAATTAAATTATTTAGTATACATAAGTCTTCTTTTAGTTATATTCGGAAATGGAGAGTTCAAGTTCATCACTGAGCATTTCAATGTTAGAATTAAATCTATATAAAACCTTTTCTTCTTTGCTTTTTTGTTCAGTTTCCTTCTTGTCTGAAACCTATTTGTAAATAAAGATTCAGTTTAGTAATTATAAATATACTGAACGTGAAGATATCTATTTGATATTTTTTACAGTGAATAAAGCGAATGTATCTCCTTCAACTGAGTTTTCGTAGTGAGAGTAGTAATTGCTCAAAATGAAATAACTTTTATTCAAAAAATTGTTAAATAAACTTTCTCTTTTAAGTGCATTTTTTTACATTGAAACACAAGCTATTAAGATGTAAATGTTTTTAGGGAAAGGCAGAGGATAGTAGTGAGAGACCAAAATGACTATCAAAATTAAAAAACCTAATACAATCTATATTTATATTATAAATAGCAATATATTGAATTATTCATTCATTTAAATGAGCAAAATAGCACTCATCAAAAAGCTATCATTTTACCTTTGTGTCCAAGAACTTATTGGAAAAAGTGTAAGTTTTCTTTTCATTTTTTTCAAGAAGCTTTTTTATAATTTGAAAAAGTGATTTAGAAATAAATCATCAACAAACAAATATGGCTGAAATTAATCATTTACATTTTCAATGTATGTGTTGACAGTATCTCTGATTAAATATGGGTCGTACTTATTTTCTGTTCTGTACTCTTTTTATTATTTAAATTTTATCAATTTTAATCGCTAATCTTTAATGTTTATTCTAACCTTGAACTTTTTCAGTTGCCTATTTACTCATTGCTTCCTTAATTCCTTTTATTTATTTTGGATATTCTCCTTATTTGTTTTTATATCTAATTAATACTTCTAATTGATCAATTTAATAATTTATTATTTTATTAATCAAAGTGTTAACTAAGACCTTCATTCATTCATCATTCTTATTAATTAACACGTAAAACGATCAAAAACATTCACATTCATTCAACTTTTTATAATTCTTCCTTTCATTTTCAATTAAATATTTTCCATAAAAATCATTTTTTATTAAATTAAGTTTAATATTTTTGATTTTAATAAAATGAATTATGTAATAAATAATTTTTATTGCGAATGTTTTTAATAACAAAAGAAAAATTATTTTCCATAAATATTTGTAGAATAAGTAAAAAGACTCATTTTGTTTTGAATAGATTATATTTAAAAATATTAACAGTTTTTTAAATAGCTTATTTTAAAATAGAATTTTATCTATTAAGAATGGAAGAAGTAATTTATTTATTATTAATCCTGGTGAAATTCCTATGTTAATTTTAAAAAAATCTACCGAGTTGTTGTAGGAAGTTAACACAATTAGCATTTCAATGTTTTTTTTAAATAATAAAATTTAAACTTCAATTAAAATTTTGTTTTTGATAAAATGATAAAATTTAAATTTTATTTTTAAAAATATTTTTTTTGGATTTAATTTATTAAAAAAATGAAATTAAATTATTAGGAATTTTTAAATGTGTTTTTTTTGATGAGGACTGACTGATTTAAAAATAAAGTTTCTAACAATATTCAAATAAATATGAAAAACCTCAATTTCTACCATTTTTAAAATATATTTTAATATTTTTCTGTGATTGTTTATTTGTAAATAAATAATGACTGTATGTTTTATAATAAATTTAAAATAGAAAACTATAATTATTATCTACGAACTATTTGAAATAACTTCTAATTTTTAAAACACTCTCTAATAACCATGTAATAGTAAATTATAATAAAAGATGATAAGCAATCTATTTAAAATCTTTTTAACTGTATTTAAATAAAAAAATCTTTTTATTGTGAGAATCAAGTTATCAAATTAAATTGAATTAATCAATACTTACTTTCTTTTTTTGCTCATTATTTTAAAATATTTAAATATTAAATTAAACATGTTTCTTTCAATCATTATTTAATTTTATTTTGTAAAATTTAAAGAAAAAATTAATAATTGATTGATTATTTTTACATTTTTCATGCTTTTTCATAATTTTTTTTGATGCTTAAAATAGATTTGACTAGATAATAAAATAAAAATTATTGTTGTTTTTTGAACATTTATTAATTTTCATTTGAATAATAAATAATAAGAATAGTTTATTATGAAATCATTGAATAAATCTAACAATTACTGATGAATTAATTGGTTGTTTGCCAAAAGTAATGGAAAGAAAATAAATAGATTGTTAGTTAATATTCTATTTAGGAAATCAATCAACTATTTAATTAAAAGAAAATCAATCACCCAATTAAAGAAAAAAGAAACTTTTAAGTTATAAAATTCATTATTTTGATTAGTTTCAGAATAAATTATTTGCAAAATAGTTAATAAATTATTGTTTATTGCATAAACTGATTGATAGATAGATAGATTAATTGATATAAAGTTAATACATAAATAAATAGGTAAATAAAACATTTCAAAGTATATAACAATGGGAAAAGAAGAAAAAAAGGTTTTTAAGGATCGTTGCAAATACGAAAATACTCAGTAAACTGAAACATATAGATAGCAACTTACTGTAAATCAATAATTTTTAAGATTGACAATCACAATTTAATTAACAATATTCCAAATTATCAGAAAGAAAAAAGAATTCTTCAAACAAAAACTTAATAAGACATTGAAAGATTAGATCCATATTTTACCGTAAACAACAATTATTTGGGTTTGATGAAAAAGGACTCCGAATCTGGAAATTAAACTTCAGTCTAATTCAAAGTAAATCAATAAATAAATTTATTTAATTATTAATAAGACCATTAATATCATTTTTAATATATGAATAGCATCCATTAGATTAATTGGGCTTAATTGACAATGATTATTGCCAAAAATGCAAAAAAGATGCTAGCTTTTGTCCTCATAAAAACAAAAATGACGATGTCTACCTTGCTCAACATACCTTAAAGCACCCTGTTACACAGTAAGATTAATAAAAAATATTAAAATTAAGAGTGTGTGTGTTATTAAATATAGTCTCTATTAATAATTAATTAAATTACTAAATAAATAAGCTCTAAATGACAATAAGTTTATTTATTTTTATATTTTTATTTTAGCAGCTAAACCTATGGTTGGAGACCTCCTATAGACGACAGCAATTGGGGCTATGGATTAAAAAGTACAATTTAGGCTTTCACAACAAGCTTTAGAAACGATAAGCCAAAAGAACCTACTAAAACAAACTGATAAAAAACAAATTAACAAACAATAATTTTATAATTTATTTGTACTGCTTTATATTTACTATCTATGTTTTTTGTATTAAGATTAATAATAAATATAAAGTGGATTCCTTATTTCTTGCAATATTTATTATTAAATATTACATGCTAATAAGAGTTTTTAAATTAAAGCAATTATTAAATTTACAATAAATCAATCAATTTAACTGAATAAATCAATCAATTTAATTGAATAAATATATCAATTTATTCTTTTAAATATCAATCTTTCTTTGATTCAAAATAAAATTACTATTTTCTTCTAATTTTATTAAATAGCTAATATGATTTAATATTAGCCTTAAACACTCAAAATTAAAAGGTTAGTTCTGATAAGCAATAGTGGAATTTGGCCTTGATTTTTCATTAAAATTAATATTTTAAGTTTAAAATTGATTTAATCTTTAAAATGGATGATTTATGGTAATGAAAATAATCAAACTATACTCAATTAAACTGAGCTCTATTTAATCACTTAAAAAGAGCTTACTTGAAATAATATTAATAAATAAATATAATTTATATTATTTTTCTAAAATATCAATAAATATTTGATAATTCTTTGGATATTTTATAAGTTTATTTAATAAGAGTTTTTTTGAGACATTATTGATATATTTTATATTGACTTTTATATTCATTTGAGTAATTTAATTTATTTTTGTACAACTTTACATTACTTTGTTTTTTTGGAATATTTTAATTCGATTTTTAGTTTAAAGCAGTTTAAGAATTACTTAAATTTATTTTTTAAGACATTTTTAGTAATTTTTAATTAAATTTTGGATATTTAATAATGATTTTTAGTAGATATTTTAATGGATTCATTATGACTTCTATAGATAGATACTGTTTTATTTAGATTGAATGATAGTAAATTGATTCTACATTTAAAATTCTATTAAATAAATTTTTATTTGTTTGTTTGTTTGTTTATTTATTTATGAATGGGAATGTTCTGATGCTTTAAATATATCTTTAGTATCCAACTAAATCAAATAATTAATTTATTCATTCAATTAGCTAAGAAAATTAGATAGATAGATACCTGAATATAATTTTACTAACAAAAAAGAAATTGAAATTTTTGAAAGTATTAATCAAAATTAAATAAATATCTAAGTAAAGTAAATGGAACAAGATTTAAATGCGAATTGCAAATAACTTGAAGAAGTTCTTAAGAACAAACTAAGCGAAAAAGTTAAAAAAGGAATATCAGGGAAAATTGATTAAGTAAATAACAGCGTGAATATTTTAAGCTAGCAAACTATGGGCAAGGCTATCAATGATGAGCAAATGAAATAGCTTATGAATCATTTAAGTCTAATTTCAAAAAATTTGTAAGAGATTTTTTAGAAAGAAATAATTTCTGAAGATCCTAAAAAGAATTAAACTTTTATAGACAAGCTGGATGGTTTTTAGATTGCGGGAGAGACATTTTCTGGGTTTGAAAGACAGCCATTCGTAACAAAACACAATGATATTTTGGTTGATTTAAATTAAGAAGCGAATTAATATTTGCAAAACAAGATCAATCTTCCTCTTAATGATAAAACTGGAGAGAATTTCTTGAATTTATTTTACAGAAGCAATAAACTATATAACAGCAGCATAGATAATCTTTTAGATGGGATTAAAAAGAAAACTGATTTAAAAACAATCATTACTTAGAGAATGACCTTAGAAGATAATTATTCAAGACAAATAATGGATTAGTAATTAATGTAAGAAGAAGAAGAAATCTAAGATTAGCAATTAAATTATATACAAAACGACGACAATAATAATATGAATATGCAAGATTAATATAATCAAGATGAATGTATGAATATGAATTAAAACGATGATGATGATTAAATGCTTTAAAATGATAATTAATTAGATGAAGAAGATGATGATGAACATATTTGAGTATCAATTTCACTCTATCTAAATATCTTAATTAGCTAGCTTGCTACATTTCTATTTAGCTAGAAATAAGCTAGCTAGGTTGGTTTATAAACCCAACAAATTATTGTTAATATTATTCACTCTTCAAACCTATTTTATTTATAAAACAAACACAATAAATAAATAAATAAATCACTATAAATTAAACTATAATATTCTAAAATAAAATAAATGAATGAAAAAATATTATGATAAATTTCTAAATTTGACATTAAGTAATATCAATTAGTATTTAACCTTTTTATATATCTAAGAGTATTAAGTTCATTACCCATTTAGTTAATTTTATTCAAAGTATATTCTTTATTTAATATTTTGCATTTTATTTGAAAAATATTCTATAAATAAATTATTTTAATCTAAACTTCCAATCAATCAATAAGAGCATTAAGCAACTATCCGTTTCATTAAATTAAGTTGTTGGTTTAAAATATAATGTAGAATTAATTTATTTATTTATTTATTTTAGTTAGGTGTTTGTCATTAAAAAGCATAAAAATTTTAATAAATTTGATTAGAAAAATATTCTCATTATAAATTATTTTAAATTTAAAAAAATTAATCAAAACTCTCGATCAATCAATAAAATCATTTATTTAATCTTTTTATATAAATAAGAGTATTAAGTCAGTCAACTATCCGTTTCATTTAAATTAAGTTGTTGGTTTAAAATATGATCTAGAATTAATTTATTCATTTTAGTTAGGCGTTTGTCATAAAAAAGCATAATAATTAAATAAATTTGATTTGAAAAATATTCTCTTTATAAATTATTTTAAATTTAAAAAAATAAATCTAAATTTTCAATCAATCAATCAATAAAATAAAATATTTAACCTTTTTATATAAATAAGAGTATTAAGTCAGTCAACGATTCATTAAATTAAATTGTTGGTTTAAAGTATAATATAGAATTTATTCATTTATTTTAGTTAGGTTTTTGTCATATAAAAGCATTATAATTTAAATAAATTTGATTTGAAAAATATTCTCTTTATAAATTATTTTAAATTTAAAAAAATTAATCTAAACTCTCGATCAATCAATCAATCAATAAAATCTATTATTTAATATTTTTATATAAATAATAGTATTAAGTCAGTCAACTATCCATTTCATTAAATTAAGTTGGTTTAAAGTATCATGTAGAATTAATTCATTTATTTTAGTTAGGTATTTTTTATAAAATAGCATTATAATTTAAATAAAAACTATAAATTTATATTTTTATATTTATTTATTTATTATTTTTATTTAACCTATGTTTATTAATTTTATAATGAACAATATTTATTCAGCTTTCAAAGCTTAGAGTTTTATTTTCTTTAAAAGAAATTCATAATGACTTCAATTAAATTTTCACTTGACCATCTGTTAATGAGGTTTTTGCATTCTTCAAGATTAACTTTATGAAGAATGTCCCTATCCCATCTCATAAGAGATTTAGCTTAAATAACGCTTTCTTAGTCAAGCTGACAGAATTCCTTAGCTCTTTATTGAGCATATTGAAGAGTTTCTTCATAGGTTTTAAATAATTAATTAACTACTTTGTAATCTAGCATATCTCTAGATTTAAGAGTCTTTGCTCCTACTATTATTTCAAATGCTCTTTAATATCCAAAAACTTGAGGGAAAGTGTAAGATGAACACATTTCAGGTCCCTAAATAGCACAAAATTTGAATATTTAAAATAAGTTAAATCAGTAAAAAATAATAAATAGAAAGAATACTTATGCTAGTTTGACCAAAGGTGCTTAAAAGTAGGCATCTTCAGTTGAATAAATTTCATCGCATAACATCAAAAGAGTAAAAGCAACGCCAATTACAGAACCTTAAACAACAGCAATAATTGGTTTCTTGCAGTTAATAAATGCAGCACAAAAGACTTTCATCAAATCATTTCCAAAAAATTGAGATCCTTTAATTTAAAACTATTTTTTCAGTCAATAAAGCGCTTATATATTGCTTGCTTAAATAATTTTTATATAATTAATTACTTCTCTATCTCCAGCAAAGCTAACAAAGTTGGATAAATCATTTCCGCTTGAGAAGTTTTTTCCATTTCCTAAAATTAACAAACAAAAAATTATTTAAAATCTATTGAAAACTTGAAGACATAAAAATATTTTATGATAATAATTGATTTGTTGAAATGAATGAATAAATAAATAAATTAATACCTCTTAAAATAATTGTCTTAACTTTAGAATCTGAGTTTGCTTCATTCAAATAATCAATGATGACATAATACATTCCGATTGTTAAGCTGTTGAACTTCTTTGGCTTATTTAATGTAATTGTCAAAATACCTTCTTCGCTTATTTCCTTTAGAACGCTTTGCTCTTACAAGGCTTCTTCTTTGAGTTTCTAAGGGTTTAATTCCATTATGTGTATTTAAGTTTTTTATTAAAATTGCTATTTATTTTGATTAACTAATACAAATAAATATTTTTTTTTTATGTTGATATTTTATTTTGTTTTTATTATGAAAATTCAATTCTAAATAAATAATTAGTTAATATTTTTGATAAATTAATTGATTTGAATTAAACCCTACATACAAATCTTTTTGTATAATTAATTAATGTATTACAAATTGATTAATACAATAAAGATTTGTTATTCGCTAATTATTCTTATATTATATATAAATCAGCTACCATAGAATCATCTAATCTTAAAGTAATATAAAAGATTTCTTTTAAACTTTCTATGCAAATTATCTCTTTATTTTGATTTTACAAATTAAATATTTTGACAACAATCTATTTTTGATAAACTGTAATTCTTAAATGTAAATAAAATATCTTTTAATCAAAGTGTTATTATGCAAATTTTCTAAAAAATACCTTCAATAATATTATCTTTTGTGTATTTAAAATAAAAATAGTTCAAATATTTTCTTTTAAAATATATTAAAAGCTAAGAATTATGTTTTATTATTTTTAATTCACAATAATAAATACTGAAAAATAAGCATTAAAAATAATGAGTTATATTAATTTAAATATTTGCATAGAATAATATAATTTTATACTTATAGCTAATAGTAATATGAAATATCTTTATAGTGTATTTATCTATGTATGCTATTTGTCAATTTTGATAGAAAGAATGAAATATTTTAATAGCAATCCATTTTTATTTAGTAAAGACAGTAATCATTTTTTGTAGATAAAATATCTTTTAGTCTTTAGTCTTTTTTTAGCCAAGAGTAAATATAAAAACTTAAAAAATAAATAGCTTTAATAATAAATATGATTTTGTCTGTATTTAAAATGATTTTAGAGAAATATTTCATTTGAAAAATTTATTTAGAAATTTGTTTTCAATTATTAACGTTGAAAAATAATCGAAAAAATAATGAACATCATTTAGGCAATTTAATTCACTCAAATAAATTTAAGCATTGAATTCATTTTTTCTATTAATAAATAACATTTAAATATTTGAATACAACCAAATTTATTTTATAATCTTTAATTTATTGCAATTAATTTTTCATCATTTTTAATGAGATTTACAAAAATTAAAATGTTTTAGGAATAAATTTGAATTGATTAAAACGTTTTTAAGTACATATAAATCAAATTTATAAATTATTGCAAATACTTGATAAGAATTGAAAGGATTTAATAAGGCTTTAACTATTAAATATTATATACAATTAATTACTTACTTATAAATGTGTTTTATATGATATAATTTAAATTTTTGTTTGTTTTCAGTAAAGTTCATCGCGGACAATTGGTAATGTTAATTGTAAAATGCATTTATCAGTGATCCATTAGGCCTTGCCGTCTTTATCTTTAACGGGATATGGGAAAATGTGATGCACGTAGAAATCTGGAGATTAAACAACCATGGCTGTTGAGTTAATATCTAATTAAACTTCTTTGAATCTTGTGTTTGGCATAAAAACTTTAACTAATAATTCTTAACACTTGGTTGAAGTTGGATCCATGTTGTTCATACCAAAATAAACATCTTCAGTTCCTACCCTTTATTTAAACATAGTTTCGATTTCTGGTCTTTTTCTTGAATCATTTTATAAAACTGGCAAATCTTTGACTTCATCATCTACCCAAATATCATTTTTTGTGTATTCTTTCTTTTTAGGTTTTTCCTCAGGGACTGTGGCGCTCTTTTGACCTTATAATAAGTCTTAATTAATCTTCTTCTTTTGGTCTTCTATGAACTAAGCTTAGTTTGTTGAAAAATTCTTTTCGCCCTACTTTATTTCTATTTTGGCATGAGGCTTTGCCAATTGTTTTTTATCGTCTCCACCTCCAATTGCAGAGGGTTTTAATACTGAACCAGGGTTTGGGTTTTAAACCATTTGTTCTTCAATATTATCGGCGTCATCGCCCATAATTAATTCTCTTAAACCTAAAACGTCGCTTGCTTGCATTTTATCTTTCTAAAATATCTTTAAAAATATGTGTTTATGATATGAATCAATCAATATTTTAATTAATTTTTTTTAAAAAAATTTTAAAAATTATATATTTGAAACGAACTTAATGAGCACATAATCATATAAATAGCTTTAAACAAGTAAAATAATAATAAATAATTTCTAATAAGATAAATAGAAACATTTCAGAAATCCTTGTTATAAAAAATAAATAAAAGCTATAATTGAAAAAAAAACTAAATATTTTTTAAATGCTTAATTAAACTCAATCAGAATCACTCCTTTTAAAGAAACTTTCAAGATGAAAACAAAAGGCAATTTAGATAACTTTTAATATTAATTTCCTGAATAATAAAAAAAAACTGTTAAAAAAACTTTTATTTGTATTAAATAATATAAATCCTTGTTAATTAAGGATAAATTGATAAAATAATTTCTTTAAAAAATGAATTTGGTTAAGAATATTTTTTAAATATAAAAACTTAATTAAAATATTAAAATAAAGAGTCAGCAATTTGTTATTTTAAATATGCTTGATAATTTTAATAATAAGGAAAATAAATTTTCTTATTTAGATTTTAAATAGTCCATGGATATAAAAAAATTAATAAAAATTACAAAAACAGTATAAAAAAAATTTGGGGAAGTATTTATTTCCTATTTTTAAAAATAAAAATTTAATCTAACTTATAAATTTAAAAATTTTGCCTAATAATAATTAGAAATTATTTGCTTAAATCTTATGTGGTATTGATAAAAAAAGTAGAAGGTATATTTAAAATTATAAATAAAGAAAATAATTCAAATATAAACAGATTTATTAAATATAGCCAATAATTTTTTCAAAAAAGTATGAGCAAAAACTTGTTTTATAACAAACTAAATTGGATATAAAATAAAAATTATTTTTAATATTAAGTAACATATTTATAGCATTCATTAATGAATATAAAAAACAAAAATATTGTACAAATATGATTGTGTTTGTTTTTTATTCATTAAAAGATTGTAAGTCTCCTCAAAAATCATTTTATTGTAAATAGAAATAAATCTACTTCAGTTAATAAAGCTTTTAATTAAAATCTAACAAATATAAAAGTAATAAATAATAAATAATAGGCATCAAATAATATATATTTTTTGACGATTAAAAATACAGATTTAATTAATTAATTCATTCATCTTCATCATCATTTTTAGAATGTTTGTGTTTCTTCTTCTTCTTTTTATCTTTTTTAATTTTTCTTTGGACATCTAAATGATCATTTTCAGTTTTTTTTTGTTTTTTATCATGCTGATTATTTTATTGCACTTCATTCAGCTGTTTTAAATTACCAGATTATTCATTGTTTTGATTAGGCTACTGCTATTAATTTGTAAGACTGGAATGCTCAAAATTTTTATCTTCTACTTTTTGGTGTTATTTCTATAAAAAATAGATATTTATTAGTTTAAGAATTAAAATGAAAAAATTAACTTTATAATTCAGTTTAAGCACACATTCTTGGCAGACCCTCACCTTGACTAGAGCATTTTTTTTTTCATTATCTTCAACATAAGCAAAGTTAACTTCATAACTGTCCAAATTTTGAGTGTTGGTGCATTTTTTATTTGAGCAGATGACAATTCCTTTACCAATGATAACTTCATCTTTAGTCTGCCATCTCATGCCTATCCTATTAATGTAAAATCATATTAAAATGAAGCAATTTGAAAGATAATAAAATAAATAGATACTATCCTGTTTCATATCTAGATAAATCAATGATTGCATACTCTTTATAAAGCTTTTCATAGTACTTTTTTGCTAATATCTCGCCATATTACTCCTGAGTGGGATTACTGTATTAAATTTGGCTATCTTTTTCATCATCTCTAAGGAATCTAAACGCAAAAATTAAAATATATTTAAAACCAAATACAATCATGCAAATTACTTATGATGCTCTTTTAGAATTTGAAAATCAGATTTATAAATCTGAGTCTAATTAGACGATTTCATTAGTTTTAGTATTACTTTATCAAACAGTGAATTTATAAGTAAATTAATGAATATTAAATTATGTCTATTTAATCACATATAATATTAAAATATCTACAACATTAATTATATTAAGTATTTTGTTGCAAAATCAACCAACATCTACAATTTTTTAAAGATTTATTTATTTAATTATTTAAGGAGATTAAGCAAATACAGATAAATTAAAAGGGTTTCAAATCATTATAATTTACATATTCTACTTTATAATATATTTTATAATATGATTTTAATTATAGTCTAATTTAATTATTTAAAATAGTTAGTTATTAGTTAAAATATTTAATTAATTATTTATTTTTTTTGAGGTTTTTTTAGTTGGATATTTAAGCAGAAATCACAGCAATTTTGTTATTGTTAAAATGGTTAATTTATTTATTTATTAATGTGTAAAGAGTTTCATTTCGATTAAATTTTACATGTTAGTTTAAATAGATTTTCTTTTATATTGAATTAGTTTTAATATTTTTTGGCTTTTATATAAAATTCATTGTTTTTTTTAAGATTTAATATGGATTTTTTGGTTAAAGGATCATTTGTTCATTTCTTTTCTAGACAGGAAAGTAAGGATGATTCGCTGATTATTTCTTTTCTATAGATTTTTTATTGGGTTTGTTTATAAATCATGTTTTTAACTTTTTGGTTGACAATGATTTTTTATTTCACAAGTTCGTTTAATTCTTTTGAGAATTAAAGAGCTTGTTGCTTTTATTTTTTGAGTTCTTCTAGTTCAGTAGAAGATAATTAGAGTAATTGGGAGGTGTCAGTATTTTAGTTGCTGTTTTCATCATCTTCATCTATTGCTTCTACCATTTCTTGTTTATATTGGAAGAAATTGAAGTCAAAGAATTGTAAGTAGCTTATTTTGTTTATTTCTTTGAAGAAGTACAAGCAGTTCTTCAAATTTATCTAAGTATTTTCAAAACCTATTTGTAAGTTTAGAACTTTTAACTCATTTTATTTTCCTATACAGTTTCCAAGATATTCAAAAGACTCGCTCTAAATGTTTAAATCCAAGTATATTTTTAAGCTTTCAAGTTCTTTCATTCTAAAAATTAAGTCAGCTAGATTCTTATCGAGAGAAAATTCTTAGCTATTAATCAAAAAAAACAACTATTATTAGTCTGAAATAACTTATTTAAATTTTCGGGGATAATTTTTTAATTTCTGATATTTTTTTTTGTGAAATTTCAAAATAAAGAAATAGAATTCTGATTTAAAAATCATTTTTTCTGGTTTTTAGAAAAAAATTAAAGGATTGTTTTTAAAATAATATGTAAGCTCTTTTTTTGAGCTTTTAAATTCAAAAATTTATTGTTTTTTATGAGTTTTTTCTCGATTTAATATAATGAAAGATATTTATTTACTCTATGATTTGAATATTAAGATTTTTAACATAGGCAAGTTATGAAAAGCACCCAAGAATGGGATTAAAATTGTTTCCCAAATTCTTCAAATTTATGTATAAAGATTCTAGATTTTGTAAACTAGAAACAGAATTTGCAATCGGATGAAGTTATTTCTTTTGCAAGCAGCTTTTAGATTTATATAAATAAGAATTAATGATGTAAAGTTTGAGAGAAGTAAATGAAACAAATATCTACAAGAATGCAAAAATATTTAAAAATAGGCAAAAATGAAGTAATTTAATACTAAACATTAGTCAAAGAGATGGCGAAAGTCTTGAGTTATGTGAGGTGGCGAATGGAATCCCAGAAACTTAACCAAATAGCGGTTGTGACAACTATATTTCTTTAAAGTAGAAATTTATTTATTTAAGTATAATGAAAAAAGCAATATTCAAAAGCGAAAAATTAGAATAAAAGTTACTCAAACGAGATCTAAAAAGACTGTAAGCTAGTAAGATGAGAGAGTGATTTGGCGAATTTGATTATTTCAAGGGAGTGTAGCTGATTTTAATTCAAATAGAAATCATAATTCTCCTCTCTGGGTAACCTGTTAATTAGTTAAGATATTTTTTATATGTAATTGGTTAATAAATTAAAAGTTTTCTAATAAGATAAAAGTTGTTTCCAATTATTAAAAATAAGCTTATACGATTTCAAGATTAAAAGCTGATTTATGTAAATTTTTCTTAATTCATTAATTAGTAATTTAAAAGCAATTTTTATTAAAAAATCTTCATTATAAAAAGCATTTCTAAATTTAGTAAAAGTGGTTTTTTCTTAAGCAATTCATTCATTCATGATTTAAAAATAAGATTTCTTTATTTTTAAATTCAATAATTTTTATGCGCAACATTTATAATTTTGTGGATGATTTAAAAATAATTTTTCTTAATTAAAGTCTGTTTATTTTTCTTAATTAAAAGCTTTATTAGACATAAAGTTTATTAATTAATTAATGCATTTAATTTTACATTTAAAATATATTCTGTTTTCTTTATTTGATGCTTTTTTATTAACATACTTCTTATTTATATTTTGTGATGTATTTATTATTAATTAAAACTTGCATTTATTTTGTATTTCTTAATTAAATGCTCTTAAATTGATAATTAAATTGTCTATTAAAAAATTCTCTATGCATTATTTCTGTAAATTAATATAAATTTGCTTTATGCATCATAGATCCTGTTAATATACATTAATTATATTTCTTAACTAATTCATAGTTCTTATTTATTTAATATAAATTTATTTATTTTACTTTTCTTAAGTAATTCATAGATGTTCTTTATTTCTTTATGAATAGTGTTAATAATTTTTTGATATCTTTTCTTAATTAAAAAGGCAAAGGTGCTTTTAGTTAATAAATGCAATTTATCTATTAATAATTTAAATTTTTTTTATTGAGCGAGTTTCATGTTACACTCGAAACTGTAATTGAAGAATTTAATTTTTTCAAGGAAATTCTTTTGATATCTTTAAAAAATGTTTTTGAATTAAATTTAGTTTTTGTTTTGATCAATTTTTTGCAAATTTAGAGTTGCAATTTTCAGCTTTTTTCTATTTGAAAGTTTAGGTTAAAAATGGATTAATCACTTAGATACCAAAAATATGATTAAATATGTCAGTTTAAATAAAATTTTGTTGCTTAAATCTAGTCTTGGATTAATCTTGTTTCTGCGGTTTATATTTTGGTTTTTTTTCTGAGAAAAAGCAGAATTATCACTTAAGGGCATTTTATGCAGAAAGATTTGAAGAAAGATTCTAAATTAAAATAAACGAGTTAATGTTGCAATTATCTTATAAATCAATCAAACTTCTTTGCCTTTCTTATATTGAACTAATTAGTTAATTAATATTTATGTATTGAGAAAGAACTTGGCTGATAATTATATTGTTTATTTGTTCTATTTTTTTTCTTTTTTATTAATAAATTAGTGTTTTGGATTAATTGAAATCGTACCCAGCTTATTAATATTGAATGTGATTAGTTAATTTCCTTTAATTTGAATAAGACGAAATGTTAGTTATTTGATTATTAAATTAATTAATTTATTTATTAATTTGTTAATTAATTAATTAATAAATTAATGAATGAATGAATTATTCTTACTCTACAATGCTGAGAGTTAGTGTTCTGAGATTGGGAAGCTTGGAGAAATGATGACTCCAAAACATGACGTCTAAAATACTGTTTTCGTCTCTTTTGCATAGAAAGAAGTTAGTTCTTGAATTATAAATATAATTTAAAATTCTTACATATAAATCACAGTAGATTTAATAGTGCTGAAGTTAATTTCTGAATAATTTTTCTCTAGCATGTATTTATTGGATTGAATAACGAGCTAGTTAGGGTCCGAAAAATCTGTCATAAAGGGTTGGTTTTATTTGTTACAGTTAATGGTTTCAGCAAGTTAAAATTGTTAGGTATTTAGCACTTATTATAATTTTATATTATTTGAAAAGCTCAACCTATTTTTTAAAGAGGGAATTTGTCTAAAATATTCTCGCAATATGCATAAAAATTTCTAACAAATAGATTTTATTCTACGATAACAAGCAAACAAAGAAACAAAGAAACAAACAGTGAATTTTTTTTCGCCGTAGGTAAGAATTAATAAATTAAAGTCAATACGATAAATCTCAATATAATCTAGTAAAAATAAATCCATAATAAAATGTGAGTAAAAGTGAGTTGAAATAGTTACTTTTCAGCAAGGATGTTGCTTATTTAAGACATTAAGTTTTCAAGACTTCTACTTCTGCAAGAAGTAAATATTTTCTTTACAGTTTGTTGCTCTAATTTTTAGGATGGAAGTCAGTTTTTTGTAGAATTGCTCAGTCAATCGATCGATAGGATGATGCGAAGATCGCGAGAGGTAAAGCAGGTATTTAATGTATTTGAGTGCAGTAAGATCTCTTTTTAGTACTTTAACTTGACAAATTAGTGAAGATCTTTCAAAATTACAGAATAAAATCTATTTTATGAACGAAAATAGTTTTGCTTCTTTATAGTTTTAATAAAGGCTTTGTTAGTCTGATTTTTTGTTTTGATTAGCTTGCTTGATTGTATTGGAATTAGAGTTGAATTAAATATAAATATAATTAATTAATTACAATCGTTTAAAATTATGCCTTTCAATAAGGATGGAAAGTTGATTAAAATTTTCTTATCCAGAGCACTTTCCTATGTTTTTTTTCTATGTTACATTTATAATTTAATTAATTACAAACTTCAAAAAAGTAATATTTCTTTTTAAAAGCAAAAATTAGTATTCTTCTGCTAAACCAAATAACAAATTAACCTAACCCTATCTCACTCTTTTACTTTCAATTTTCTAAATATTTATTTATTTATCAAAAATTCATCTAATTTCTTCTAATATATTCTCTTGTTTGTCTTAATCTTCAAATTTATCTTTTACTGAATCATACTGCGATATTAAATTTATTATTAATAATATATTATTTCTATTAATTCGTTCAACATTAAATTTCAATGAAGCACAGATATAATAATATAATATAATATATATCCACTATCTAAAATGTATGTAAAAATATCAACTTAATTTTAATGATATTGAGCTATCAAATCTATTATTATTTGTTTTAATTTTCTCTTAAAAAAGTTTAATTTTCAATAAAGTAGAAATGTTAAAATATGATATAATATTATAAATCCACTATCTAAAATGTACCAAAAAATATCAATTTAAGGTGAATGATATTGTTCTATCAAATCTATTATTGTCAGTATTAATTTTCTCCTAAAAAAGATTAATTTTCAATACAATAGAGATGTTAAAATATGATATAATATTATAAATCCAATATCTAAAACGTACCAAAAAATATCAATTTAAGTCGAATGATATTGAGCTATCAAATCTATTATTATTTGTATTAATTCTCTCCTAAAATAGATTAATTTTCAATAAAGTAGAGATATTAAAATATGATATAATATTTATTATAAATTAACTATTTAAAATGTACCAAAAAATATCAATTTAAATTGAATGATACTTAGATATTCAATATATGAGTAATTAAATCTATTAATTTTCTCCTAAAAAAGATTAATTTTCAATAGAATAAAGATATTAAAATATGAGAAAATATTATATCAATTCACTATCTTAAATGTACCAAAAAATACCAATTTTAGTTGAATGGTACTAAGATATTCAATCTATTAGTAATTAAAATCTATTAATTTGCTCCCAAATAAGATTAATTTTAAATAAAGCACATGTATTAAAATATATTATGATATAAATCCATTATCTAAAATGTACAAAAAAAATAGTAATTTAAGTTGAATGATATTGAGATCTTCAATCTATTATTAATTAAATTCTATTAATATTCTCCCAAACAAGATTAATTTTCAATACAGCACAGATATTAAAATATGATATAATAAGAAATAAATCCACTATCTAAAAGTTGAATGATGGTGAGATAAATATTAATTCTATTTATCTAAAATTTAGTAAAAAAATATAAATTTCAGTTTATAATTTTGAATATTTTTATAAATTAAACAATTACTTTTTATAATTAAGTATGATGAAAATAAATTATTTTAGTATTTATTATAATTAATATACATTAGAATAAAATTGCTAAATTTGACTTCTTCATTATTACTAATTATCGATATAAGAAATAAATACATAAATTTTCTTTAATTACTTCTTAAATATTAATTAATTAAAGTATTTTTTTTTTTGCCTTTTCTCAGCTCACAATAAATTCTGAACAATTAATTAATTAAAAACAATTTAACAAAAATAAATTGATAATTTTCAATGACAAAAAATTGAGATAGAATATTTTTTGATAAGAAATGTGAATTATTATAAACAAACAAACAAACAAACTTACATAGATTGATTGATTTATTGATAGATATTTTTGATTTTTTATATTCTTATGTAATAAATAACTTTAATGTATTAATTTGGGTTTTCATTTAATTATATTAATTATTACTATTAATAGTCATTTCATCCTTCAAAAATACAATGATTTTTCAATTCAAAAGTATCCTAAGGGATTGTATACCTTTGATGTGGAGCCTTATCCGCTGTTATTGGTTATTCCCATTCCAATTTGGTTGCTTTTTGTTGGGGCGGTTCCAGTTTGAGATTTAGGAGAAATCATATTTCTTTGTGATAATTAAGAATATTGATTGCTCTTTACTCCACTTTATTGCTTTTAGTTACTACTTGTTTGTGCATTTTGGCTATTCCTGCTGCTGAAGAAACCTCCGTAGTTGCTTAGAATAGAATGGACAGGGTTGTTGGAATATGACAAGTTTGTGCTTTGGAGGACATTGCTGTTGTTATTCTGATTGTAACTTTGATTGTTTAAGCTATTGTTTTAGTTATTTAAGCTAGATTAATTAATGTTGGCGTTTCCTGTTGAAACATTAGTTTAAAGGAAGTAGTTATTTGATGAATTTAGTTGTTATTAATTATTGTTTGCATTTAAGGTGTTGTAATTTGACTAAGATTGAACACTTGCTGGAATACTCGTACTGTTTATGCCAGATGAAGTGTAAGAGTTCTAAGTTTTTTCAGTTACTGATTTTTAGTGTTGTGTTGGATTGTAAGTAAAATTTTTCTTTTAATTTGAAGCTGTTGTTGTTTATGAAAGACTGCTTGATGAGAAATTAAATGAAGAACGACCTTGCTAGTTAGGTGAAGAAAGCTTCTTAACAATCGATGATTAGTGAGATTGTGAAGGCTAAGTGTAAATCTAAATATTGTCATAATCTTCAAATGTTTTGTCTCTTTCTTCTGTTTTAACTCTTAGATTTGATGAAACGGAGTTCAAATGCTAATTATTACTGTTAAAATTTTGATTTTGTTGCGACCTTTTAGGTTGTTATTGAAGTTATTGCACCAAATAGCTTGTTTAATTTTAAGCAGTTTTATTACTTTCTAATTAAATTGTTTAATTATTTTTATTTATTTCATTTAGAGCATTGCCAACCACATTTAATGAAAGATTGTTAATGCCGCTGTTATTGTTGTTATTGTTAATTGCATTTTAGGGCATTCCACTGCTTTGGAGGAAATAGTTGTTCGTTTAAATTTTATTCGATTAATTATTGTTATTGTTAGTGTTGCTGATATTTTTTAAGTTGCTGGCTAAATTCGATTGCTGAGTTTGCATTGAAGAGAGAGAAACACTGTTTTTAACATGATTTAAAATATTTCCATTTGAAGAGACAGGCTGAGCTTATTGGTGTTGATTTTGAGTGGCTAATATCTTTTGTTTAATTTAGAGGGATTTTGAATTCTTGCCATGAAGAGTCTAAATTATTTGTGAAGATGTCATTGGAGTTTGCAGTTATTATTATAATTAAGAGTTATTGCTGTTAGAAGGAGACAAATAGTTAGACAGAGGACCGTTATGACTGCCAATTAAATTGCTAGATTAGCTCTTTTCTCCTGTTTGTTGCTTATTTACAGATAAAAAGTTTTATTTTTCTTCTTTTAATTTTTTGGTTGTTGATTCGTCTGGTTAAGTGATTGTTTTTTGCATGACATCTTTCAAACTATTTTTGTTCTCCTTTTAATCAAACTGAGTTTGAGAAATATTGCTTGTTCTGTCTGTATTCGATAAAATTTAATGTGACTTTTGCATATTACCTTAAACCAAAGGCTATTGTTGCAAAGAATCCTAAATACTTTCATTTTTTGAATGGCTTGCTTTATTGAATTGATAAGATTAAAGCATCTTTGCATTAGGAGATGACATTGAATTTAATAACGAATTTCCTTGAGAGAACTGCTAAGATTGAAGCAATCCCTGGTTTTTCTTTGAATTATTTGAATTTTCTGATTGATTTTAATCATGAATAATATTATTGATATTCTTCTGTTGATTGTTGACACTAAGTCCACTTACAATTTCCTTAGAAGTAGGGATATTTTAATGTGAAATACGAAGCGATTAACTCTAAGTTAAACTCATATCTGTTTTTTGTTTATCTTATTAGCTGCCCTTTTGTTAAAATGAACCACTTGCAGGTATTTAAATTGGCTTACTTTAACTTTACTGTTAATTCTAAAGCTTGTTCTTCATTTATTATTCCTATCTAATCTTTTGAGCTTGCTAAACTGCAGGCGATTCATAGTAGAAATTCTCAAAAATAGGATCGAAATCATTATTGGCATAATAACTTACCATTAACTTTTGCTTGAATTCATTTTCACCTTTAGAAAATTCCTCCTCGTCAAAATTAAAACCCATAACATCAATCTTCACTGGAGGTTCTATTCTCTTGTAAATTATGTCAGCCAAGTTTATTTTCCTGCACCAAGGATGACTCAAAATCTCTTTTGTTCCCATATTCTATCCGAGTCTCTAAAGAGGATGTTTCGTCAACAAACCTCTAAGCAAATTCTTTAGTTCAGAAGAAAGATTTACGTGATCAGGAAAAGTAAGATCTTCACTTAAGATGCTCTTATAAATCTCCTCAGTAATTTAAGAATAAAAAGGAGGAAGTCTATTTATTTTAACCAATAATTAACAATAAATGAATAAATAAATATTTAATAAATTAATTTTACCCTGTTACTAACTCATACAAAAGAGCTCCAAGAGTGTAGTGGTCAACTGGATATGCATGTCCAACTTTTAAAAGCATTTCAGGAGCCATGTATTCTGGTGATCCACAGAAAGAGTAGGCAAACTCGTTATCATCCATGTCTGGTTTTGACAACCCAAAATCTCCAATTCTAATATGGCCATCGATATCAAGGAGAATATTCTCTGGCTTTATATCTCTATAAATGATGTGTCTGTCATGAAGATAGTCTATTCCCAAACAAATTTCTATAAAATAAAATCTAGCTTATTCTTCGGTCATTTTTTTAATTTTTCTTAAGTGATAGAACCTAATTTTTAATAAAAATAAAGCTAAAACCATACTCTAACATTTAATAATATAATTTGTTTCATATTTAAATATTTAATGTATTTTTTAGGTTTACTAATCTTACTAAATCTTTCAATTCATAATTTAAATTTTTTATTATTTTTTAGATTTTTTATAGAAATCGTAAGAATATTATTTGTTATTAATTGAGGGATTTTACATTAAATATTAAAAAATTTTTGTAAAGGATAAAAATAATATTACATTTCTCCTCCAGCACAGTACTCCATTGCAAAAGCTATATAATTTTTAGATTCAAATGCATAATCTAATTGCAATAGGAAGGGATGTCCTTACATCATAGTCATAATGTTTCTTTCATTTTGAACAATTTGTTCCTTTTTGTTGGTCAATATGAATTTTTTTTCAATCAACTTTAATGCATACATTTTTCCATTGTCTTTCTTTTATACTAAATAAACACGCGAGAATCCTCCCATTCCTACGCACTTAATAAAATGAAAATCTTTTAATGAAACTTGGTATGGTTGTTGACTTTTATCTGTTTGTGATGTTGACTAATAGGCTAGAATTGATGGATTAAATGAGGAAGAAGCACTGTTTGTGACTGAAGTTTCGCCGTAGAAAGGCTCAAGTATTAGTGATTTATTGAATAGAGGGTCTAAAGGTCTTTCAGGAAGAGTGAGATAATATGATAAGGAAATATTTCTATGTTAATAAGATTAGAAATGGAGAATATTATCATTGTCAAGTGATTCGTTATTGCTATCTCTATTTGTGGGCATTTAAATTTACTCGTACATCAAAATTTCATTGATGAGCTGCTTAGTTAGCCACTCAACATTTCCGCCTATTGCATTTAAACTGATTGGACCTATTCTTTTGCCTTTATAATGAATAAAAACTGTTAAATTTGCATGGTAGTCTCCAACATTCGGATCTGTTTTTAATACTTCATTCATTTGCTGGGACTTGTGCTTCTTTAAAATCATTCTATAGTTATTCAGATTTTGAGAATTTTGTTAAAGCTGTTGTTGTAGTTGCTGTTAATTTTACTATTGCTGTTAGAAGTTATTTTGACTGTTGTAATTATCTAAATACTAGTTTGATTAAACTTAAGCAGCTTGTGAAGAATTTTGCTAGTTGGCATGATTTAAACTGCTTTAAGCTGCTGCCATAGTTTAATTGTAAAGATTGGTAATTCCGTTTGCACTTGTATTGCTATTGCTATGTAATTGACTTGTCAAGGCATTTTATTTGCTATGATTTTGATGACTGGAATTACTTAAAAGAAGGTCTGATGTTCCTTTGCGCTCAATCGAATAATCTGTTTTAACTCTAGCAGAACTGGGAATGTATGGAGCGTTTGATGAAGTATGCTTTAACTCGCTATCTCTAAGTAAAGCTGAATTTGTGCTGTGTCTAAACTACTACGATTAAACCAACATCTGTTTGTGCTTGTCTCCTATTTTATTTTAGTTACTCAAAGAAGATGATGTTGCTGTTGTCCCATATTAATTGTGGCTAAGACTAGATTAATGGTTATTACCAGATGTTCCAAAGGGAATTTAAGAAGACTAATTAAAGCTATTGCTTGTATTAGTAAAATTATTTTGTGACTTGTGTTTGGTTTGCTTCAACCTTGATTGGATATTTGAGTAAGAAGATGTAGAAGATTAAGCTTAGTTATTAGTTAAGCTATTCGAATTGTGTTTCTGAGCTGAGCTTGGCTTACTTTGCTAAATATTTTGGTGGCCATTCATCGTAGCTGCTTGGTTTGAAGATTAAATTTGCTATGACTGCTATGGTTGCTGACTAAATTGTGCAGCAGAAACTTGGTTTGTGTATAAATGAACTGCTTATTGCTATATGTTGTTACTAGGGTGATTATTGTTAATGTTATGAGTATTGGTATAGCTTTATAATCCTTGCATGGTCTGCTATTGATTCTACAAGGAAGATGAAGGAGAATTGACGGCATTAACCATCAAGTGAGACTATTAAGAGCTCTAGCCATTTTAAACTTAGCCCTATCCATGCTGTGCTGAAGAATTGCTTGCTAATTACTATTAACCCTAATAAGCATTTTGCTGAGAACCCTTAGATTGACTCTGCTTGCTATTCGCTGAAAGGAAGTAGTTGTTTGTGTTGGTAGAATTTGGGGATTGGTACCTCTTATGCAGCGCTGTCTGAGAAGAGTAGTTCTACAGCTTATTGCTATAAGAATTCATGCGTTTTTATATGTTTTTGTTATTTGCTTGCTTTATAATAAATGATAATTTATTCTATTTACAAAGGAAAAGAGTTTAAAAGCTAATTAATTATTTGATTGAAATAGTGTTAATTAATTTCTTTCAAAAAATAAAATTTTTAATAATTTGATATTTATTTATTTGTTAATGACTCTTTCAATTAATCAAACTATTTATCTATATATCTATCTATCTATCTATCAATCTTTCTATCTATTTATCTTTCTATTTATCTATCTATCTATTAAGTTAACATTCTCTTTTATTCTTTCTTATCTTTTTTAATTATTTCACTTTGGCTTCACTTCAGCAATGTAATTTTTTACTTGACACTTTCATTTATTTTGAAACAACAAAGTTAGCTTATAAGAAATTCGCGTAGGCCTTTTTTCTGTTTTGTTTATTTGTAAATAATTTTTCCACTTTCAAACGATAAAAAAATTTATCTTCCAGCGAAAGTGTTAATTAAGTTTTTCTTAAATTTTAATAACTAAATTTTTTGACACGCTCAAATTTTTGATTGCACTGTTTAATGAAAACAAAATCTATCTTTTTCTTAAAATTAATCATTTTTTTCCTACCTTTTTGTTTCTTTAAAACTTGAAAATATTTTTGCTAGTCTCTCCTCATTTCTTTCTTCAAAAAGGATGTATAAAAAGTATTTATTTGAATCTAATTTAGATTTATGCAAAATCAACTATCTAAATAACTCGTTGAAAATTTACTTTTCAAATTAAATTTGCACAAATTGGCAAAAAAAATATTCATCGCTCATTCATACATATTCTTTCAAGTCATTCAAATAATCTTTAATTAACAAAATTTCGACTGTTTTGCATAGAATTCAAATTTTCATTTAAATATTTCCATTTGAATTTTCATAACCTCTATAGAAGAATAAACACATAAATTCCTTTTAAAATAAATCTTATTAAACAATTTGATTAAAATAATCTATTTTATTGAAAATAAATCCCATCATTTTTATTGAATTTAATTGATTCCTAAAATGTTAACAATCAAATAAAAATATCTTTTAGATAATTTATAATTAAAGCATGCTTTAATTAAATACATTCATGATATGCTTATTTCTACCTATCTACCTACCTACCTACAAGTTATTTAATTATTATTTATACTTTTTGTTTAATAAGTTATAATAATATTTTATTTACGAATTAAATACTAAAATAAAATATTTATTATATTTTTAATAAAAACTGAATAATAATTTTAAAATAGCAAAAGAAAGACTTTTTAAAAGCTTAAAATAAATTTTTAATAAAAAATTAAACAGGAAAATATTTTAAATAAATAGTTTATAGTATTTTTTATGCTTTATAATAAAAAATAATGTCTTAATAAATTTTTTAAATAATTTAAAATTCTATTATTAATCCAATTAAATCAAAGCAAGCAAATATGAAAAGATATAAGTATCTCCTTTATAAAAAATTAAAAACCTTCTTATTTCATAATATTAGCTTCATTTTAAGATAAGGTTAAATGATAGTTTAGCTAATATTTACATTAAAAAGTAATTTGGAAAAACAATTAAAGCTTTGAATAATATTTATTTTAATATTTTTAAACATAATCTAATTTTTTTTTGGAATAGAAAATATTTTTTGACGAATGATTTTATCTTTCTAAATAATTATTTTTAAAAATGGATTAAACAAATTTTTCATTAGATTTAAAACCAATAAATAAGTTTATGATTTTTATCAAATATTTTAATAAATATATGTCGTCTACTAATTCATGTCCGCTAATCAAAGATAAAGGAAATGAAGTGTATTTTACTAAATTAATTAAAAAAATACATGTAAATATGTTAAAAATTTATTTTATTCTAGTGAGTCCCCATTCTAATTTTCCTTTTTATCCAATCTCTAATTTTAACTATATTTTTAAGTAAATATTTTAAATAGAAATATAGAAATATTAAGATTTAATAATGAATATTATTCTAACTTTTTTGCGATTTCTATTACAAAAAGTAAATTTACAAATTGATATAATTTATTTGTTCTTTTTTATTGACTTATAATTAATTTAATTTCCATATATTGCTATTCAAAATTAAAAAAAAAAATAAATGATATAGTAGATTAAAAAATACAACATATTAGAAGAAGTAATTCTTTATTTTTTTATCAAAATACTTTAAATTTATATTTACTAATATTAAAAGTTTTTAAACTCTTCACTTTAATCTCACTAAATTCTCGATATCTATCTGGGGTATATTTTATTTAAAATATTATTATTCTTATTATTAATAAATATTTTCTTAATATTTAAATTTGAGTTTATTTAAAATATTATTTTACCAATAGAAATTATCACCTAAATTCATTTATTTTATTAATACAATTCTCTTTTCTTTATTTTAACTTAATTTTCACTTTAAATTTATTAATTAATTATCCATTTTTATTATTTAATATTTTTTATTCATTTTTTCCTTCTAAAACTTTTAATTGATAAAATCAGTTTATTTGTTTTGGGTTAAGACATTTTTATTTTTAAAAATGAATTTAGTGAAGCATACATAACTCTTTTAATTTGTTTAATGGCTATTTATTTAATTTATTTTTCTTTTTAATTATACTTGTGTTTTTTATTTTTCTATCTTTCTTAATTTAACTCATTTTTTTATTTCCAACCTTTGCTTTTATATTCATTTCTAATTATTTCATATTATTTCATCACTTTTTCCTTCTAAATTACTAATTAATTACCATCAATCCTCATTAATTCTCACAACCCCCCCCCCCCCAAACTTCAGGAGTACTATATGATAAGGAAGGTTCAAGTAGTAGGGAGGGGGGGAAGGGGGACATTGATTGAGCTTTTAGAGTTTTTATATATTTTTTCTTTAATATTTAAAAAGCTACAATAGAATTGGCAAAGAAGGTGCATTTTTCTTATCAACTGCTTTAAAAAGTTGCACTAATCTCTAAAATTTGACACTTGATCTTTAGTAAAAATAGTTTCTTTGTTTTAGATTGTGATATTTTAGTTATAAAAATGAATTTAAAACAATATAGCTCTTTTAATTAGTTTATTAGCTTTTTATTTAATTTATTTCCTTTTCCTATTTTATTATACTTGTGTTTTTTTTATTTTTATTTTTCTTTTTGCTTTTATTATTTTATGAAATTCATTTCTCATTTATTTAATATTTTTTCTTCATTTTTTCCTTCTAAAAAACAAATTAAATATATATTTTTTCTTTAATATTTAAAAAGTTTCAATGAAATTGGTGAATAAAGTGCATTAGACTTAGGTTCTGCTTTAGCAAATTGCACTAATCTCTCCAATTTGACACTTTATCTTAGGTAAAAATAGTTTCTTTGTTTTAGATTGTGATTTTTTAGTTATAAAAATTAATTTAAAATAATATAACTCTTTTAATTATGTTTTATTTATTTTTCTTAATTTAAATTGTTTGTTTTTATTTTCAACATTTGCTTTTATTATTTTATGAATTCATTTCTCATTATTTAATATTTTTTCCTTCTAAAAAACTAATTAATTATACACTTTTTCTTTTATATTTAAAAAGATCCAATAGAATTAGCAAAGAAGGTGCATTAGGCTTAGGCTCTGCATTAGCAAATTGCACTAATCTCTCAAATTTGACACTTAATCTTGAGTAAAAACAGTTTATTTATTTTAAATTGTGATATTAGTTATAAAAATTAATTTAAAACAATACAACTATTTTATTTAATTAGTTTATTATCTTTTTATTTGATATATTTTCTTTTACTTTTTTATTGTACTTGTGTTTTTTTTATTTTTATTTTTCTTAATTTAAATTTTTTTTGTATTTTCAACATTTGCTTTTATTATTTTATGAATTAATTTCTCATTATTTCACATAAATTCTTAATTTTTTCCTTTTAAAAAGCTAATTAATTATATATTTTTTCTTAAATATTTACAAAGCTCCAATTAAATTGGTGCATAAGGTGCATCAGGCTTAGGTACTGCTTTAGCAAATTGCACTAATCTCTCAAATTTGATACTAAGTCTTGAGTAAAAATAGTTTCTTTGTTTTAAATTGTGATATTTTTTAGTTATAAAAATGAATTTAAAACAATACAACTATTTTATTTAATTAGTTTATTAGCTTTTTATTTGATATATTTTCTTTTATTTTTTTATTGTACTTGTGTTTTTTTTATTTTTCTTAATTTAAATTTTATTTGTATTTTCAACATTTGCTTTTATTATTTTATGAATTAATTTCTCATTATTTCACATAAATTCTTAATTTTTTCCTTTTAAAAAGCTAATTAATTATATATTTTTTCTTAAATATTTACAAAGATCCAATTAAATTGGTGCAGAAGGCGCATTAGGCTTAGGTATGGCTTTAGTAAATTTCACTAATCTCTCAAATTTGACACTTAATCTTGGGTAAAAATAGTTTATTTGTTTTGGATTGTGATTTTTTTAATTATAGAAATGAATTTAAAACAATATAACTCTTTTTATTTGTTTTTTAACTTTTTATTTAATTTATTTTCTTTTACTTATATATTCTATTTATTTTTTTTATTTTCAACATTTGTTTTTATTATTTGATGAATTGATTTCTCACTATTTAATTATTTTTTTCTTTTTTTACTTCTAAAAAAGTAATTAATTATATTTTTTTTCTTTAATATTTGAAAAGATCCAATAAAATTGGCTAAGAAGGTGCATTAGGCTTAGGTTCTGCTTTAGCAAATTGCACTAATCTCTCAAATTTGACACTTAATCTTAGGTAAAAACAGTTTATTTATTTGTTTTTAGATTGTGATATTTTTAGTATAAATGTGGGAAACAAAACGTTTTAGTAAATAAAGAGGTGGTTGTTTCATGGGATGAATAAAAAAAATTTTTCTTTTTTAAATTATTTTTTAATTTGTTTATTAGCTTTTTTATTTAAATTATTTTTTTTCCTTATTTATTGTAGTTGTATTTTTTTTCTCCTTTTTCTTTCTAAATTTAACTTTTTTTTTTTTCAACAGTTTGTTTTTTTATTCATTAATTAATTTAATATCATTATTTCATATTTTTTCATCATTTTTCCCTTCTAAATAAACAATTAACCTTTTTCTTTTTTTTGTTCAATATTTAATAAGTTTTAATGAAATTGATGACTAAGGTGCATCAGGCTTAGGTTCTGCTTTAGCAAATTGCACTAATCTCACAAATTTGACACTTGATCTTTAGTAAAAATGATTTCTTTGTTTTAAATTGTGATATTTTTAGTTATAAAAATGAATTTAAAACAAAATAACTCTTTTAATTAATTTTTAGCTTTTTATTTAATTTAATTTATTTTCTTTTACTTTTACTTTTTAAATTTACTAATGTTTTTTTTTTTATTATCATAATTTACTTTTATTATTTATTAATTTGTCTCATTATTTAATATTTTTTCTTCATTTTTTCCTTCTAAAAAACTAATTAATTATATATTTTTTCTTTATTATTTAAAAAGAGAAAATAAAATATGGGAAGAAGGTGCATCAGGCTTAGGTTATGGTTTAGCAAATTGCATTAATCTGTCAAATTTGACACTTAATCTTGGGTAAAAATAATATCTTTGCTTTAGATTGTGATATTTTTAGTTATAAAAATGAATTAAAAACAATATAACTCATTTAGTTAATTTTTAGCTTTTTATTTAATTTATTTTCTTTTTCTTATATATTGTACTTGTGTTTTTTTTTCTAATATCTTTCTTAATTTAACTCGTTTTTTTTAATTTTCAGCATTTGCTTTTATTATTTATTTATTTATTAATTTCTCATTATTTAATATTTTTTGCTTCTAAAAAACTATTTAATTATATACTTTTTCTTTTATATTTAAAAAGATCCAATATAATTGGCAAAGAAGGTGCAATAGGCTTAGGTTCTGCTTTAGCAAATTACACTAATCTCTCTAATTTGACACTTACAATTGAGTAAAAATAATTTTTTTGTTTTGAATTGTGATATATTTAGTTATAAGGATGAATTAAAAGAAATATAACTCTTTTTGTTTGTTTACTAACTTTTTATTTATTTTATTTTACTTTTTTATTGTACTTATCTTTTTTTTATTTTTATTTTTCTTAATTTAAATTGTTTTTTTTATTTTAAATATTTACTATTATTATTAATTAATTAATTTCTCATTATTTCATCTTTTTTGATCATTTTTTCCTTCTAAAAAACTAATAATTATATATATTTTTTTTTATATTTAAAAAGATCCGATGGAATTGATGAAGAAGGTGCATTAAGCTTTGTTTCTGCTTTAGCAAATTGCACTAATCTCTCTAATTTGACACTTAGTCTTTAGTAAAAATAATTTCTTTGTTTAACATTGTGATATTTTGAGTTATAAATTTGAATTTAAATAAATATAACTAACTCTTTTAATTCGATTATTAGCTTTTTATATAATTTATTTTCTTTTTATTTTTTATTTTGCTTATCTTTTTTTTTATTTATTAATTTAAAATATCAAATTTTAATGAAAAAAATTTATTCTTTTTAATTTTTTTAGTATTTAATTTAATATAATATAAAAGTATTAAATTAATCGAAAAATCAATATTGAAAGTAAAAAGAAAGTGTCTTAAATTAAAAAGATTAGTTGTCTTTAAAATTGATTTCAAGAAAATTTTCAAGTTTTGGTGAACTATTGATGAAATGAGATTTAATAAATATTAAATATTTGAATAATAGTAAAAAATATGTTTTATTAATTTATATTTTATGATAAGATAATTTACCTAAAATATACATAGATAATTAAATTTATTATTATTTTTATATTGATTAATATTATATTTTTTGTGGTAACTTATTAAATAACTTATTAATTAAGCAAAAATTTATATATTGAATTTACCTGAATAAATTACTCTAAAACCATCCCTCATTCATTAATTGCGGATTATTTTTTATATAATAGAGAGATAAATTAATATAATATTAAATAAATTTATATATTAGTATTTTATATATATTTATGTATTTTGTATCTAGTTTATAATCATTTAAAAAAAATAAAAAATTTTACTTTTTATAAAAATTTTACTTTTTTAAAATTATGAATTTGTTTGTTTTTTTCTTCATTTAAATTTTTATAAAATTTTAAGGTAAAGATTTATTTGATGAAAAATAGATTTTTGTTTCAATCTCAGTATTTTCATTTAAGTGTTTTTTAATATTATTTAACTTTTTATAAAAGAAATAGGTATACAAATAAATAAATTAATAGCTCATTCTATCAAATCTAATAAATAATTATTGCTAGACTCACAGTTAAGTATTTTTTTTAATTGAATTATTTTAATGATTTGTTCAAAATTTGTGAGGCAAATTAAGTTTAGTAAATTATATAATTTCTTTTCTGTTTCATTATTGTAATTATTAGATATTATATTTAACTCTCCGAAGCTTCTTTTATTGTTTAATATTTCATCTATGATAGTTATTAACAAGTGATATAAGTTTTCTAACTTTCCATAAAAGAAGTTTAAGGATAAGTCAGAAATGACTTTATTTTGCTTAATTCCTTATGCTAACATTTAGATGCCTTTTGGTTTAATACAGTTGTCTTGCAAATTTATTGTTAATTCCTTTAAATTTTTAGCTTCTCTTAAAAATAGCTCTATATTCTCTAGCTCAACGTCATCATATAGATTAGATATATTCAATTGAAGTTTTTAAAGCTTGAATAATTTTGATAAACTTTCAAATAAGGCTGATAAACCTTTATCTGAAATTGAATTAGATCTAAAATTTATAGATAAGCTTTTCAATTCTGAGAATTCGCTAATTTTTTTAGAGAGATAAACGACCCCATCATCATTGAATTCATTTTAAGCAAAGCTTAAATCCAATTCAATTAATTTTTTAGGGTCAAATTTCATATTGTCACAGAATGTTTATAGATTTTCATCACCAATCATGTTATCGTTGAAAGAAAATGAGAATTTTTAAATAGACTTTGGTAATTAATAAGTAATATTTTAAATGCCTTCTGAATCGAATATGCATTCATCTAAATTTAATGAAAAACTTTCTACTTCGCTTAGATAACTCAAACCCTTTCCTAAATACTTTGAATTTATATCGTTTATTTCATTGCTATTTAAGTTTAATGATAAGTTTTTAAGCTATTTTGAGTAAGTTTCTAAGATTTTTTCAATTTAAATAAGAGATTTATCACCAAGCATATTACCATTCATGCTTAAATGTAAATTTTCTAATTACTTATTTTACTGTAATTGCTTTAATATGCTTTCTCCTTTGCTATCATCAATTCTAGCTGCATCTAATTTAAAATTTATTTCTTTCCTCTAAGCCTAACTGATGAATTCAATCATTTTTTCATCTAGCAATCCTGCATCTGCCCATCTAATATTTAACTTTTAAATTCCTTCATTTTCCTTTATCACTTAATATAGCTTTTCCATAAATTATCTAGGCATGTTCGATAAAAAAGCTAATGTCAAAACCTTTAAATTTTTATTCTCTACTAATTTATAAATTTTTTCTTAGCAGTATTCGCAAATTGGAGGCTATTTAACATTAAATCCTACTGCTAAAGAATCTTACTAAGCTTAAAAAGTATTA